CCGCTGCATTGCACCATTTTTCTTCATTAATATCACACTTTCATTTTTTGGTGTTCCGCGAGGCGTATTCTGTGGCCAAAAAAGTTTGGGAAACGCTGCTCTACACCATCAATGTGGAGCCCCTCAGCCGATGTGTAATCAATAATAAATTAAAAAAAGGTATTCGTATTGGTAATTTCACCCACAAATTGGATCAGTATGTGGACGACCATCCTTTGTACTAATGATAGGGCGAGGGAGATTCTATCTTTTTCCCCCTATCATAGGTACATAAAGGACCATATTAAAATCATTGGATTCTACTTCGGTGAAAACCGAATTAATATAACTTAAAGCGAGAAGGTCTCCAAGATCGAACAAATAATTAATTTTAATCGGTCTAACTCTAGATCATTATCCTGGTACGGCAAGATCTTGGTTATCAATTCCTTGATCTTGTCTCAGGTTAATTTAGCGCGAGGTCGGTCCCCATACCACCTCCTGTTATAAAATATATTGATCGCAAGATCTTCTCTTACCTCTAGATCTCTGAGCCTATGGAAGTATTGGGCCGGCGAATTCTCCGGAACGGTAAATCTATAGGTGGAATGGGTGTTCCTTGTCTTAACACCAAGATAGTTGCTTGCCAGGCTGAATGTTTCGTTTCGTCGAGGCCAGGCGCTCTGTTAATCTCTACCTTTAACTTTTCAGAAAAAGAAATACCATCTAGAAGCCTCCCCTGCAACAAGTAAGTATCGGTGGGTTGAGGCCTACCAAAAATGTTTTAAAAAAAGTATAGCAAGCGTTTGTATAACGGTGATTTTACCGTACCATGTCAGGTGGCGTGATTGAATGACATTGAGCAGATGCGTAATTTTACGGATATTTTCCTTTAGCGCTTTATTGCCCGCATCCCTTCCGTAATCTAAGCCAAGGATTTTGACGGTGTCACGCCGGAATTCATAGAATTTTGTGCCCCTTAAGCGTCTCTCCGCCTCATCGTTTACACACAATATTCGTGATTTTTCCATATTTAGAGATTGGCCGGTTACCAAGCGGAAATCTTTAAACATAAGTGTCGGATATATTGCGTTTTGTTATGTAAGCTTTAAATATATTTTCGGCAGCCGTGCGGCGCTGTTTAGGGGGGTTCAGGGTGTCCTTGTCATCAATGATCATATTGAAGTCCCCAAGTATAAGCATTGGACTACAATGATAAATACTTTCAAGAATCTGAGTCAGTCCTGTGTAATACTCGGTTTTGACCTTTCCCATTTTAGCCGGTGCGTATACGCTTACGATCTCAATAATTGTCCCATCCAAATCTAAGGCTATACTATCACACCTATGTCTTATTCTAATGCTGTATTTCACATGTTCTTCTAGGTCATTTTTAACCATTATTGCAGGCCTTTTCTGACGTACTTTTCAAAGGGATCGTTCGTATTTGTGTATATGTTATACCCAAGATTGTCAGCCCAATTTTTAATTGTTTTTTCCCGGATTTCTATGCACCTCTTGGATGCATAGTATGTTTGGTTTTTCATATCTTATGCCAGCCAGCTTGTCTTTATGGCAGCTTGACAGCTTGTCTTTATGACAGTTAAGTACATTTACATTAATGGAAATTAATTTTAATTCGCTCATTATAATTAGATAAGAAAAAGATGACTCACCGTTTAATCCAGCTATTACCCGTATCTCCCTGATTAATTTGTTGTAAAATCTGATTACGATTGTTCCGTTTTTTAATATCCAAAATTGTGCATGTAATGAAATAGTTAATCCGATGTAGTTATATGTTTTATTTTTATTTTTGGGGTTTCAAACATAGTAGCAGAAGAGGATGAACTTGTCGTCATCCTCTCTTTTTGTGCTCTGGTTCGTGGTTTTTCTCTCCTCACTCTCGAGGAAGGATGGTGCAGATGCTATTTCCAGTGGGTATTCTGATGTTGAGGATACGCTTGGGATTTCTTTTGATTCATATTCATGTACCATCAGTCCATCACTTTAACAAGTGATTTTCCGTGGTGTTGTAATCTTGGGTGTACTTGGATGGTAGGGTCTTCTCGGACACCGTGTTTGATGGTTCGCTTTCGTCCGTGCACAGGGACCAATCGTGGAATTCTTTCCCACCTAGTTCGCCCTCTTCTGACTCACTTTCCTCCTCATGCGTATCTATAGTATCCGTTATTATGGTTCGATTCATTTGTGGTGGTTTTATTTGTTGGTCATGGGTTAATTTGAATTGTCGATTTGCTTGTTTGTTTATGTATTCCGCTTGATTGATTTCGTTCTGGTGTTTTCTTTGGGTAATTACTTGCTCTTGATTGGTGTCTGTTTTGTAGGTGGGCTTTATTCTGACGGACCAATTTGTTGGTGGTTTGTTCTTGTTTTTAGTTTTGTTACTCCATTCAAGGCACTCGTCTTGTATATGACTTTACCTCGGCTTTACAGTATCTACATACAGGTTTCGCAGTGCAGTTTACGAAAGTGTGCCCTTCTCTTAAACATCTTCCGCAAGTTGGAACGTAAAGTTCCCGAGGGAGGTACGTTTTACATCTTACCCCATCTATGACGACGTAGCCTGTCAGCTTTTCCTTCCGAAAATCTTATATGACGAACGACGTGTAACCGTTGTATAATTCGGTCCCTATATGCCAGTTTTTGTAGGCCGTCTTCAGCTTGCCGCAATCCAAATTTTTAATACCATCGGATGCTTTTTGGAATGTGGTTTCATCCGGGATGTCCCCGATAGATATTTGAGTTGTGGTACCCGTTGGTAGGCTGAATTGCATTCTCCCAAATGAAGATTGCATTATCCCGCCTGTGGCGGTTAGGAAATCGTCCCTACAACTAGTTGTGTCGTTCTCGTTTGATCGAAAAGATATGATCCATGTTCTTTTTATTGTTTCAAATAGTCCTTTAATTTCAGCGAAAAATGGCTTTGTCTTCGGATTTTGTTTTAATGCATCAAATATTCCTTGAAAGTTTGTTTCTCTCTCCGCCGCGATCATCAATGATCGAGGTCTGTTGTTTTTGTTGGTCTGTCCAGAGGTGACGTTTGCATACGACATTCCCACGTTTATTACCGAGTAAACCTTCTCAATCAGGCAGCGATAAACTAAATCATAATGCTTAATACTCCAAATTTTCTCAAAACTGCTAAAAATGACTATAATAATAGTGGTTCCCAACCGCCGGTCCACGAGAAATTTCGTTGTATTGTTGTTTTTATGCCGTCTCAATCGCTTTACTGAAGACGTCTCCCGCGACATCTTGGCGCCGGGTAACCACACTTTTCGCTTTTCGGATCCGATTCATCACGAATGCGCCCAATCAAATCTCACAATATTAAGAAACCTAAAGATCGGCATGTGTTCTTTCTGTTTCTGATCAATATGACCATCCATATAAATCGTTATGGATATTTCTCCGTTTGAATCAGAAAACAGTGAAAAACAGTATAGTATTTTAGTAAGATATGGCTTGTAGCGACCCTGCAGGTGGTCACAAGACGCGCAAAAAGCATGGGCCGCTGAGATCTTTTTCAGTATTTTGAGCAGGCACAGTCGGATTGAGCCTGGTACCAGGTTACTGGCGACTTTGTCATTGTAATATAAATTCATTTTGTTTGAGGCTTGATCAACTGCAGAGGGATTAATATGATAAAACAGATGAAAAGCTTGGTTAAAATTGTGATTCTACCTTACAGTCCAGATTTAAAAAATAATCACTGTCACAGTTTTGGATATATATATATCTTGATAACGAATACCAATCGATAAGTAATCGAGCAGTCAAACTTTTGTCTGTATTTTCATCCAGTTACTTATATATATATATATGCGTTATGCGAAAAAGCATTTTCATCACCAGCTTCAATTAAAATGGAGCAAGAAATCGGCTGCACGCCGCTGTAGAGCTACGTGTTGCAGAAACTTCGTTGAGGCTTCGTTTGTAATTCTACATTGGAAACGAAATACAAGCAACAAAATTCTCACTACAGTTAATTGTGTTTGTAGGCTACATGATTTGGCATGTACCTGTTTTTCATGTAAGATGTTTTATGTATGTCTTTTTTACGCATAATGGGAGCCCAGCACTGTATTTCATCACGCAAATATATGATATAATTTTATGTTTCACTCATTTCAATTTTTGGCCGGCACATTAATTGCCTTTTTTGTCTAGAAGCATACTGAGTTCCCGACATTGCATTATATATATTACGCAAATATCTGTTATTCTTTTTTGTTACGCTCATGTCAACTTTTGCAGGTTCGCGAGATCATTTAATTTTACCGGTCTGCCAGGGTAGAATGGTTGGAAACCACTGATTACTATATCACGCAAGAATGTAGCCAAATGAATGCTTCTTCCATCTCGGCAAAATTTCTCGAGAGCTCACTCATTTGTTATGTCATAATATATTTGTTTGCAGCCTTATGTCATTAAAGTACAAAAAGACTTTAAATTTAAATAGCGGATTGTTACCACACGATGATGAATGAGCGAACACCAAGTTTTATCAGATAATCCAGAGTCTTAAACTTTTTATCTGAAGGAGAATGATCTCGTTTCCGAAGCCTCACTCGCGTGCCGAACAAATGGGCTTGCGTGCCAGGGGTTGCCCACTCACGCACTAGTCAATTCAATGACGTTAGTGATGTAACAATACGTCGAAAGACATTTAGTTGGTCTGGCATCGTTTGAATTCGGCTCTGAAATAGGATAACCGGAACGTTTTAATCATAATATGAAGAATCACGGACTATGTCCGTTTAGCAGTCCACATCGCATATGGAAACCAATCATCCGTTCCAGATATATCTACTTGGTGTTGATGAAGCCCAAGCGTGGCGACGTGGCGACATGGTTCTACTGCTGTCAAGTACCCGCGAAATTTGGTATATACCACAATCTTTATGAAATATTAATTTTTAACCAGCGAACATTGAATTAGACATTCTTCCTCACAGTCTTACGTTAGTCAACATACCGGATAAAGAGACACCTAATTTGTAAATCTAATTTATACTTTGCAAAAAAGACTAGAAAAATAGATTCATATATGAAATCCAACAGTGATAATAATACAAAGTATAAAATTTTTATAATTTTATAAAGAAAAAACATCCCTTTGTACAACTTTCATTTACTATATTACATAAAAGTATACCAATACATACTGTGTATGTACTTGGCTTTATGTAAGCTCCGTTGCTGACGATACTATTTAGAAAAAAGGCGGTTGCAAAATTATCAAATTAATGATAATGATATTTTTAATAAATAATTAGAGTCAGTGCACCTGGGCACCTAGAAGCACATTTTTCTATTGTTTGAGTAAACTATATAAACTTATAGAAATAACCATCAAAAATAACTTTGTATTATTGTACAATATACCGGTTAGGAGAAATTGAAGCAGAACAATGATAGGTCGATTGTTTGTGTAATGCCTTATGTGTTGAAAAAAAAACCCACTATATTCTATAACTTGGAAATAAAATTGCTAGTTAGCATTCTTTAAGTTTAATATTGGCCCACAGCTGAATTTTTCTTTCCAAAATTGAAAACAAAAATAATTCTTGCTGCAGACTATAACATGAGATACAGTTTCACAGAGAATGTGCTATTGAGATTAAATCTACTGGATATTTCATATATTTTCCGTATCCAGTGTATCCATCCTCTATATATGTAATAAACAGGGCTGTAGAGATGTAGCCCGACATGTTTTTATTGATATGGAAGCCTGGGTAGTATTTTTATTCTCTACAAGGCGGTAAATTCAATTCTTTGGATTCCAAATTTTTAACGGCCGTAACTAAAAATCCTTTCAAGTTAACTACGCATTCTTAACAGGTAATCGAAGAATGCTTTCATTTTGTTTTCTCAGACTTGGAAGCTGGAGTCAGAGTACCCAATTCAACGCACATCCAATCTAATCTTTGAACTTGAATTTGAACAATATCAAATACCCAATTCGGATTCTACATGAAAATTCTAAAATAGATTAATGCCATATTTTTGAAATTTAGATGGAACAACTAAAATGCATTACGGCCACATTGTTGTTGACGTACTACGCCATGGTGGGACCGGTCTCAGGCCTCAACCATGGTTCAGTGTCCACAGTATTGACAGACGGTGGTCTGGTATTAAAAGAATGTGACACTAATGGATCATTATAGCTAGAAGGTCCTGCCCTGCGACCATACTCATCTTCATTAGTGGTTGGACGTCTTCTACCACCCTTTTGCTTGTTAACAAATCTATCTAAAATGTCATCTGGGTCAGTCAGAGATACTTCATCACCTAAATGATGAAATATAAAAATTGAAAACAGGATATACGGTAGCTCACAAAGGGCATTTTGTGGAAATTGTACACAGACCAATATGAAATGAATAAACATTCATATATTATACAAGCGGTTCTTGTTCGTGCGGGGACCAAATTATCATGGAAAAAGTCACAGCGCACTTAAACAAAATAAATTGTTGTCTTTATATAAAACTTAATTTTTTGATCGGTAATGTCTACTTTATGCCTTTTAAAGATTGTAAACATATAGGCCTTAGAAATAGAGGCGATCAACTGTTCCTACTCATCTCTGCCTGATTTTTTCTTTGAAGTACCGGTACTAAAAAAAACACTCATGTTCGCTAAACTCGTTCAGCAGATAATAGAAATGCAGCAAGTAGTGTCCATCACTTCGTAACATAAAGTAAACGACATAGAATGGTAAAATGAACCCCCTCCCCCCTCTTCGGGACCCAGGAAGTCAAAAATAGACTTGGTATTTTTGTCAGAAGAAGAGATTTTCCTATTTCCTATTTAGAAAAATGTTACCTTGTATTGCTTTGAGTTTTTCTAATCTATCATGATTCTTGTTTGCAAGTCTATCGACGTCCAATGTTGCCAGAGAACTCAATGAATAATTGTCAGGACGATTTCTTGGTGGAACTTGACGTTCAGACTGAAACGAGAATGGAATAAAAAAAATCGAGCACTATCTGGAGATATCAGTATCAGAATATTGAAATATTCCAGAATTTTTTTTCCCTTCAATTTTTTTTTTTTTTGAAATTAGATGTCTTTTTTATTTTTATATGAAAACATTAAAACTTATGAGAAAACCAAATTTTAAAATATTATAAACATCATAACAGAAATTTTAAACAAATATATATTTTACTTGCGCTGATGGAGGCTTTCTTGCCATTCTACGCCTGTCCCTTGCTGAAGGCTGCCTGAAAAAAAAAAAACATTTATTTTTTATTTACAGAATTTCTCTTCTTGTTATAGTTGAATAATGGGCGCTCCAGAAGTGTGTGTACCAATATGGAGGTAACTAATATTGTTTGCCTACTTTACATCAAGTTGTTTTAAGAGACGGAAGCCAACTTGGCTAACACAGACAGCCCCCGAATTTGTAAGAGAACTAAAATAGGGAAAATCAGAGGAAAATTATGTCCTAACCCTAACCTGGTACACATACTACGGGAGTACCGAATAATGAATGTCTGAGGAAGTCAGACTGATGAAACATCACGAAAGTATATTTGTGTTAGCGTGCAGCAAGACTCTTCAATCCTTTAAGATATTTGATGCTTTTATGAGTTCCTTTACCAATTTTGCTTGAAATTTACGATGATTAACTGTTTTGAAAAGACGAAACAAGACTGGTTTTGTATGGCTTATTAAATTTTAACATAACTTAGGGGTGGAGCAGTGACGACAGGATTTGGATCTAAGAGTTTTAAAATGCAATGTTAACATCAAAAGGCCAAACACAATACCAATGTTCTAGTAGTTCTTCGCAGAAACAATCATCAAATATTTTAAATTGAATATATTCAATATTTGGTGCTCCCGAAGTATGCAAACCAAGATGGCGGACATCGGAACGTAACATGGGTAACAGGTTAGGGTTAGGCGATAATTTTTTTCCAATTTTCCATATTTTAGTCCTATTATCAGTTTGAAGACTAGCCAAGAGCCTCCCGTAGTATTTATACCTAAAATTATGTCCTAACCCTAACCTAGTACACATATTACATTCCGATGTCCGCCATCTTGGTTCGCATACTTGGGGAGCCCCCAATATTTTGTATTTTCGAATAATTAGAGAAAGAATAATTCAGAATTGTTTTATTTGAAAAAGGTCATTTTAAAATTTAATAGTACAATAAAACATACCCCACTTAATTTTTGAAACAATAAACATAGAGAACAATTCAAATCATTGTTATCATAATTTTCAAGCAATTTCAAATCGAAACTCAATGAATATACCGGTACTTCTATTTGTTCCTTTCTAAGCATGGCCCAATTTAGAATACATTTGATATTTGGGAATATTATTTTGTAATTTATTGAGAAAAGCAGATTGTTAGGTTTTTACCATCCCTAGATACAAACTATACAAAACATTTTTCACATACCTGCTCTGTCTTGACAGTGGAGGGGAAGACTGCGCCGAGTTGAAGTGATATCTGTTGTCTTGGTCTTCTTCATCATCAGGTAGAATAGGAATGTATGTTGTTTCTGCTTCTAACAATGAAGCTCTGGATTGCGCAACACTGGGAGGCTAAAAAACACAGTAAAAATAGTTAAATATATAGGCGATGCATTTGTTGCTGTCAGATTTAAAAATGTAAAATTTTTCATTCCGTTACTGCAATGATTATCTTTGGTATCATTATACTGATCCAACAGCAATCGACATAGTACTTTCAGATTTTGTTCAATTTTGTAAAATATTCGAATATTATGAACTTTCAGAAAAAGTTAGAATATAAATTAATTAGTAGTTGACTACAATTTAATGATTACAACCTTGCGAAGTTTAGTTTGGAAAATGCTGAATAGTTATTTTCTTACCTATCTTTGTAAATCAACAATAATGATTCAGAGTACTTACAATAAGAGACCTATTGGGTTCGCTTCTTCTATTTTTTGGTTGTCTGCCATCTTTCTGTTGTCTGCGAAGAGTAAAATTTTTACACCATGTTTTACTTAATAAGTTTCGAGAAAGCAACCGGAATATATTTAACAAGAGGAATAATAAGATAATTTTATTATATCACTGCGTAGAATTTAAAAGCCCAGGCATGATATGTATCCTTAGACGATAATTTGAACTCTGCAGTTGGCGCATCATGCTAATCATCAGGAATACACCTGCCATCACATCTCCAATTACCCTGCTTGGGTACGCAGGTTCGAATCCGGTAACAGATAGTTATGTACAAGAGGATTGCTGGACTCCTCGCAGTCGTAGGGTGGCTAGAACTTTCTCCATGCCTTTGGAACAAATAACTGTTCCCATAGCAACATGGACTGGACCAAACGAGAAGTGGTTCACCATATGATTGAACTGTCATATCATATTTCCTTTCCCCCCGAGAACAAAAAATGAAAAATCCCCTCCTATCTTTTTCCAATATTAAAGATCTCAGCTGCAATTGCTTTTACTTACCGTACTACAAATTTTATTCTTATGAAATTACACCATACATTATAAAAAGCATATAAACCAATGAGGAAAAGATTACAAACCAGACCTTAAATCTTCTAAATTTCTTCCTTGTCTTGCTATGAGAGCTTCCTGCTGTCTTTCCAATGCCTTGGCATCATCAGGGGTCTCGGGATATTCAGCTCTGAACATACGAATCGATTGCGTGTCATCAGGTCTAAAATACAAAATGGTTATAGTTACATAAACGCAAAGTGAAAAATCAATAAATCTATTGAATAGCCCACGAACCAATGCCAATTCTCTCATTCAAGTTTTGTTTGAAAATTTGAACAAATCTTGAAATAGTTTTAAAGGCTTGAAATAATTTTCCAAATTGTCATAACCAGTCTATGATCCAACACGCAATGCAACATCATGAATCTGTACCTTCTGTAGCTCAGCTGTAACTTTGTTCACAGAAAAGTACCTTTTACTCTGAGTGAGTGAGAGCAAGTGATTTTGCTCGGAGTATCTTCGTTTCAGAAAACAAAAAGAACACTTTTTCTTGGCCCAATTGTTGTTTACCTAATCCAATTTTTTGTCATGCTGTGTTTGGAATCGTTTATAAAACCTAACTACTATGAAGATGAGTACACAACAATATATCAGGTAATTTGTCGTAATTTAGCATTTTTCATGACACTCATTTCGAAAGCTTCGAAACAAAGGGGAAACGTTAAAATTCAGTATAAGTTACAAAAATGGGCACTTTTTAAGCTGGTATCCAATCATAGTTTGAAGCAATATTCACCTATTTCAGCAGAAAGTTACAAAAATTTTAAAATCGAAAATATATTTTTTTAAAGCAGTTTTTAGAAATTTCTGCCTTTTCGCTATCAAGCTCTTGATTTAGTGATTACGCTACAACATTACCTGTATTTATAATCTGTGAATTCACGAAGCGCTCTCGAACTTGGTCTCTCTTTTTCAACTGTCGGGGGACGTCGCACTGATACTGGTTTCTGTTTTGCTCTCGATAAGTCAACAAGATATTCCGTGTTTCTGTGAAGATTAAGTATGTTTTATCATTGGCCTAGTATAAAATCAGACAGCTAAGGTTTAGCTAAGTATAAAATACACAAAACCCAATCAAATTGATGTCAAATAATTAAAATTATATTACTGTTTTTTATTTTATTCATTATTGTATTTTTTTTAAAATTATTGTTTTGAGTGAGTATGCATGAGAAGACTCATAAAATCCCTCAAAGGATGAAAATGAAAGTAAATTTCTCACATTTTACGAGATTGGGGTTGCTGTGGTCCTGTCAAATCTACAGTTCGAAGTTGATTTTCAACCCTGCGTTGTTCGCTCAAAAGTTGTTTTCGTAAAGCTGATAACTCTCTTGAAATCCTTTTCGATTCAGCTGTTCAAAAATGAGAGAATAAAAATGAAAAAATATTCTAGAATGATAAATATAACCCAAAAATATTACTGATATACAATAATATTAAAATAATAACATTCAATTTTTGATTGTCTACTGGGAAAATAACAGAATAGATCAGCCTTCTAAAATAGCTGAAGGCTATTTTTTATTATGAATATTTAAAATCCATGCAAAGTGCAGCAAAATCATCATACATGAATCTCTCTCCATACTACTTTATTATATTATTGATGAAGTTATTGACATGCAGATGTGCAAGTTCATCAATTTTAACTAGACAACTAATAAATAATTCAACTGCTTGCAATAAATGTTCAATTTTCTCAAAAAAAAAAGTTTTGCTAATTGAGTTCAACTTTTTCTCAAACATTCAAATATTGGATCCAATCAAATTAATTAATAAAACTATTGGACTTTAATATACCTCTTGATTGTACATTTGGTCTTCTTTCCTGTTGAATTGGTGATTCTCCCCTGTATGTTCTTATTTGAGGAGTACGAACAACTGGTTGAGTTTGCGGCCTAGAAAATAAGAATTAGTACAAGGTTGCGTAAAGGTAATTTACCGATCATCTTCTCAATTTCCATGACAACAGCCTTAAACCGAAAGCTTACTTTAATTATTCCCTTTTTTTATCAAATTTGTATTGAAAAATTCTCTTGCTTAACTTTCTAGTAGGAACGGTCAAAAGTAGTTTCAAATATCTAATATATTTTATAATGAGGCACTATTATTTATTATTATGACATCGGCCCAAACAAGTTTGGGCGCTTCAGAAGTGTGTGTATCAATATGGAGATAACTAATTTTGTTTGCCTACTACATATGGTTGTGTAAAGGGACTGCAACCTATGGGCAGGGGTATTGACTTGGCTAACACAGGCAGCCCCCGAGCTTGTAATCGAACTACAACAAGGAAAATCGGAGCCTAACCCTAACCTGGTACACATACTACAGGAGTACCCAAGTTTCAGCATCAGTCACTGATATGTACTTTATTTTGGACGGACAGTAATCTTTCTTGTTTCGACATTGCCTACGTATTTATTATACCCTGGATAAAGTGGTAGGCATGGGATTCGAACCCAAGATTTAACAGAATGGCCCATTGATTAGCATTATAATTAACAGTGCCAGCATCGCAGGTTACACATATCAGGTTCAAATCCCATGCCACTACCTCACTCAGTGAAATAAATTGCCGAACCCAAACAATCCCGGTCCTTCCAATGAACAGTAGTTTTAACATATTAGTGACTGCTTGTACAGAGTCTTGTTCGAAGCGAATGGGGTGAATAATCGTCAAATAAAAAAAAAAATTCAAAAGTTAATATACAATATTGTAACCTACGGTGGATGCCTAGCTGTCAAGTTGTCATCTTCAAATGAAATTCGAGCTTGTTCAACAGGTTGAGGTCTCGGTGATATAACCACTTGTCTTTCTGGTTGCTGGGCTTGCAAAGTCGGTATTGGAGGAGAATTGGTCTAAAAAATAGTAAAGTTGAAAGATTCTCGAAAACAAAATGGTCAGTAAGAGACTGCTTTATCCTGGTAATAAATATAATAAGCTAAAATTTGTAAAACGAAAACGTTACAATGGACTAGGCTGAAATTAGCTATTAGTACCTGTAAGCAGAACGCGATATATATTTTTAATAATAATGGTGGTTTTAATTTCATGTAAATCAGTTTGCAGGCGTCAACCAGCAGAATCGCTTTCAAAATAAGCTTAAAATAACTTGGTAATGTAAGCAATGTTAAAGTATGGGAAGAATTTTTCTGGGGTTAAAGGTTGGGGAAACTTTCATATACCGGTAGAATTTTTGATACAAAAAAAATCAGACCTTGTCTGGATAGTATGAAAGGAGCAAAGCTTTACATAAAGGATTAGAACAGTGGTTCCCAAACATTTTGGGTTGTGCCCCCTTTTAGAATTTGCCAAGTCTCGCACCCCACCTCAAAAATAACTAGCTAACAATAAGCCACAAATAACAGATAGTAAGGCAAAAGTTTTTTTTTTTTCAGAAAAAAATACATGGATGGAATGTAAATATCCAAAATAAAGAAATGTTAATACCCAAAATAAGGCGGACAAGATGGAAATAAATTTTTTAATTAGCTTCATGTCCCCTAAAAAAATTGTCTACCCCCTGCCCTTGGTGGGGTGCTCCCCACCATTTGAGAACCATTGGACTAGAATATATTCAGTGATTGTTATCTTCAACCACTTTCTACATCAATTTTATTAAACCTATCAGTCGACTATGTTACCTGTCTATGAAGCCTTTCATCCAATTCCCTTTCCTTTCTTATCCGCAATTCATCTTCTTCTTCCATTTTTTTCCTCTGTTCTTCTCTTTTCCTTTCTTCTGCTTGGATTCGAAGATCTTCATTCTGTCTACGAGCCTGAAAACGGAAATTATAGGAAATCAATTTTTTTAAACATGACTGGTTTGTGCCTAATGCTGAAGTTTGTTTATCAAAACGCTAATCATTTTTCATAAAAGAGCAATGAAATTTTTTGTGATGTATTATTTTCAAGAGATAGTTCAGATAGTTTCAATACATTCATGAAAGTTTAAACACTGTTACCATCACAGTATTTTAGTAACAACATATACCAAAAATAAGACTATGTGCAAAATGGCTTAAGCCAAGAAGATGAAATGAATCTCTGTCATCATATCACAGTTCGTCATACCTCACATCATATCATACCTCTCAACCTATGAGTCGCCTGAACATTCTTTTGGCCGTCTAATATTTGAGCATGTTCATTGGTTTGCGTGATTTTACAAAATTCATGTTTTTTTTTTAAATTTGGGTCGCTTGAAAAAGGGGTTGAGAACCAACCTCTGGCCTAGAATATGTCCAGAAAATTTGGAACATATTTTGAAAAAAAAATAATATTTGTGCAAAGTGCCTAGATTACTGATACTTTTATATATAATCACACACACAGAACAGAAGTTCAAGTGTTTGATAAATTTTTTTTCATTTATGTAGAGTGAATCAAGATATTTCTGGGTTCTGTATCTTTTGTGTCACTCTGTATATGGTTACATCTAATTCAAACTGCAAGTGGGCAAAAAGATCTAATTTTGATTAAAAAAATCATTTCATTAAAAAAAATTCCAATTCATATAATAGAAAATCGTGTACAATAAGAATGGGTAATTGGTACATTCTTATAAAAATATGTGCATTATTTAAAAAAAATACATGAGAATATGAAAAAAAATGAATTTTGAATATGAATGATATTTTTACGCCTCATCTATCTCATTTTGAACATAGTAGAGCAAATGTGTTTTATGAAGTTTGTTCAAAACATGATTTAGTCGAAAAGCCACACACACACACACTGGGATAACATACCATTTCTTTTTTGTTTCTGTCCTTTTCAATTTCAGCATCCAATTCTGCTTTTATTTTTTGTCTTTGTTCTTCCAACCTCCTTTCTTCTTTTTCTTCTTCAATTCTCTCCTTTTCTTTTTTCTCAGCCTCAATCTTTTTCTTCTCTTCTATCTATGATAAAGATAATACAGCACAATAGACTAGTACTCGTTAATTGTACTAAAATATTATTCAGAGATCCCAAATACCTGCTTTTGCAGATAATCTTTATAAACATCTCGTTGTTGTTTTTGTTCGTCCGATTGACGATTCTCAAATGGATTACTTCGTCCGAAACGTGGAGAGAGCACGTCATCACCCTTTAGTTGCAAAAATGAAAACATGACATCAAATTAATTCACCAAGTAAGATAACAAAAAACATTTTTAGAGTTTAATCCAAATCTCATCTCAATCTCTTAAAATGACTCTGAACAGGAATTAAATATTATTTAAAAAATTTGTCTGCTTTCAAAAAAAAAATTTATAAGAATGAGATTGCACTAAACCAAAATCTAATGCAATGTTGCTCTGGCCAAAAAAATGGAATTTTAATTAATGAAAAAAAAATCAGGAATCAGTCATGGTATTCATGTAGGTAATGTTTTGTATTGTATTATTGAGTATTCTTGTATTATCTCCCAATTAAATTATTGAAAAAATATTCCAATATTTTGTTTGAAAAAATCGTGTCTCACCTCTGTTCCTCCAGGATTCCTTGGAGATAAATCTATAACTGGTCTGTCTTCCCGTCTATATAAGTTGGTTTGGGGAAGGCGTTCCCTGTTAATCAATATAATAAGAATATTCTAGTTGTATGACTTTAAATACAACGAACAATAAAAAATTGAAAAAGTCGAACGAATGCTCAACTTACCGAACTACTTCTTCAGCTTTTGTTGGGTCACGATTTGCTTCTTCATTTTCAATATGCATTTCTCTGAGATCGGCTGTGAGATAAAAACATTCATGATTGTTATTCCCAAGGCAAAATATGCCATGTAGAAAATAAATCGGCGCTCCAGAAGTGTGTACCAATATGGAGGACGGAGGTAACTAATTTTGTTTGCCTACTTTACATCAGGTTGTGTAAAAGGATGGAAGCCCATGGGCAGGGGGTATATTCACTTGGCTAACACAGACAGTCCTTGAACTCGTGATAGAACCAAAATATAAAACATCGAAATAAAATTATGGCCTAACCCTAACCTGCTACACACACTACGGGAGTACCAATAAATCTAATGAATGTGTTGTAATATATACAATTGTATCAGAAAAGTAGTTTTAATATGAAATTAATTTTTTTATTGAAATTACTCCCTTTTGCTAAAAATTCATGACAAATGATATTTTTAGAATGCAAAGTTGAAGATGACTACTCAAATTTTTGCCAAATCTATGGAAAAATTACACTTTAATTTCAGAATTGTGATGAAGAAACCCAGTCCTTATTTCTTTAAATAAATGCTAAAGCTAGGCCTTACACTGTTTATAAGCTATATTATGAAAAATATGATATGATATAGGTATACAATAATAATGATAATTTGCGGCCTGTAAGCAATTGTTTTTGTATGTTTCCGCCCTTACGTTACAACTTTTATCTTCCATAATTTAAATCTGCTACTAATAAAGTCAAAATTCATTCCAACGTATCATTATTTGGATAGAAAAAGTTATTGCGAAAAGAGTTCAAATATATGTTATAGAGGCTCTGGCCTACCACATAACATTGAAATTCTATTCTGTTTAACTGATTTATATTAGTTCAAGCTTGTTCATACTTATAAGATTTCCCTGTCGATCTTTCATTGGAGCGCCACCACCCCCTTTACCCCATGGATTGTAGTTTCTAGCTTCTTCCTCGATTTTTAAATCGTAGCGTTCTTGTTCTTGGCGTGCTGCCTTTTTCTCGCGTTCTTTTTGAGCAATCTGAAAAAGAGGAAATTACAATAGGGATACATTTTATAACAATGGATGTTAAAGGATTTGGAAAAAAAAAATTTTTCGACAAAATTTAAAATTTCCCATTTTAGGGAAATTATCAAATATAATCTGTACCGGTTTGAAAAGTGTTGATGAACATTGCTTCTTCGAATTTCTATTTTTACAATGTAAGAAGTTTAATGAAGTGACTTTATGTCTGAACGGCAAACGTCAAGCCTTATAAATGATAAATTTACAACTTGAAATATATTAACAACTTTGGAAATCATATATTTACTATTTTGTAGATCACCAACCTGGGTGATATGGATTCAAAGTTGAGGGTGCAAAAATAAAAACAAAAAAATTTGAAAAGGGAAAAAGTCTAGGGCACTCCAGAAGTATGTGTACAAATATGGAAAAAAATATTTTTGTACGCCTATTTTACATCAAGTTGTGTAAAGGGACTGAAACCTATGAGCAGGGGGATATTCACTTGGCTAACACAGACAGTCCCCAAACTCGTCATAGAACTAAAAAACAAAATTGGAATAAAAATATGGCCTAACCCTAACCTGGTACACATACTTTGAGAGTATCAATACTAGAATATAAACCAATCCAGATAGAAATATTATGTATTGCGACGCATTAAAAAGTCTTACTTACTGTACAATATATAAGCAGCAATACTTCTATCGTCGGAAATGGCATCGTTAGCATATTCTCGAATATTGTCAGCATGAAAATTGTAATGCGAAAAAAAAATGTACCTGAATTTTCAATTCATCTTGATATTCTTGTATTTGTTGCTTCTTTTTAAGTTCATCTCTTTTGTCATCCGCAACTAAACTGGACTCATTTCTCTGAAAAGATTTCCTGAAGGAAAGATTTTTTAAAATAAAACACAATTTTATTTTCTTAGCACACATCAAAAATTCAAGAATTTTTTTTCCACAAAAAGATTATGATATAGAAAATGGATACTATTTCTGGAGACAATCGTATTATAAACAAAATCAATAAATAAATTCAGAGATAAAATAGTTGTTTCAGATAAATTTTAGGATGGAAAATTATTAGAAGCTGATCCATAGACAATGACATACCTGGCCGTAGGTACTTCTGTAGATTTTCTGGCTCTTTCAGGAGAATTGCTTCTTTCACCTGATATTTAGAAAAATATAGATTTTAAAATAAATAAAAGTGAAATAAAAGTAAAGTTTTTTAATTAAACTACAAGTCTAAAACAATCTGATACCACATTTTCAATTAAAAAACAATGAGTTAACTAAGCATTTTAAAGAGACAGTAAAGACTCCATATATGTGTAGATTATGTGGAACTTTTTTTAGCGTAATCAACTTTCACATACCAGCATTTTATGATATTGTGGAAAAATGATTCCTTACCTCTTTGTGGTCCTAATGCAGCCATCAGAGGTGAAACCCCGGGATAACCAGTTCCGGGCGGGGGTGGTGGTGGTATCCCAGATGGGTCAAGTGGGTTTTGCGTCCCATAATAGTAATATGCATCATTGTATGGAGATGGATATTGGGATGGATAATATCTATGAAAAGAAAAAAAGAAGATTTAAGAACACATCGGCCAAGCATAAATCAAGCAAAAAAATTAATTCATAGTACAACTTACCCCATTGGAGGTTGGGGAGGCAGGGCTGCAAAATAAGGCTGTCGGGGCATGCCTCGGTATAAGCCTTTCCTGGGTCTATCGTCTTCTTCGTCATCAGATGATGTCTCTAATTTGTATCTCAAAGACCTGGTAAAAATAATGAAAAAATGACCTTGACCGAGTGAAACGAGAATTTAAAACCACATAAAATGATCATCTTTATTCTTATTACAGCATTCATGCATTCTTGCATATGAAGTTATAGTTTTAACTTGAATGTATAAATAACATTAATTGAACGAATATCACAGGTCGCAACTTTCAACATTGAAAGAGCCATTTGGCATCAATTCCATCAAACTCAAACATACTCTAATCCACAACATCTGATCTAATGTCTTTCAAAATTAAAAGAAAAAGTGAAATGCTATGGCTCTCGGAAAACCAGTTATAATGCAATAGCCTAATCAATTTCTTACTTGGATGAAGCCGAAAAGAATAATTATTAATTCATTCCATGACGAAATCAAAAAAACTTGAAACCATTGTGATGTGTATTTATTGAGTAGTAGTTGGCTTTATGCCCCCCCCCCTCGAATTATAAAAAAAACTGCTGAACCACTTTGATCCACGAGAGCCAAAGCTCCGAAAACAAAATTCCACATGCGGAGCTGCAGGTTGTCGACCGCTGATACATTGACATCTTTTTTGTCGAACGTGACGCAATTTAAAATATATTCAATATTATTTTTGAATGCATTGGAAAAATATCTGATTACTTGATTTTGGTCATCCCTGGTTCATTACCTATTATGCAATCGAAATGCATAACAAAATTTATAATTTTTACTTTTTGCCCTTTTTTCTTTGTTTTTTGTCTGCATCCTGTGGTGGAGAGGAAACTTCTGCATGTCTTTTAGGCGGACTTTGGTCTTTTGTCTGCATTGACCTAGGAATCTAGAATAATGAAATAAGAAATTTATACATTTTAAATAATTATAGTTAATTCGGTTTTAAAAGTTCTTTAATGTTTCATTCCCAAGTTTGATATCAAAATATATAATAAAAATCGATGATATACGAGAGTTGCGTTGGCGAGGATTTTCTAATGCTTAGCACGATGAGCCACACCGACGCGCTTATTACACATATCAAAAATCCTTTTTTCAAATTATTAATTAATAATTAGAAAAACTTACCGGTCCTGAAGCATCCACTACAGTGGCATCAAAATGTAAATCTTGTTCTCTTTGTCTAAAAATATAAAAAAAATTTAAAATAAATTTCTGATCAACATATTCTCCATAAATTACCAACTTAAGAAAGTATGATTGAGAAATTTGAATCACAAATTAAGAATAACGATTGGCGCAGCGGCTGATTCATAATGCTTGGAGTACGAGAGAGAGAGAGAGAAAGAATGATTTATGTTCCGAATATATAAAAAAATTACAATAAATGGAAAAGAATAATTATAGAATATAATCGAGAGGGGGCGGGCAAGACCCCTACGCTTGCCTCTGATTACCCAGTATGGGTTCACAGGTTCAAATCCTATGGGGGATAACTATGAGCAAGAGTAATGCTCGACTGACTACTCACTGCCATAGGGTGTATCATGCTGATCAGTTGCAGCTTCCTCATCAAGTCCAGGCATCTGGAAAACTGGTTAACCGAACCCATAACCAGCATGAAATGGTATCTGGTCTAGAGGCCATGGTTGAAAATATGATACAGTTGGTTTATTATTGTATAATTATTTAAATTTTCACTTTTTTTTTGACAATTTCTTTTCTTCCATTTGTCTCAATAAGTCAGTTCTATATTCTTCTTTCTTTCTCTGAGCTGTGTTAGCACTCGTGATTTTCCCAATTTGAAGACCTAGAAATATCCAGATATTGTTATCATTATTATTATCATAATTTTATTTATTCCCAAAATATTATAAGTTACATAAGTTATGTCTAGTGATGTCGATATTTACATAGGTTCTACAACGCTATTCTTGACCTGGTCAAACTACGGTCCGAATCTGGCACGTTGGGTAATTAAATCTGGCCAGCCTGATGCTGCCACAACCAAACTAAAACCCCAAATTTTGATGTTTTAGCTGAAAAAAAATAGCTCAAGGAATTCGTTGAGATTGCAATTGAATTTAGTTTTGGCACCAGGTTTATTATTTTCCACTTTTGCGTTTGTAACACTGCAAATATTGTTCATAAAATGTAACCTTTTACGTCACACTTACATGGCCCGCCTATGACCCACCTAGTCCAGGTGGCCAAAATTTTTGGCCCCTGGTCCGAGAACCTCGCCCACTCCTGCCCTTTACAATCAGTCACTGATATCTAACAATATGTAAGGAGCGACTGCAATCATTCCAGTTCCAGCCTACCCAATTTATTACACCCTTGGTGAGGTGGTGAGCATGAGACTTGGACCCGAGAAATGTTAAATATGCAATGCCAGCACGGTTAAATGCAACGCTTGGTAGAATCACCGCATACACACCGTATTTGCTCGTTTTGTAGCCCGGGCCCATATTTTTTAACCAAACTCACTAACCGGGCCCTTATTCAAGCACGGGCGCTTGTTATTGCACATATAGATAATATCTAATATATTTTCATCTTCAGTTTTCAAGTATGATTTAAACGAGAATAACGAAAATTTTGACTTTTTCTTTGCACCACAGGTACAAATCCGCAAAAGAAGAAAAGTTTTGGGACGCCCTATCAATATTGAAACGACGCACTTGGGCGTCGCGACGCCCAGTTTGAGAACCACGGTGTTACGTAATCAATGCTATCTGTTATGTAATTGTCCGCCTAAGGCGTGAGTGTTATCTACCAGCGCTTAAAATTCAACAGCGTTGTGACAAAAGCGCTTCTTATTCCCTATTGTTCTCTATCACTGAAAAATCAGCTTTTAAATCGGGCGGGTATTCAAGCACCGGCCCTTATTCACTTTTATGTTCTGTTCACACGGGCGGCTATTCAAGATCGAGCGATAAAACGAGCATATACAGTATTCACATTTTGCTAAAATCACTGCCTTTCCAAATTTTACATCTAAAAGTATGATCATTTCAGTTTTTTAATATAAATGGAAAATTTTACTGAAAAAAACACTGGTTACAACTACAAGTATCTGTGTGGTTCCGCAATATTTTTCATATAGGAATAATTCAAATTTTAATATAAAAAAAAATTGAATCGACACATGCCAAACTAAAAAAACATGAATATCAAAACCTAATATACCAGTAAACTCTTGTTCAGGAGGAGCAGATTTTGATCTCAGATCATTAAATTCTTGCTTGTCTTTGTTATCACGTAATGATCCTGTCGTGGCTTCTCGTTCAAAAGAAGGTGCAGCTTTGCGTCTTTCAAGAGACAAGTTCTAAAAAAACAAAAATTTTTTTTTTTCACCCGGGAATATTTCCAGGAATACATAAAATTTGGGAAAATAAGACATGATTTGAATAAACGCCCAGGCTGTTATGAGGCAGTTGCATGTTGACTTTGATTAGCTCTGTCTAAACACCTATCAGGTCAAAAATTCTAAAAGTGTAATAATTTTCAAGATTAATATTCACATCTCACAAAATAGATTTCGCCTTGTGTCTTTACTTGATTCTCATTTTTGTTGCGAAATACCAATTTCAGTGTACTTTGGGGGCAAGACCGATATAAATTTATAATTAGTCTACAAAAAAGTTTAGTAATGTATAAACAGCAATCTAAAATAAAACCCATGGCTTTCCGGGATACCTTGGTACTCTTTTGATAAATCATGCCTATGACCTACCTTTCGTCTTCTGAACAATCTCTCTTCTTCTGACGTGTCATCAGATTCCTCTTCACTGCTCCTATCTCGTCCCCGTCTCCTACCTCTTCCACGTCGTTTATTACGTGATCTGTATCGAAAATCATCGTCATCCTCAATAAAATCATCATCTCGTCGTGACCTATGACCTCTTGGTTGAGACCTGAAAATGAAATTCATTTTCGATTTGGAAAATATCGAAAACATACATATCACTAAACTAAGAAGAAAACTTCAGTTAAGTGGAATTCACTACATAGCTGTGTTATTTGTTACACAGACAACTATGGTAAGAAAGACTCCGTTCTTCCAAATAAAATTGACCCTTTACATAACGTAATAAATATCAGTGCAGAAAAAAAATTATCCTTGAAAAAAAGTCTGATTATCTGCCCACTCATAACAATCTTTATAAATTAAACACCATGTAATTCACGTCAAATTTACCTCCTGTTTTTTGATGGAAATCGAACTCTTCTTTGCGAATGGTAACCACCGTCTTCATCTCTATCATCGTCATAATATTTATCTCTGTTAAATTGTAAATTTAAATCAATTGCTGACAATGGTATTGAATATTCAAACCACAAAAGGTAAACACAATATGAAAATAAAATCTATTCCAAGAAAAGTACATTATAATATCGAGTCTATGTTACGTTCTTGACAATGAAAATCTGTATGTGAATCATCAAACTAACTTTCAGGTAAAGGCAAAATAAGTTATATGGCTCAATATTTTTTAACTCATTTGGTCCATTAAAAAATCTTTCCGCAATCATCAATCCATCTAGTAAAAAATTACCTTTTTTTTTCTATATTTAAGCTTGACGCAAAAAGATCAAAAACACTTGATATTTGAGGTTGGGAAGGCTTGCCTATTAATAGTGTCAATAGCTCTTAGAACTTCAGTAGCCACATGTAACTCTCAGAGACCACATCGCTCGCTTTTACGTAAGTGCGAGTGGCCTAGATTCAATCATATTCTCATGAAAAAGTACCGTAACTCTGCCGATAACTGGCATTATGCTACATTTTGTTCGTTTATGTCCACAAAAACAAATCCACATACTACATTGATTGGAAACATTTTCTTGTAATAATTTAATGTCAACGGTCAACTTAATCGAATTTTTACGCTGTGATTGGTACAACAGAAAGTACGGTAAATGCACTCTGAGTTTGAAAATTTTAAAAATATCTAATTCAGTGGTTCCCAGAGTTGATTGACCGGGGGCCAAAATTAGAAGCAGAAGAATATTTGCGGGCCGAGAGAGCGGGAGCACCCGCAAATGGGCCAATACCAGTACGTATAATTTAGATACCGGTATAATGAAATTGTTACTAATATACACATGTGTAAACTGTGATAAAGACATAACAATTGGCAGAACGAAAAAAGGTAAAAAGATAAAGTGGTGAACTATTTCACTCAAGTTCGCGGGCCATTTTAAACTGTTACACGGGCTGTAATTGGCCCGCAGTTTGAGAACATGTGATCTAATTGATAAACTATGATCATCTGATTAACTTTTTTGACAATTTTCACAATGAATGATCAATGGTTACACATGGTGGACTACCTGTAATCATCACGATCATCTTCAACACCTCGATAAGACCTTTCTTGCTTTCGTTTCCTCTCTAATAATTCCTCATATGTTTCATTTGTGGAATCTTTGACCTGTGTACATAAGCATGATTAGATCAGAGAAAAGAATAGCGAGATCAACAAATCAACGGTCATTGATTGAAAGTGCAAATTCTGATTTTGGATTCCATGCACATTTTATCTATTATAAATAATACAACCCAATACTCCAAAGTTGAATTCAGTCTAGTTATATTTAATGGAATTAAACAATCATATTGTCAAATACTAGAAAAAAATCGAGAATAAGTAAACATATATAACCTATACAGATATATGATCGAACACTAACAGAATAATTTACAATGATAAGACAACATTTACTACTGATAAAATTTATCTATAACAGATAATTAACACATACCATGATAAGAGTAGAGATTCAATCAAATATAATTATACTAATTATTATGAATTAAATTGATTTATCATAGTCAGCTCTATATGTCAAAAGAATCATTACTGTTTGGAATAATTTTGAAATGATTATTCAGAAGTGTGAAGTAGACTATGGCAAGATAAGACAGAAATCGCATATTATATGGACACAAAGATTTGATACCAGCACCATGACCTCATTAAAATTAATCCGCACAACTTTTGCCGGACAACAGAGATTTGAGGTGAAACAATGACTGCTAAAAATTTGTGAGAAAAATATAAGGTAATGTAATAGAAGACAATTTCTTGTTTAAACATTAAAAATTTGAATGCGATTCGTCAAATATTTTATGAGAAAAATGATTTTTTGTCCCAACAAAACGACATCAAAAATTGATAAATTCAACAAATCAATCCCCTTTGTGTCCAATAGAAGAATTTAAGAAGTAAAAAATGAATATGTGATAATACACGATATCAACATTTCCACATGGCTACATGAACAAAAAAATATTCACTAACAAATAAGGAACAATTTAGAAGAACAAGTATCTACAATTTGAAGAGGCATCATACATGAACTAAGAAAGAACTATGCATGGAAAATCTTTGATTTTTTGTATTATCATGCTTAAACAAAGCAAACAAATCAAAATTATGATAGAAAATAGCAAACGGGTTTCAAGACATTGAAGAATCAATAAAACAACATTGACTAATTTATATTTAGTTTATTATGAGCTATATAGGTGTACATATCATTAAGATTTATCTAATTGGAAAAAAATTCATTTTTTTGAATCAATTGTTTCTCTTACATAAGGGGGAAAAATTGACCAATGGGCTAATAATATCGGCAATACACAAAACCTGTTTGATCTTCATATGACACCCAATATACATGGGAAAAACAAGATGCCTATGAATACAATGAATGTCAGACAATAATAAGATATCAGGTGACAGAATTCTACACTACAATTCACCAGACAATGGTAATAACAACTTTCATGTATACTATTCTAGACAAAAAATAGCCTTGATATTTGAAAATCTATCATAATTAGGGTTTGTAAATGGGGTTTGAATAAACTAAGATAAATTTATAATTTATTTGTAAGCAAAAAGATGCCGAAATATTTCCAGGTAAATAGTGAAATATGTATTCGAATAAATAGATTAAAATCAGAAAATTTAAATATTTGTAAACACATGATACCATTTCCTCATTATCATTTACCGAATATCATTTATGTGTATATTCATTATCATTATAGAGAGAATAAGAACATATTACTGGCTAAGGTACATAAAAAGCAGTAGGCCTACATACCAATTTTAGAAAATGCATCATATCATAATATTTAGTTAGATTGAATCATGTTTTTTTGAAAAATGGATTTCATTTTTTTTTTCAGTTTGTGACAAATATTTGAATATGAAAATAAAAAATATGGGTTTTTATTGGAAAATCTGACTAGAAATTCTCAATTAAATTCTAATTTTTATTCAATTCTACCCACAGAAGCAGTAGCATATCAATATTCTATGGAATACAGCCTAGTAAAATCAAATTTATATGATTCCAAAGCTAGAGTAAAAATTCAAAATTTGATTTATCGTATAACTCTATACTGGATGCATACAAGGCGTTTCATCATGCATTATCCAGTCAGAAATCAGCTTTACCAAGCATGGGATATTGATGGACTGTGCCTTACGTCACGGTCCATCAATGCCTCATGTTTGTTAGTGCTTTATTTCTGACTATTTCACTCACAGGTTCATTAGGAATGACGATGGTTTTTTTGTTAGGTATGGTGCTATTTGGAGGAGCAAAAATTTTGGTTACTGGTGTTGCGAAAGGTACGTTGTTTCGAACTGGTGAGTGGGATAAACTTCTTGCACGACGTTTCTCTTCTTCAACTTCTTCTTTGTGATGTTTGAATTCATTATATTCATGATTTCTCTCCAAACGAAGTCTCTCCTTTAGTTGTTATTAGTGAATATTTTAAAATTTTGAACTCCAGAACTAATTGTTTTCAAACAATTCACTTGCTTCTATGACTCAGCAGTCTTATATTAACCCTTACAATTTCAATTACTACTTTCCATAATACCGCTCAAAAGTGTGTATCTTTACTTTGGGTGCTCCAGAAGTATGTGTACCAATATGGAGGTAACTAATTTTGTTCCCCTACTTTACATCAAGTTGTGTAAAGGGACTGAAACCTATGCACAGGTGGTATATTCACTTGGCTAACACAGACAGTCCTCGAACTCGTAATAGAACTAAAATAAGGAAATTGGATTAGAATTATGGCATAACCCTAAACTGGTACACACACTACGGGAGTACCTTACTTTGAGCATTAATAAGAAGTACTACAGCATTGAAAAAAATGAGGCATCAATATGTATGAACACACAAAAATAATATTTAACCTTCCGTATAGAATATTGAACATATGAAGGGAACTTGTAAGTGTGATGTGAAAAACTTATTGATATATATTGAAAGTGATAGTGTATAAATAATCCATAGTGATATGTGCTCAACAGGTTTAAAGCTGTATTGATTGCTGCATATACATAGAAGATTATAGTGTGAAAGTAATGAAATAAGAATGATAGAATTGTTGTGCAATCAAATTGAAAAATAAATTACTGTACTCATTATAATACATATATGTTATAAAATACCAAATCAGATACCAAATACAGAGGCACAGTTAATACATGTTTTGAGCAAAGATGTCGAAAAATAGCTATGTTCTGAAAGAATTCGTAAAAAATATTTTTATGAATTCAGAAACTTTATTACTGGGACCGTATTTATCTCATACAATCTAGAGTTACAGGTAAGCAGCTTCTGGGTTGTGGCCTGGACGTAAAGTTATAATAAAAACAACAGAAAAGATTGAAGTCAAATATACTGGTAAAATGTGTAAGGAACAAGTCAAATTGCGAAAGTTACACGGAGAACTATTTGGCTGCCAACTGAAAAACCGATTATCCATATAACTGTACAATCTTATCAACCGAAATTTTACACCAGCCATTATGTCATCTGAATAGCACTATACTCACTCCTATCATATTTAACATGGTTGCTACAGATTGTAGCACCAAATATAACAAGATATTACACAGATTTTACAACCTCACTATTTATAAACCCCTTCTTATGATTTGCTCATAACAAATGGCAGTTTCCAAGAAGCTATAAAAGTTAACAGCAGTAAAGTGTAGACATCAAAATATCAAACAAGTACACTTGAGATACATAAGAGCTTAACGTAATATCGGCTTATTGCTGCGCAAATATTGACAGCTAAGCTTATTTATGAGACAAATGACGCAGCGCTTCTTGTTGCTCTGTAAAGTTGGAATTTTTGGTACGCCCGAAGTATGTGAACCAAGGTGGTGGAAATCAGAAGGTAGTATGTGTACCAGGTTAGGTTTAGGCCATAAATTTATTCCAATTTAAGAGTTTGGGGAATAGCCAAGTGACATCCGTAGTATTTGTACCTGAAATTAAGACCTAACCCTAACCTGGTACACATACCACTTACCGGTGTCCGCCATTTTGGTTCACCAAAAGTACCAAATTTTTTGCTTTGGCCTGTGCGGACTGAAGATTTGTTAGATTACTTTTTATAAGTCACCATACCTTTGCACTTAATCTGTCTTTTATTGGTAAACTAAGACCAAGATCTGAATTAGTGCGTCCACCAAGAGGTAATTGTGTCTGTTGATCAGGATATCTTCGACCAGTTGTTCGAATATTTTTCTGAATCACACAAAAGTAGAACATAGTTAATACTTATCTCAGCCAACTCCCAGCATTGTAAATTTAGCAAATTATTATATATTCACAGCAGTGATTGTAGTTTATAATAAATAAGTGAAAGTTATAAAAATTGAATATGCCACAGATGTGAATTAATAATTTAAACTGAAATGTAGTGTGTTAGCATGGTAGCAATCACAAATTGATAAGGAAGTATATCATAATGAATATTAATTAGAAGATATCAAATTTGTCTTCTCCACTATTGAAGTTTACAAGCAAAGCAACATTTGGGCATTGTATGCAATGTTCGATGTACCATAATTTGTAGATAAGTTATAGCATAGGTCAGGGGTGGGAAAATTACGGCCCACTGGCCGGATCCAGACCATCGAGTGTTTCATCCAGCGTACATGATTTTTATGAATCTAAATTTCTGTTGAAAATATCGATGAAAATAATGTCATAATCATAATGACCCTGATTGTTACATTGTGCTTTATTATTATATAAACGTTAGCCACTTTGCCTATAGCTGTTGTAAATAAACTGTTTTTATTCAAAGTTTTTTATATAGAGCAGGGGTTCCCAAACCATGGCCCATGGGACAATTACGACCCGTGTAACGATTCAAAATGGCCCGCCAAAACTAAGTGAAATACTTTAACCTAGATAAATACTAATATATACGTTCAACACTTTATGTTTTTGCGATCTAGACATCGCCGATTGTTACGTCATTATCACAGTTAAAGCGCGTATATATTCGTAACAATTAAAACAAACCATAAGTAGCCATTTATACGAGGCTCGGAGGCTGTATGCCAGATGAGCAAGCAACTTCATTAGAAGCTAACAGTTGCAAATTTCTTGTTGAAAGTCGTGCTTGTTATTGCTCGGGTATTTATCACTTAACTATTATAATTATTAATTGTATTACATAACAAACTGCGATGCTAGGTGTATTTTTATTGTAAAATAAAGCTTGCGGCCTATTTTGGTGCCTTTTTTTTAATCTTCTCATTCTGCTTGAGCACACCCTGAACCCCAGCCGCATCGTCGCTTCCTTATGCCCGCTCCTCTTTCCTGGCCCGCGAATATACTATTGCTTCAAATTTTGGCCCGCAGTCAACCAACTTTGGGAATCCCCGGTTAAGAGCTTCTGGCCCAGTAACCAAGTCTTGAACTGGCCCATCCCTGTTAAAGATCATCAGTTTGATTCATATTCAGTACTCTATCAACCCAGAGAAAATGAAACAGGTAAGCTGTGGAATTTTTCAAATCTAATATTTTCAATCACAGATTGTAGAAAATTTGTCCTGTGTGTAGACAACATTAATAAAAAAACTCACATCAGCCATTGCATTACGATAGTCTGCTCTCAATTCCTCTTTTAATTTCTCTCTTTTTTTCTTATAATCATCACCAAGACGAAATATTCGAGGTGTTGAAGGAGGTCGAACGGCAGTTTGTATTGGTAACGGATTATGTGTGGTTGCGACATCAGATCGATTGGTTTGTCCACCAGGAACTCGATTTTCTTTGCCACGATTTAAAATCTGAACAAAATAGAAATATTAAAATAATTTATTATTCTCAAAATCTGTTTTTGTAAGTATTACAGAAGGAAGAGTTCAATTCAGAATAAGAAATATTTGCAATAAAAAAGGAAATAAAACTGAAATAGTTGATACTTTTTTAAAATGTATGTATTGGAAATTGCCAACAATTTTAATACTCAGATTGAATTAATTGTACAAATAGATGTCCAACAAAATTGCAGACAACATATTTTTTTGTTTTATACAAGCTTATCACATCTTTCGCTCCGAACACGGCTGTGTACTTGCAAGAAGCACCTGACATCAATGTCAGAAACTACTAGCATTTTTGAAGAAAAAGATTCTTTTTCAGCATTGCCTGCCCAATTTATTATAGTGTGGGTGAGGTGGGATTTGAACACTAGATGTGAATTTTGCGATGCCAATTCAGTTAAGTCCAACACTTTAACCATTAGGCCATCGCGCCATCCATATTCGGACATAAACATTCATAATCAGTAACATTATCCTATATCAATCAAGTTAAATATATCAAGTTCACCTCTCTGTTCACAGTGTTATCAGTTATAGCAGATGAGGGGTTGTTTTTTAAAACATCTCTGTCATGGGCGATCTTTGCTCGTTGTTGTTCAATAAACCTGGCAAGATCTTCTTCATCTTGCATTTTGATATTTGTCTATTCTCAGATTCTTGTTTTAAACAAGGAACAAAAGATTGAATAGACCCGGTCTCAAAGTCTTCGATATTGATATAGATCACAAGTTTATATATAACTTTATAGACTTTAATACTGAATACAGTTTCTGTTCATCTAAATAAATATATATATTTAATTATGTTTTAACACTGCAGCATATCTCTGTATCTGTTACAGTCTTATGTTATTTCAGAGTTGAAAAATTGAAAATATCAAACTGGAGTAAAAATTTGAAAAGTAAAAAATTGACTAGAGTTACTGTGTACTGGAATGTGTATTTCAGACTTGAAGATAAATTGGTTATTTTACCTAATATTTACAAACAATTAGAAAAGACTAAAAATTACTTACTACAGTTACCGTACTTATCACAAGTTCTCCATATTCCAATTTAGATCGACAAAAATAACTTTTAATTTGGAAACAGACCACAAATAAAAATATTTAGATCGATGAAGCATAGTGCATGTTGATTAGAAATGAAGTCCGAACAATCAAAGCTAATTGGAATGATAATGGAAAATATAATTTACCATCGATCAATTTTATATAATGCATTACCGGTATAACCGGGTTGTAGACCGTATAGTTTAGCTCCTGTACCTATTATTGTAATTAGGCGACCAGTGGAGATATATTGGATTCTCCCCTTCATTTTAATTTGTTGTGGTATTCTATGATTTGTTTTGTGTGTATACAAAATTTTATCCTAGGTTGAGGTTCTGCTGTGAAGTTGATGTGAAGGCCAACATACGAATGGTCAGTGTGGTTTGAGAGTTTCTGCATGGTTTGCGAGGAATTCACCCTGTGTCCCAACCATATTTCAACTCTGGTCTTTGAACTAGCGTTTTATAGATAGATAACTAATAATCAATATCTACTCGAAATAATAATTAATTCTAAACAAAAGTGTAGGGTAGTGCTGTTTCCAAATACAGAAATATGTAACCCTTGAATATCCTACTCGCAGATTTGTTTTCTGTTTTTCAGGTCGTTCTGTGATGATCAATACAATGGCTAGTTTATTGAATATAAATGGTGTCTACAACAACAAAATTCGCAGGCTGATGTCTCATCCACGATAAACTTGAATCTATTACGCCACAATAATTAAATGAAGAAATGATCCTGTGAAATAACAATACTAATTCCTTTATCCTTGCAGAAGTCAATATCTAAGAATGAAAAAAAAAAACCTTATAACCTTAGCAACCAACATATTCCTATACCCTGTCTTTCTACCTTAATTAATTATAATTACTCATACTTATAAAGTTACTGATAGATTTAAATACTTATTGCAATCTGGACTACAATTTGGCAATAATAGGCTCTAGTTTGGGCAATGAAGTGGTCTAGCCCACCTCTTCATGCACCCAATTCTGGCAACTTTGGTTGGGCATTTTGGCATTTGACTCCATCTATAATCAGCTTGACAATATATTTTTTTATAAAAGTTTATCTTTACTGTTCACTCCCATTTATAAAATTGATCAATTCTGCAATTTGGCAGTGGCAATCATGATAAATTTATTAATATGGTGTGGCAAGTAATTTTTATTTATTTATTTTTTATTAACTACCAGTATGTAATTTCTCATGTTCCCTTTACTTAATAACTTCTATATGGTTGTGTGTGTGGGTGCGTGTGAGCGTGTGTGAAATATTTCAATTATTTTAGGTGAGTGAACACGTACCACATCTTCTTGGCAAAACCTTCCATCTTATATACATTCTGTACGTTTTAAACCTTATCTAAGGTTTTGTTCGCTCTCCTGATTTCATAATCAGTTTTTATTTATTTATTTTTAGCATTCATTTTATTGTTTTGCTGATTATGGAGTCGAAATAAACTTATACTTATACTTAACTCACATTATATAAGAATACTTTCAGAGGGCTATTTATCGCAGCACAAACGTAGGTATATAACGGTTGATTTTCTGTATTTGGAAGGAAGGAGCCAAGAAGGGGAGGGAACTACACTGTCAGACTGAATACTGGTAGACTGTACGCAAAATTGAAAAAAATTCGGAAATCCAACCGTACCGTATTCCATTACGGTACCGTTCAGGATTCAAGGATTGGGCTTGAACCCTTCTATTTTAAAAAATTAGATTGACGCTGAACACACAGACACACAAGAAGTAGTCTATAAACAAAGATGGGCATGTACATGGAACACTTGAACTGCCTGTAAATCATAAATACCCTTACGTAAACGTATAAATACCGAATCAGCTGGGATAACTTCAGTATTTAGTACTAACTAATCCTAGAGCATCCTGTTAGCAACCAGCAAACGGATTTTCTCAAAACGTAAACAAAATATTTCTTCCGTGAACAACAGTAATGAACCACATGGTGTCGTTAAGTTGAAACTGTTATCCATTTATTTTGTTTCTGTGAATCTGTACAAAACTTGCAGAAAATCGTTAAGGTATGGTTGCCTGTTGAATATGAATTAAATCTCAACTTAGGAGATTTTGCTATAAGTGGAGCTAGGACAAAACCATGGGATTAATTGTATATTAATATGTTCAAGATATTTCATTTTCAGATTCAATTTTCCCAATTTTTATCATAGTGAAATTTAATCTACTGCAAAAGAGTTGAACTGGAAAATTAATGGCTTATTAAAATAGTAAAAAATTTTATGAAACTCGTTTTTTAATTGATTGTTATCAAATTTATGCATTATTCATTGTGCTGCTATTAGTACTATATGTGAGGTTTTATTAAATTAAAAAAAAACATTCCCAACATAGTTTATTGACCTCATTAGGAATTGCGGAAAAAATGTCAAGAATTTTGTATTTATATATTCATGCATTTGTTTACTTGTGTTTGTGCATTTCATTTGGACTTTGCGATCTGCAGTAGTAAACGAATTGAATTGAAAATAGTATAGCTGCACAGCTTTCTTGTACAACTATTTCTGCACCAAGTCAATTACGCCTCTTAAATTATAAACAAAGCCTATCATTTGGTAAAATCACAAGTGAGAAGTGATCATCAAAGGATGTATTTTTGAAAACTTTGGCGTGCCGCAAATGGCTTTTTGCTAATATTTTTTCATATTTATTGCCTTCAAATCTTAACATTTTATTTCTGTGAATTTGTGCACAATTTTGGCAAACAGTTAATGCATGGATAACTGCTGGGTATGGATTAAAACTCAATTTGACACATAGAGAACTTTTATCGGGGGTAGGGCAAAACTAAGATATAAATCGTGTTTTATTATGTGCCAGATATTTTATATACAAATGTAATGAAAGGCCTCAATTTTTATATACGATAAAAAAATATTATCAACCGTGAAAAAATGATTGCAACGAGAAATAGTAAACTATCAATCCATATGAAAAAGTGAAAAATTATGATAAGCTCATTTTTGTGCAGTGATATTTATGCATTATTGTGTCTATATAAAGGTCAAGTTTTTATCATAATGATAAAATAAAAAAACTTGCTTTGGCAAAAGTTTGTGGTACATTAATCTAACGATATATTATTTTTTTGAATCTTGAGTTCCTCCAGTATCGAAGGTATAAGTGCTACAAAGGCTACTACTACGATCGCGTTTTGATCCAAGGTAACAATGAAGGAATTTAGCATTGTGTCGTTGTCCATTGTATATTATCATCAGAAACACATTTTTTTTAATTGTTGTTTATGGTTTAGTAACATACATACAGACCTAAAATCTTATCACACTTGATTGAATGCAGTAAAAATTCAAGATATTTTTCGACCACTGCAAGTCTGCATTTTTACATACTTTTGTTGGACATTAAATCTAACACCATATTTATTGTCTGTTCAACCTTAAAATTGTTTGCCGTTGAAGCAAGGCATGTGCTTATATTCAATGAGTGGTATTGGAGTATTTTGTCTTGTGCGATAGCGAAGTACCGTGTTTCCCCGAAAATAAGACAGTGTCTTATTTCAACGTTCTTTTAAAACATTTATTAATCCTTCAAAACCATTAGGAAATATTTCTTGCTATCGACTAGGTTAAAAAAAATAGCGCTATTGACTAGGTCTTATTTTTGGGGAAACACGGCAGGGTGAAATGTGCTATCATTAGCTTTAAAAGTGGAATGTTAGGGGGAAATGTTAACTTGATAAACTAAATTGAATAATATTAAAAAACAGGTATGGCATTATTATTCGCTGTCAGTTATTTTATAAAATATGGATACATTGGATAAAATTATAGTTGAAATATTTATAATAACTTCGTTTTGACATACTTTGACATTTGCAAAAAAACGACAATAGTTTAGAAAAAATGATATCGTTAGAAAATTTGTATTATGACGTCACAGAATAATTTTCATATTTAACAAAACTGCTGTTTCATGAAATAGTATTAAAAATTATGCTGAACGTGCAAATGTAATAAAAAAACAGAATGTAATAAAAAATGAAAACCAAGCAAGTTCAGCTACGGCAGGTTTGATGACAATGGAGGGAATGTATATGCAAATATAATCATGTCTTCAAGTTCTGTGAACTCACTGACATTGTGTGATGAGCCCGGAGGCAAAGATTTAGCTGGTAAGAAATTTCCGCATATTATATATTGCGCTAAAGTCAGCCGAAAACCAAAGTATTTATCTAACACTCTTTGAATCGTCGTTCGTAAAACACAGTCTCTCATGGTGCTGAGATGACAGTATTCATACAGTGGTCATTCTACACGGAATTAAAAATGACCTACCCGTAAATATAGAATAGACAGTTCCAACCGGTATAATTTCCTTTTTTTGATGTTTAAAAAATGGAAATACACCACTATTGTTTAGTAATATAATCGTATGTCATGTTGATAACAGTGGCGGAAGAAGATGATGACGAAGTTGAAATAATGTTTCTAGATTCTGAAAAGGATGACATTGAAAATGCTGTGTAAGTTACACTGTGATCAACCTAATATATCAGTAGATTCACTAAACAATGGGCAATCATGCTAGATCTTTTCCAGGCTAATAAGTCGCGTATGTCAATTGCTTGTTGCAATTTATAAATTTATTTTGCTATTATTATGCGATATTTCAAAGAAGTCAGCTGTCGTTATTTCACAACAAAAAATTATCTTACATTTCAAGCGTTTCAGAGGACGAAACGAATAACGATAATCAGGTTCTTCAACCATCCAGTAACATTCCTGTCTCGGACCTAATTCAAAACACAGAAAATGAAGTAGACCAAGAAGTGACTATTCCACATTTGGTTTCAGGTATATATAGATGATTGTATCACAAATTATCGGAGCTCTATCTCTTTAGTGATTAGGCGCCACCTAGACTCACTAACGTGCCCTAAGAGTGCGGATTGGCGCAACCGAATCATTTCCGAATCAATTCCAATCGGATTGTTTTTGTCGAATCTAATATTTTCATTGTTACAACCGCCCGCAGTAAAACGACTCCTTCATATAAAACACACGAACTTGGGGATGCATTTGAATAGTATTATATATATAAACAAACATAAAAAATTACATAATTTAAGATAGCATTCTTCCTTTTTCAATATATATAAATAATGAACTAGAAAATAATTGACTTCATTGCTATGATGTTACGAGAGAATGGATTTATTGTACGTTAGATTTTATCGTGAATGACCTACATATTTTAATTTTGCAGAAGCGGTCGAGAAAGCCTTGACTGAATTCGAAAATGAATCAGTTTGCGTGAGTTCTGACACACCTAGGTCTTCAGAGAGTGATCAACCATCTGTAAGTATATACAAGCGATATCTAAATCTAAATAAAAACCATTGATACCAACTACATCGAGATATATTTATCGTCAATATCTGCTCTCATAGTTTGCGGAAACGCTTTTGTGTATATTGATATCTGACAGCCCAAAAGATTATTTAGGATTCATCAGAACACTTTCCGACAGGTGGAAAAGAAAATCAGCAAATCTTCATGTGGATCAAAGAATTCTAAAAGCAGCCACGGCAACATCCCATCGTATCCGTCATCAAATAAAATATTTTCTGTGTCGTCCTTCTGTAAATCTGCGGGTATGTGTTTTCATTGTTTCATTTCGTTTTCGAACTTATTTTGAACTTAACGGTTTACAAAGCAACTGTGTGAACAGCATAATAATACCTGCTAAGCTACAAACTCCCATAATTTGTTAGAGGCTCATTCATAGTTCATATTTGACAAACTCAAAACTATTAAAAATTGGCAACAATGCACAGCAAACAGTCTGTTAATTCTTCCATAATAATACCATGAACATTGTATTTTAGCTGATTTTCTTCAACCCGACGATACTACGACAGAAAACAAGCCCAGTGAGAGTTCCAAAGAACAAAGAAAACGAGCAGCCATAAGAACAAACGAAGGTTACCTCTATAACACTTATTCATTCGCAAAACTTACATTTTGGCTTGTGTAGTGGTCGGAGTCACATTTTCAACTTTTCCAACTTTGAGACGTCTAAAATCCCATTGGGAGAGAATACACAGATAAAATTTTAGACGTCCCAAAGTTCAGACAGGACAAATATTGCCAATGTTTGTGTTTTCTTCCACCACACACATATAGACAGCTTTCTGCTTCAGCTGAGAGAGTGGGCAGTCTTGGGTTGGAGTTTAATAGAAATATTTGGCTTATAATCATTGCTTGAATAACTGAACAATTTCATTATCAACATCAATATATTGCAATGCCTTGAAGATATGATATATTAGGGCATATAGTTCACGAACATTGACGTCAGATTCTCTGTTTAAAAGTTGCTCATGGTAAACAGTAACAAATGAAAATTAAAACGCAAAGATGTATCGATCTCAAACAAATTCAACTTATATTATTATTATTATTTTCAACTGTGCTTTTTAGACATTGATTTCCACGACGACGACATAAAGCTTCCTGGCTATGAAAAATTTGCTCGAAGTAAAAGCTTACCGGAAAACAAGACGCAAGATTCGCGAGGAATACGTAAAAATCGACCTAAAAGCGGATCCGTCGATTTTATCAAAAGAAATAAGTCAACACTATCGACAAAACGAAGTCGAGCTCAATCAAAAACCATCAATAAAAGACCGGTTACGGCTACTGCTGGGAAGAGAGGACGCGTGCTGGTTTGTTTCACCATACATTCATTGGAGTTCGAGAACAAAATGTTCAGTTCTTTACTTTTCAAATATGCAAAATAACAATAGAAGTACTATCACTGTGCCTGAAATTAATACCGTTTAAAAATAGAGAATTTATTATCAAAGCAATCAAATGCATATAGAGAGATCACCTTGAAAGTGTGGGAAAGTGGCATGTTGTGCTTCAGATTATGTCTGTACTTGCATGATCACATAAATTCACCGCCATAAATCTATATATATAGTTTCAGTAGCTGGTGACTATGCTCTGAGCAAATTATTTTTAATAATGCTCCCTAATTAATAAATACATGCATCATTCTAGAATAAAGAGGATTCTGCAACAACTGAACACCGTGTTTCGTTCTCATCTTCGCTTAAAAACAAATCAACGACATTGAACGTGAGTTAAATTTATAATCAGAATCGTTCAATTTTGAACTATTATTGATATTTTTTCCTAATTTGCCAATCTTGTTTTTAGAGAAACAAAAGTCTCACTTCAGGAGAATGGTTGGTATTAAATGAAAGTCAACTCGCCTCCTTCAGGAAACTATTTTCCCGTTTTGATCAGTCACAGAGTGGAGGAATATGCCCAGAAGAATTATTTTCAGCCATCAGGGTAGCCTTATTAAAAATTTAATATTATTAGTGTCACTTTAAAAAAAGCTACCAAAAACAGGTACACAAATTAATCTAATATTCGTGAACGTAATGGCACAATAGTTGGTAAATCATTGGGTACTATTAACTAGATATAAAAACTAGTAATCCCAAATATTACGTAAAAAAATGATAAAATATTCTAAAAATGGAAACTTGAAATGCTCGAATCTTGTAGGGCTGTTCAGTATTTTATGCCATATACTGAAAGGTGAAAATAAAAATGATATTGGTGACGTTTGTCTGTTTTGAATTTTTCCATACAGGAGTTTATGCCAGAGGAAACTATCCCATTCGAAGACGTCAAAAAAGTACATGCAGAATTGGATATAAAACAAACGGGAGAAATTGAATTTGACGAATTCTTATTTGCAATGACAAATCCGAAAAATTATTTGAAGTTAATTCATGGTTAGTGTCGTTAATTTCCACCGAAATTAAATACTGAAAACAACCACGCCATACCTACCATTTGTTATTAATGGCATTTCTTTCAAAAAGATGACGATCGCAAAAAACTGACCAAAGAAATTAAACTATGGGAAGAATTTCAGAGCAATAGGAACGGACGGAAAATTGGTGTTACAAATAAAACTAATCAACCTCAGGCTAACAGAGAAAATGCGTGAGTAATTTGAGAATGTTTTTGCTAATTCTACATTGATTCATGTAGATTGTAGAGTCTATACTAGTCAAATTGAGTTTCAATCAAATTCAGAATCAGAAGGGGGTTTTGTTACCGATTCCAGATTCATCCAATTTCAAGTTTCGAATTGTAGTTTTGTCATATGAAAATAATTTATAGCACTCTAACCTGAACTAAGGCGTCAATGCAAACTTATAACTTATGCTATACATATACAGCCAATGGCATAAACACATATGTATGTATGTTAATTAACTGGATCTATATGTATGTTTTTGTGACTGTATATGCATATGGCACTGATCGTATATGTATGTATATAAGTTAGCTGTATAAACATACTTTTGACTGCATGTATAGCATGTTACAAACCTCACCATGATAGTATGCTATCTGTACAACAATGTTACTTGAACAGTACTTTTCATTTATTTTGCAGAGGGGATGATAACAACATATTTTTCACCATGTTGAGAACTGCAACGAAAAAGGATTCCATGCGTGAAATACGTCGCTTTTACGTCAATAAAATTAAAAAGTTGAATGACCACGTGATACACGACTGGTCGGCAGGTGATGAAAGCATTTCGCTTTTGATGAGTTTGGCAATATTTTTATTCGTATTTTTCTGTCGTAGAATAAATCGTCGTTTTGCTGAAATTCTATCTTATGTTTACCGTTATCTTATGGACCGCTTGTTTAACTTCAACGTTAGGTCAACGTTGCGTTGGTTTGTCGGATCAAGATGTATTAAGAAGATACGATCACATTAAGAAGGAATTGAATAACAAAAAATCTCCTTTTGCAAAGGAAAAACTTTATCAAGATTCTCCATATGCAAAACCGTTGTACTGGGGTTTGCAGGAATTGAAGGTGAATTGAATTTACTTAAAAATAAAACACGACACTATTATTTTCTGCCTGACAAGCCAATTTTGAACAAATGAGAGAAATATGGTTCACGTCACCTTACCCCCAGAATGCTAATGCTTTTCATGTCTAATACTAAACTATATCGAAGTTCTCAAATAATCATTTGTGTTATCCAAAGGTGAACTTTCCAGTGTCGACCAATGTTTCTTCTGCCTTAGATTATCCTGGATATTTATTTGCTCTTGTTATCGTACCGTAAAAATAATGTGTGAACTCATAGATATATATTCATTGACTGATTTAGGTTAAAACCAAAGTTTAACATCACTATTTTTTGAATTTTTGATTAAAAGTCGGCTGAAACAAGGAGAAAAACATTGCGCGAAGAAAAATTAAAACAGGCGATGAAGCAAGCCAGTAATTCCCTCGAAACTTCAAATGAAGGTACGTCATTTTTGTCGAAAACTTGATAGATAAAATGTCTATCACAATGACATTCTTGGTGTCATAGGCTAACTATACATCATGAGAACTATACTTTGATGAAGCTTAGGACCAAGACTGTGTTTAAAAATAACAAATACATTTCGTATGTGCCCGAAGAAGTGTTGATGTTGGTAGATGCCGGAGAAAGAGGGTTTACATGAACCCTAGTAAATTGTGTCTTAACTATTCACTTACACTTGGTCTGAAAACCAGGCGGGATTTCGTGATCCGCCCTATGATAAAGTCTTATCGCCTTAAATTTAATTCATTATAGAAAGTTTTGTTTCTATATGCTGTTACAATATGAAATACTTTCAACAGATGGAGACCCCCATCACCACGACGTGACCAAAACAGATCAACAAAAGGTAAAACACATCGACATTCAGCTCTCGGATGAATTTGCAAAACCCAAGGTGAGATTGATTTCAATTATTGCCTGTCATTGCTACGTAAACACCCAACTCATTCGTAAACAACTGACACATTGCGCTCAAAATCGACATTCTGGTATTTCGTTTACTCAGGCGGATTCCTCATTCAAAAAGAAAGATATTTTTATCAAGCGGAAGTCCCACAGCGGCCGAGGACTACCGAAGCAACATGTAAGACAAGACGTAGTCCGAGCTTATACAGCGCCACCTACTGACATAAAGTCAACGTCGTCCGCAGGGAAAAGAGATGGTAAGAGTCGTACTCATATCTCAACTGAAATATGTAAGCTTCAAAGAAGTTACTGATAAAAATGGCAATTAATTTAATAGTATTTTAAGATAACTACTACTTTAAAATTCTATCTCCAGGCAAGAAAAGATTGGCTGGAGTCCGTAGTGCACCTACCCGACGGATAAAAATTTCGGAGTTCGTAGTCACGCCAAAAGTCGTTCCCCTTCCGATTTACCCATTGAAAGATAATCCGTGGCCGATGGATTATGATAATGTCGAAGAAATAAGAAAGCGGGTGATTTAGTAATTTTTTTCGTTTTATTAAAATCGATCTTACATATATACATGTAATAATTTCAGCTAATATCTCTCTAAAGTCTAAACCAATGAAGATATATATTACTATGGTAGTGCCATTGAGATCAGCATTTTGCTAGAAAAAGACATTTATAAGTGACTTACATTTAAACTTTTCGTATAATTTTTATCAATTCTGTCTCAGTCAGCAGACATACTGCAGGAATACTATAACAAATTGAAGAAGGTGTCTGCAACTAATTCTAAAGTTATTTACAAGAAACTACAGGTTTGTATTTTTATTTAATGGCCAATCGTCCTTCATTTCAAGGTTGTTGACAATCAAACGAGAAATTCATTCTAGTTACGCATTCCATCATTTATTCCGTCTATTGAAAACAAGTGCGACAAGACTTAGGTCTATATATATATATAAGATAAAACACCGTTATTTATTTTATTTATTATTTGATTACCCTAAATAGTACATAATGTCAACAGGTCGATCAAATCAGTCCGATGTTGCAACGCCATTTCAAAAGGTGTTATCTTGCTTATTCTGGAGAATATGAACCGTTTGTTGTGTCACCCTGGATTCCGTATCCTGTCCCCTCACCTTGGATGCAATCTGCCCCTCTTGGGCACAGCTGTCGCGCAAAATCAGCTTGGACATGATGGCTTCATTTGTTACGCTTCTTGTTTGTTATAAACCATATATATATGAAGAATCGTGTTGTACACGTTGGAATTGTCCGTTCATAACAATAAGATGATTTGCTTGGTCGGGATAGAAATTCTGATAGATTGTCTAAATCTAAAATACTAATCAATATCACAAACAACTTTGCTCCAACTCTGTCGCTAAATGAACTTTTATGCATATACTCCGTTTACATTATCTTCCCACTACGTTTATTTAATGACCCGCGTACAAATTACTAATTACCATACCTAACAGCAACGGAGTCTGACTTTTACGTTAAAGTTTTTATTATCAAAATTGGGTTTTCTTTGGAGACCGGATCTGTAGTCTAAATTCCATTGACCCGGAGTCGAATACTTAAACTCTGCGTTGAAGTCATTGCGGAGTCGAGAGTCGACTGTAAATTTCGTACCGCAATTAATTACACAACTTGACCTGAGCGGAAACCGAATGGAACGAAAAGCTCATTTAAAAACAAGAGAGCTACGCCCAAATATATGGACACGTCTGCTCGCAGTACAGTACGGTTTACCGTACCGTCAGATCACAGTCTACAAATATGTTCACACCGAGCGAAGCAGTACAGTTGGACACAAAATGGCATCCGATGTCAACAGAACGTTCAGTGACGTCATAGCAAACAAAAACAAATCTCACAGAGCTAACAGAAATATTTGAAATAAATAAAAGTAATAGCCTTATGGAGAAAATTTCATCTTCAACCACTAAAAACTTCAAAGCAATTGGTCCAGTAATCAAAGAGAAAAGCGATTTTTTAGATTTTCCACTAGGTGTCCAAAAGTGTCAAAGAACAACATAACAACAAAACGATCGTTATGTCCACTGAACGTGTCCAATAACAATTGTTTCGCAGACCAGAAAAGAATTATTCGTACGGAAGACTGAAGCGATCGTAGTCAAAATTGTGCGTTGAATCATTGAAAAAATACCACCAAATCATACAATGTAATATTATTTATTCAATTAAAGGGTATAGGTAGCCTACTTGGTAAATATTTAATTTCAGTTTTAATCAATACTCAGAAGGAATTAAGGGTAAAAATGCAGATCGTGTGTTTCCATTGAATGTTGTATTCATTCACTTCATTTACATTGATATTGCATTGCTTGTACCATATCATGGTTTACTAAGACCAAAGCATTGTCTGACTTTGCGCGTTAGAAGTTTGTAGATGTGTTTATTTGCATTCGCTCCTGTATTGATGGAGTGTGCTTCATCGGCATAAAACTGAAATGGAATTTTGTTAAGACAATATAACCAAGGGAATATTGAAGAGTGGATTATTTCGTTAGACTGACAGTCGTAATTATTACTTATAAACCATCTCTCGGTATGATATTTTTCAGACTTCAGAGTATAGAAAATTTTGCTGTAAAATAATTGGATGCTGGTACCTGTATACGCACTGACTGAATTTTTTCTTCTCTTTTATTTATGTGCCAGTTTCGTATTTGATAGTAAAAATGATATAAATCGACCTCCAACATTGGCCTATTCCCAGGCATTGTATAACGTTACTTACATAACTGTCAAAATTAACATCAGCCTGTACAAGGGCTTTATTGATCAATGCAGCGTTTTGGAAATGAACATTGTCGTCTGCGGTTCCATGAATGATGGTGTACGAAGCCTGCACGTGAAAACATTTTGTTTCGTTAACGCCAGCTTACCTATTTGGCAGTGGCGGCGCGTGGTCATTTTGACAACCGGGGCAAGCTACTGCGGGACCAAGTCACCCCCATCTACGGGGACAGGATGAGCGCTGTAAGTTCTCCCATCATTTTATGAGTATAAAAACCATTCCATCGGTAGCAACCAATCGGCAAAAGCGACAATTTTTAACGATAAGAAAGTGTCTTTAAAACCGGTCCAAGTCAAGGGATTAATAAATATAGACATAGTTTATTTTGAAACCTCTTTCAAAAGGAAAGGCAATATTTACCCAGATAAATACAATGACATATTAACAGAAACTTCGGGAAAGCAGACAAAGCCTAAAATAAGGTTTAAAACGTTACTATGAAGAAAGGAAAGTTAATGCAAAGATAAGGACATGCGTCGCTCACTCATAGATATATATGCTGCTAGACTTCTACTGCTTGAACATATATGCAACACGCCGCGGTTTCTTGGAAGCAAAATGCTCAATAACGCGCTGATTAAAGTCATGCATCCCAGAAATAACGTCTCTGTGAATGGATAAAACAGCCAAGGAATTTAATCTATCTTGCTTCATTGTGTTTCTGAGATACGTTTTAATACGCTTCAGCGTGCTGAATGTTCGCTCTGCGTCGGCGGAAGAAATAGGCGTCGTCAAAATGATGTCCAGAAATTTTGCAGACGCCACAAAGGTAGTTACTAGAGTGTTATCTATGAGGAACCCATAGAGCGCGCAAGTTGATGTGATGTTCAAAAAAGTTTGATTGGTGTATATACATCGCAATTCATTTTCCAATTTACCCACGTTTATCATGGGGTAAAATTTGGAGACAGTAGCCAACAAATGGATGGGAAATTGACGTGCAAATTTTGAAAAATTTTTGGGGTTCATCAAAGAGAACGCGGCAAGGTGTTCAGTGCGCAGACGATCGCCTATTTGATTCACCAGAATGTCACAGCATTCCTCTGCAGACAAAATCAAACGCTGCGTTGTTTGCCCGCGGCGTAAAGAAGCACTCCTTGTGTCGTCGTACTTTATTGTTTCCCGGATACGAGATGCAGCATCGCAGAAGTCTGAAATACACGACTGCACAGACGCTCCATCCATTAGCCTTGACTGCAATGCGCCGTATAATACATCCACGTGATAGAATATTGTGGAGAAAAAAGCGAGAAAAAATGAAAACTCACCATCTTCTAGCAGACGCTTTAGACCTGCCGCCTCCCTCACAGAGCGTTCGTCCCAAACCGGAGAGCTCTGAATGCCATTGAAACACTCAATGAGCTCGGACCTAATTTCGGACACGCCCTGCACCACGCGTGATTGAAAGTTCCAACGTGTTGGTGCACAAGCTGGGAGACGGCGGCTACATATCTGGTGAAGGTGGTCAGAGCGCTTCGGCGAAACGGAAAAAAATGAAGAAAATCCCGAAACATTTGCAAAAAATATACGGACGAGAGGGGTATCAAGACACATATTTTTAATAACGAGGTTAAATTGGTGTGCATAACAATGTAAAAAATGCGCATGAGGAAAATCTTCTTTTATATAAACTTGAACACCATGTTTCGACCCACTCATGACTGCCGCGCCGTCATAACTTTGAGCTATCAATTTTGACTTCGCGTTGTAAGGCTGTAACACTTCTTTCAGTACAGCCGATATCCCGTAAGCCGTGCGATCAACGATTGGTACAAAGCTGTGAAATCTCTCGGTAGGTTTACCATCTTTCACAAACCGAAAAATCACAGCCAGTTGGGAAACGCACGTGATGTCAGTTGTCTCGTCAGACTGAATCGAAAGGAACTGGCAATTCTCAATTTCCAGAGCCAAATGTTGTAAATAAATTTTATACATTGATTCGAGCAAATCATTTTGGATATCCTTAGATGTCCCTTTCGAAACAGTTGCGGCATCAAGATGATCTCTCAATACTGTATCTAGGGATGCGGTGTATTCCACCATATCCAAAAATACCCCTCTATTAGAAGAGCCAGCCCGTTCATCGTGCCCACGGAGGGACAGCTCGTGACAACCAATGAACTTCAAAACATCTATCAATCGACCGAGAACATGGCGGTTTTTCTCGACGTTTTGGTTGTGCCGACGAATAGAAACCGCGCGTCCTTCATCCAACTGTGCTGCAATATTAACATTTCCGAATGTTCGGTATTTTACTGCATTGTCCAGATGCTCCATAGAGGATTGATGATCCCTGGCACGCTCGGAAAGATGTTTAAGATCTCTAAAACCAAATTCACACCAACGTGAGTCACGGGCGGTAGCAAAAAGTAGGCAATAAAAACAAAACAGTGCATTTTTGTCCTCGCTGTAACACAACCATTCGTGTTTTTTATACCAAGTTTCTGCGCAGAATGTACGCCGACGCTTTCCTCCGTCATGGGATTGTTCCAGTGAACAATTTTTTGGTTGATAAGGCCCAAGACGTTGTACCTCTAATTTTTGTTCCAGCGGCAGCTGCGAAAACGGAGTGCGAAGTAGTGCATCAACCTTATTCATTATGAGGTCTAAGGCTAAGAAATTCGAAGCCGGAAAGAAGTGAGGAGCTCAAAAGGAATGTGGAAAATCGAAAGCGAATGGACTAAAGGTCTCTAACTGATTCAAATAGCGAAACAAGCGACAAAAACGAAGGCGAGGAAACTATCAACTCTTCAAGCAACCAACGAACGAGAAGGAATGCGTGAATATGTCAACACGTTGTTGTAAGAAACGTCGGCATTGTGTCGTCATAATTCCGGGGCTAGCCCCGATGATTTAGTAAAAGAAACAGAAAACAAACGAGACAAACGCGGCGAGTGGAAGATAAAAGAGAGAATACGATATACAATGAGCAACCGGGGCAAAATCGGCGTCGCCCCGTCGACGTTCGGCGAAGGCTTTGCGAGCGAAAAATGAACCATGTCGGGAGAATATGGCTAGTGTAGACAGTCTGTGCAACCGATATTGAGGTATTTTTCGAATATTTTTTATTATACCGAAAAAACAACCGGGGCATTGCCCCGGTTAGCCCTATTGACGCGCCGCCACTGTATTTGGACTATTACTGATTAGTCTACAGAATACTTTCAGGCGAAAAAAATCAGTGGGGTAGAGTAAAGTAGAATTACCACTTACCAAGTTGAAGTTGGTTAGATTTGCGTTCAGTATCGAACATTTTTCATATCCATCTACGTTATCATCAGGCATACCCATATATCGTTCAGTGTGAATGGTGTCTAAAATAAAACACAAGCTACACGTTTATTTACTTTATTTACAACATTTGGCGCTTAGCATCGCATTTTCAACAAGAGTGCAACGCTCGAATATATGGACATCAAGGTCCAGTGAATAGCCGCAGTACCAAGGCTTATGCGACTTACACTGAAATCCTTTATCTGATCACACAACAGCCTCAAAAACAAAACAGCAAGTACCAGTGATACCGTTGCTGAGCAATAAACACAAGCTTTTCCGAAATGTGGCGGATTGGTTTGACGGATATCATGTTGATTTCGATAAGATATCAAAATTATTAGTCATCATACGATGGATATGACACACGAATATGAGTTCCGGCAACCGATAGAAATAGTTTTAACATAATTTTTAAAAAAGGTTTTCTGGAAAGTTCCATACCATAGAAATATCTCGAAGCCAGTGGTGCCACTGCAAATCCACATTTGAAAACTCCTGCACCTTTGGCTGGAAATCATAACACAGCATTATTTGATCCGTTAACAATACTACCGGAAATTAAACTATTTTGGTATATATATGAGATTTTAACCAAGTAGAGTTTGCCCCTTTTGTGTTTATTCGACAGGTCACCGCATATGAATAGCAACTGCTACGGTTTTAATTAGTATATATTACCAAATAATTTATATAGGTAATTGCTATTTGCGCAAACAGAGAAAGGTATGGCAATACCTTAATTTATTCTAACCTAGGATAAACAGAATCATATATATGGAAAAGGGAAGCAATAATTGGATTCCCAAGTAAGCAACAAGGGTAGCCATAATCGATTGATAAAATCTTCGATTACCGTCAAATTTGATTTCACTGAAAACTCCATTAAATATTTTAAATTGGCTATATTGGTAATCATAAGCTTGGTCTGTTATATGTTTTAAACTTAGATTTTAAGTATTTGATATAGTTACATATTGTGAACGTGGTGGTATATCCTCCATAGCTCCATCCCCAAAGCGCAATTCTACTTGAATCAATGTAATCAAATGTGTCCGCAAAGTATTGTGCTATTTCGGTTGTGTCTTCCTTTTCAATTTGTCCTGAAAACATTCATGAAATAGGCTTTGTACCATAAGAATCAACATTTAAATGGCAGCTTTAGGAAACCTCATTACGTATATCTTACCTAATTTCCTGTATAACAAGTGTGCAATATTGTCCCCACGATATCCGCTTCCACGGCCATCAAAACTCGCAACTAAGATTTCGTATTGGCTAACTAAATGAGTTTGTGCCCATCGTCTTGTCCATCTAAAAACAATTCAAATTTGTCTATTATATATATGTATTTATATATATATATATACTTACTCTAAAAGCAAACGTATAGTGAGATAGCATCGATTCCCTGCTGCATTGTATTTCTTAAACATCCGCAATATGCCAACACAAGACCTGAGAGATTTATGTTAGTATGGTCTATATTTTTGACATAAGCGAACCTGTTCTGCACTTTCTGAAATCCCGGCCCTCCATATACTTCTATTAATAGTGGATATTTCTTTGTCTCATCAAAATTAGCTGGTTTGAAAATTTCATACAGAAAATCCACATTAGTCGGACTTTTATAAACTCCTGTGTTTCTTGTGGGCCACAATATCTAAAACAAAACAAAAATATACAGGTGGGCGGGTTCTAGTTTTAAACAGATTTGTATTATTGTGCTCAGGTGCCAAATTGTGATGCATTGCGGTATGTCATATAATAAAACAATTGAGTATTTTATTTTTATAAATATATTTATTAAACCGACATTTCCTACATGAACTTTTCGAGACGTTCATTATTGTTTGCCAATGAGTCTAACGAATACTTCTAGCTAGTCTCTCACCTGAGCCTTGTTATTAATCAAATCGGTGTTGTTCTCATAGACAGTTGGTTCGCTGTAATTTCCACTAGCCTCCATCATTTGTATAGTAGTCATTGGTACATCGGGACCTCCACAATTTAAAACCAAATATGACAGTCCTGGACTGAACGATGGTGTCACCCATTGGCACCTGAAAATCGACTCAGTTATTGTTCCGTAGACTTCTTCAATAGGCACAATCAAAACAATTTCAATTCTCACTATTTTTGATTTAGTCAGCAATTTACTGATAACAATATTCACCTATCCTGATCCAACATGCAAGATATGCATTCCCAGTCGTTAACGTGTGTGGGTTCCACAGACGAAAAACGAACTCTACGAAGTAATGATACAAGGGAAAGTCGTTAAATAATACAAATAAAAACGATCCAAAGATATATATTTATATTTCAGCAATATAACTATTTTTTGTGATACTGAAAAATGAAAGTAATTTGTAGTAAAATTAATAGTTCCCCAAATTCCTAACTTTCCATGAAAAATCACAAACCTGTATACATTTCTACTTGCTGGTGACGGAGCTGCAGCTGTAAAATAGACCCAATCGTTCACATCATCGTATCCGCGCAATGAAGTTACCACAGACCCTCCCGTCGTAAGAAAACGCTTCGTTCTGCCTTAGAGTTAAAATTTAAAAATTCAGATTTGTTGTTGATATCGTATGTCGTAATTGCGACGTGGTTTTAATTCAATCAAAAACAAAAGTGTTCATATATCATTAGAATCAATCGACTACATTAAATGAATGTTAGATTGGGAGCCATAATTTGATACCTCAGAGTTTTGTAAATCAAGAATCGATTCGGTAAATCATTGGACGGTGGGTTATTCATATAATCACGTTTTCAGACTAGCGGGTTTATGTTGCCATCAAAGTTAACATGAATAAACCTAGCAGACAGTTACCCGTTTTTCAAAAATGGTATCCGCCATATGTACAATATAAGTTTCTCCGAGGTTGAGCGCAAAAAAAGTCAACAATTACTATCAAAATGTTTTGTTAAATAATTCTCTTTGAGACGTAAACTGATTTTAATTTTAATACCTTGGGATTAACAACAGCAACATGCCAAAAGCCTTCAGAGTTTGAAAAGGCAGTGATGTATGTTCTGTTGGAGTCACTCAATAAAACAGGCGTAAACGGTACTCCACCGTTACCGATCCACCCCGTACTGCTTATCTCATAGCTTCCCTGAAATTTTATTTACAGATATAATACAGTACGGATAAAGTATTAATACTTAACCTAAACCGACGTCGTAACTTTACCGGTATATCCCAGCATTCGCGATACGATGCGTTGCTCCGGTTATATTCGCAATATGTAGCCATCGATTGATTGGAAACCCGATTCAACCAAAGAGTCAAATGTGCTTTGCTATCCGGATACCAATACATGCGGCTGAACAGATGATCTCTGTGGATGAAAAAATAACAAGAGAGCTATGCTCAAATATATGGACACGTCTAACTCATAAATGTAGTCACACAAGCGATCCGAGTCACACTATACTATAACACCAGTTACCGGTACCGCGCAGATCACCGTTCCCCACAAGCCCCACTATTTTTCTATTAAATGAGTTGGCGACAATACAACTTGTAAATGTACTTGTGCTGGGTGTGCTAATTATTATCCTCAATCCTCATACACAACAAAATCTAGAACAAAACCCACTTACGAGTTCAAGTTCAGTGGTGCAACAAGCGGTGAGTCGGTTTCATGATTCTCGATGTCGTAGACCAAAAGAGTAACAACTGGATTATTACGTCCAGCTTTGGGATAAGCAACATTTACCTTAAATAACCATAATAGTTTCTTGGTTACTGAAGAAAAACAAGTGTATTGTTGAATTATATATAAGTTCAAATGACCACTACGGAAAGAATCTGGGCGCCTCAATAGTACTTGGTGAAAGATGATATACAAACCAACCCCTTTCAATAATATACACATACAGCTAATCAAATATTTATACACAGCCAATGACATATCGATATACAGCAATGCAAATGATAATTACACACACACAATCGATTTCATATCAATGTATGCCTGTTTGTTTAATATTATAGAGTTTCTTTTGTTCAAATAGCGAAGGTAGATTTTGATAGTATGTAGTTGTAAGCGAACGACTAGAATTACCTCTCGTCTCCGGGCTTGTATTAACGGTTTAACCCAACGAGATGATCTCGAGATGTTTATTTACCAAAATGTAATGCAAGAAACTTGATAATCTGTACTAAATTTTAAATAAGACAGGGTCTTATTTCAATTTTATTTTAAAAAATAACACCAGGGCTTATTTTAGAAGGGTGTCTTTTATTTTCATTCATCGAAAACAAAATTACAAAGTAGAGAATCACGAAATTTTCAAATATACAAAATATGAAAACCGATATCCATTTGCTTCTAAATGACACATTTTTATTTAATAAAACTGCTAAACATGGATTATTCAAAAAAAAACATATCATCTGGAATGTCTTGCAAGTCACTATAGAATGACTAAATTCATATCGACTAGGCAAAAAAAAAGTTGCGCTATCGACTTAATATAATCGTAATAAAATCATTTTATAAATTCAGGCTAGGTCTCAATATTTTCGTGCTTGGTCTTATTTTCGGGGAAAAGCGTTAACAGTGGTGACAGCCATTGAGTGATGCTTGGATCAATTTAATACTCTATTTACACTTTTGATAATTAAAGTGAATTTAGAATCAACAACCATTTATAATTTTTCTGTAAGCTTTTAGAACTAAACAAAATGTTACATGAGTAATGAAAGTTGACTATGAACTTCAGTCTGTAGGCTAGTTTATCAAATAACCAAACTCTAATTTATCCCAAAACAGGACTATATCACTGTTGATGAGCGATCAGTTGTTGGGTGTATCATTACATAACAGCTAGGCTGTCTCGTACTTATTTCGAGTAACCAAAAGTATCGAAGGAACAATAACAATAATAATTTAGTCTCACCATTTCTGGATATTTATCTCCATTATAAACGGAAAATTCTATTTGATCTACTTGTGAGTCATTCGTTTTTAAATACATCAGTTGTGTGCCATCAGGCGACCAAGAGATAACGTGTCTTGTGAATATCATCTCCTCTGCAAATATTCACAAATTATGTAATTAAACATACAGAAGTCAATAATCATATCTAAACAGATAGCACATCCCAGTAAGCCTATTTAATGTATTTTATTACACCTGTCGCAAATTATTCATGTTTAGACCAAGGTCTGTTTTATAATAAATGCTTATTTTGTTCATTTCAACAACCTACCTTCGTATACCCAGTCTGGAATACCATTATAAATGTCATTCTGTCTTCCGTCAGATGTTAACCTATCTGCCGCAGTCTGGGGAGTCTTGCGGTAATATATATCATTTTCCCTGACCCACACTAGACTACTTCCAACCGGCGACCATCTTATATATTGAATATCCGAAGGTAAAGAGAAGATAGCGTTGTCTCTGTATATATAAGTGAATGTTTGAAAAGTATTTTCCACTTTCTCGTAAAAGAATGATTCAGATGATCAATTAGCCTACTCGAAAATACGGAGATTTGGGTGTCGAAAAGTGGAGGATTATTTCATAGTCTTGCCCCAATTCAAGATCTTAATCTACAGTTTTTGGTAATCCGTCAAGGTAAGAAGTTTCACAAAAAGGTGATATAATATATTTTCTTATTCAACACATAATTAATCATGAGACTCATTCAGTAAAAAGGTTTGTCAACATACATATACATAGTTATAGTATGTTTCATTCATGTTTACTGTGCCTTTAACTTTTTTTTATATGAATATATAGCTGATTAGAGAATTGTTGTACATGTAAATATTAACTAATAATCGGAGTAACACACATCGACCGATTAACTCACCCGTCTGTCACACTGTAAATTGAGTACGACCCATTGTAGGAATGTCTCCATTGTTTCGCATAACTCGTTCGAACGAAAAAGTACTGTTCGTCTGCTGATAAACTCCATCCCGATCCGCTTGTTTTATCCTATAACATTATAAAATAACGGTGTCTGCAGGTAAGGATTAGTAGTTTGATCCAATGAGGATATATACATCTGCATTGGTTTGTCTAATCAATTTTGTAAACGAAGTTCTATTTGATCGAAGGTAATGTAATTGAGAAGTATATATATTTAATTTTCATAGAAGATTATCTCATTGTTTTCAATAATACTTTTTGCATCGAATTTGGTGAAAAGCAGTGAAATAGCAGCCACTTTTGTGTACTTCTTTTACTTCCTTTATTGCTTGCAAAGTGTATGTGCTGATGAAATTTACATCGTCTTTATTCGCAATTGCAGCATAAACTGCTTTTATCAGCCCAGGAACGGAAATGTCTTGTAAGTCAAAGAAAATCCAATCCAGTAAAGACTTTGAATATTACCAGTAGACCAGACTGATCAACCCCGGTTCCGACATGCCAACGTATCTAATAGCAACGGTTGCGTATAAATGATCATAAAACTTAAGATTTATTTGCCTATTGACAATCCTATAATGTTACTGTTATACGACTCACGAAAACTGCCTTATCGACAACGACGGTGGGAGTGCCGGTAGACATGTCCATCTTTTGTATTCCATCCTCGTCTTGAAATATATACTCGGTATCTGAGACCCAAGATGGATAAAAGCTACTGTACCTAAAATGAGCCAACAAAATTACGCATTATAAATATATATAAGAAATGCCTTTAGTTATCACTGAAATCAAAAATTACCAAAATTTCGAGTCGTACAAGTCTTCAAATGTAAATGGTTGTTGGACATCAGCATCCGATTTTACTGAAACTAACAGAAAAATTCATTAGAATTCTGTTTAATCATGAATTTGTAATTCACTAAATACGAATGTTTGGTCAGCTATTGCTGTCTTAAAAATCACTTACCAGTTTTGATTTGTGGAAAGCATGACGTAGAAGATATGATGACCAGAAATATGCAACTTTTGAGGATCGGTGAAACAATCATTATGCTTGAAGCAATACGATATGTAACTAACCTTAGAATTCATAAAAAAAAACTGTTTATAACTCTATTACATTACAGATATTGCAATGATACAGTAGAATAATATGTTCTTGAATATTGTGAAATGTCTGAACTTTCTACGAATACAAGACTACTGTCTACTAAATCACTTGGTTTGGAGTTTTCCTCTGCAGCACGTTTAAATTTCAATTTTATATTTAAAGTTTTTTGAATTTCTGATGTCACTGTAACTTCGTAGGTGAAAAAATAGGACCTGGATACATTAGCCTATTCCCCTAGCTAGGCATTGTACTATAAAATCCTCCTACTTTGTTGGTAGTTCGGTATGCCACACTGATTACTCGGCATTCGTTGGAGGGTACGAATCCCGTGGGAAATAATTATATACGACATAATTTCTGGAACCTTCGCCCTTGCAGGCTGCCCCCCGTTACCGATGATGGGTTCTCCACCATTAATTAAAGCACATGCATCTGGAATAAAAATATGTCCAATTAACTATTCCAATGTAGGAAGACAGCTAATAACGGACGACAGGCCATGATCCACCTTATTATTAATCTGTTTCTTCTCTCCTGGTAATATACATGGAAATCATATCCTATCCTCAAATTGTTCAGATCTCTTATTAAAAAACTTCATGTATACAACCTAACTGACCTTTATTACAAGTTTCTCTAATTTTCAAAAGTCATCTAACTATTACTAAACGATTTTAGTAAACCTCACTTAAATGGAATATAAACCTGAGACGACCGACTTGCATGTAATGGGGACATTGTGAATCAGCACTGGATACCGCGCCAAATATTTTTTTCTGAATGTCACTTTTTAGTTAGGCTCACACTGTATTACGCATTTCTATATCGTCGGTTCTTTCTAGTGTAATAATCCGCTGTTAGACACACAATTGCTATTTACGCATTGCAATGCGCCATGTCGTTATCGTATAAAATATGGAAATCATTAACCAAACTCCAAACGTCAGCATTATTACGCCACAATAGAAGTTGCAGCGAAACGTCCACCTTCGCTCAAGACGTTTGAGCCGTGTTAACGAAGCAAAAGAGATATTTGTGTAATTTGAAAACCCTTTTTATAGTTATAACTTAAGTCTCAATTATCTCGCCCGCTGGTTGAGAATTACATAAATAAATTCAAATACTTGTCAAAATATATGTGCAAATATACTTATATTCGCTTTATTACTTAGTTAAGCAAAAATATTCATCACATACAAAAATATCTAGAATGTCTTTTACAGAAAAAAAAATCTTTAAAAAATATCAGTAAATTTTACTACATAACGTACTGTAAAACAGTATAATTCAATTAAATTAACCGTACAAGTGCATAAGTATAGCGTTCAATAGAAAACAGAAAATTACCGTAGTTTGCTGTCAAATATGAGATCAATGAAATGACTAATCTAAGTTAACAAACTCAGGATGTGTTAGAAATCCCTAAGTTATAAAATGGTTTACGTTTCTACACTAATTGTGCACTCGAGAATAGCTGAAGATATCTTTTCAGATTAGGTGAGAATAAATGATGTAGAATAGTTAAAATAAATTTGCAGTTTTGTTTATTTGCAGTGTCAGAAGTAAAATGAAACCTATTTTATGTCTGACTATCAGATAACAAATAAACTTTCAAATGAAATATTTTATATTCTTCCTGAAATAATACATTCACAATAACGGATATCACCAATTTCGAATGTATTCAAATCATTTTGGACGTTTCTGATTACATACTTACATACTTAAACTTACATACCCCAAGTGGTCACAGGTAATTGCTTGAGAATATTCATCAAATGTTTAAATAACAGAATATTACCAGTAACACGAAAATTAACACTCATTTGAACATTATATTACCTAATTAAAAACAGTTGCACAGTTAACAACGAACTTTTTACCAGAATATTCAGGTAATGCGTGTGGTTTATCTAATCCTATCAGTGTGAAGGCATTGAAAGTAACATCAACTTACAGAAAAGGTAAAAGCACAATTTTAAAAGAAAAAAGATGAAACATAAAATGAATTGAAGAGTGTGGTCGCATTCTTGTTTGTGAACTTGTTGTGGTATTATCGTGGACCGCCGTATCTAAAATATAGGAAATATTAACATGAATACGATTGCTGAAAAAGGCTGGATTCTTAAAAAAATGGTGTGACACCACAACCAGTAGAAATCATAAATTATACTATATGATTTTTAAAGACAATCATAAAATGGTATTGCACAATTGGTTAGGAAGCAATGGCATAATATTGGGTAATCCCGAACTTGCAATGGAACTAAAATAAGGTAATTTGGTATAAAATTATGGCCTAACCCTAACCTGATACAAATACTACATTCCGGTGTTCGCCATCTTGGTTCATATACTTCGGGTGAACCTAAAATTCTAAAGCCATTGAAGGTGATAGCAAACATTCTCTGCAAAGCAAACTGTCTTTTTTCAGAACTTTAACCAAGGAACTCATATGACCGACAGTTCTACTTTTCATGGTTTACGTTTCTACACTAATTGTGCACTCGAGAATAGCTGAAGAAACCCCTTTTTCCTGAAGCTGTTTTCGTGGTCATGTTATCCAAACCAGAATGAAATGAATGATACAAAATCAAGGAGACCGAGCACATAAATCTGTTATTGAACTTCTATACTTACTTAGCTGCCCAGTCTGTTCTTCCATATCTTTCATGAATTGGTTGAGGTCGTAATGCACTGCTGTTCTTGGCGCTTGCTTGGTATGTAGTTCCTGCTAATGGTGCTTGTTGCTGTTGTCTTGACTTCCAAGAATTAAAGTCTGAAAATATGTTTTTAAATAAAGAAAAAAATAATCAAATGCGAAGTGGTTAATAAATTCAATTTTCATGGCAAGTAACAACGCAATAAACTTACTTCCTTGAGTACCAGCGGGTAATTGAATTCTTTGTCCTGCTGATCCAACTTCTTTTTTAGTTGCAAAGGATGGAATGTAATCCTTTCCATAATTACTCCCTAATAAACAAAAAATAATTCAAACTAACATAAACTAATTCCTGTATTGCAGTGAAGATCGTATCACGATGAAAAATAGATTCAGGTTACAGGTAATTGAATTATATGAAGAAGGCGGTGGATGATGGCCCATCGGTTAAAGTGTCGAACTTGACTCTGTTGGTGTCATAATTCACATCTCATGCCCCCCAACCTCACCCATGGGTGTTATAAATTGGATAGATTCTGGGGTAAATTTGGGAAGATTATGCTCCTTCAAAAATTTTATAAGACCTCAACCCTACCATTATATTAGATATCAGTGGCTGCTTATATGTGATCTTGTTCAGAATTGAAGGCCTCAATGAGCATTGTAAAAGTTGCTTACAAATTACAATCTTCTTACAAATCTCAATCAAATTACAAAAACTGATATCCAATTCAATTAACATGATACTTACCTAAAGGTTTATAAGTGGAACCATGGAAATTCGTGTTTTGTGGCCAATTGTTGCCTTGGCCATAATTAGACTGTTTTGGATTATTTTTCATTCCTGAAAATAAAAGAAGTTTTGAATATGAGAATCTTCATCAAAAATAGTTGCTTGACAAGTGATTTCTACTTGTTACAATTATATATATGAATCTGAATTACCGATATATGCAAACAGAAGCAAGTTACAAATTTACAACACCAATTTTGAAAATACAACAAAATGGTTAAGAAAAGAAAACCTCTGAAAGATTGCAAAATTGATGTAAAATGAAACACAATTTCGAAACTGTAAGTCATGATGAGGATGCAAATAAGGCAAACCTGGATAATATCTGGCTTGTGCAAGGTAATGTTCCTTGGCAGATTTTCTTGTTGCATTTGTATTGGTTGAACCAAATGGAGGTTTTGATTCGGGACTCCTGGAAAACGAAAAAAAAAATTGAATGAATAAACATTACTAGAAATAAAGTGCTGTAAGGATGAAATTCACAAGTTCGCACAAAACACCACAACTAGACGTAATGGACGTTCTTTGATCAACACATTATGCTATAATATATTACGCCTGACTAAAGTTTACCATTATTGCTAGGATAAAGTATATTAAAAAACAATTCTTACCCGAATAATGGCTTCAAATCTTTCTTGACAGTCATACCACCGATACCAGTAGTCACTGCTCCGTTACCCTTGTTTTTCCCACTGAGATCTTCGATAGTGTCCCATGGATCTCTACCAGCCAGTCGCCATCTTCTCCTAGGTGGTTTTTGATCTAGTGTGCCAAGTGGCTTTGTTGTGCTGAAAAATGTTAGAAATGAAAGTATATTCATTCGAAATAACTACTCTACTTGAGAGCAAGGGTGTGGAGCAAGTTTTCCCAAATATTATTGGTAAAATTCAACCCACAAAATATTCAATCAGCAAATTCCTCAGAAAGATCCACCATTCATAGAATACACCACCCAGGCAAAATTTGTCAATTCTGATCTACCGTAAGAGGCTCTTTTAACTGATTTGTGTATAATATCAAATTTTGTAGACTTGCTTCAGAATTTTATGGATAGAATGAACATTAATGGATGGAATTTTTCGAACACCCGAAAAATCCTTTACAATTATTCCACAAGAAAGGTTGAATAATAAAAAAATTTCTAAAAGAAGATTCCCAAAACCCCAAAAAATTGTTATGCTGCTGTAGTGCTGTGCATACTTATGGAATGTATCATTCAAACATTGAGAGGAATTTCATACAATGCATGAACAAAAATTGATGTTTCTAAGAATATCAACTACTTTTACTGATATCGTCTAAAAATTATTATAAATACCTTTCCATTATCTTGTTATGGATTCCGGGCAACGGTCTCGCATTCCTTGAAAAATCTTTTTTCTCCGAATAAAGACTTGGCGGAGAATACAAATCATTTGACCCACCAAACTTTGATTCTGAAGGGTTAAGTTGTCCAAGAGGCCTGCGACCTCCTTCATAACCTTGAACTTTCGGGGGGAGACCGTAATTCCCTACACCCCTCGCTCTTGGCGGGGCTTTACTAAGACTTGGTAGTGTTGAATTATTATTATTGTTGTCCGAACGGCCAAAGACCTCTTGTCCTTTTCGAGGAAAAGCAAGTCCACGGATTCGTCCGCTTCCCTTTGCGCTTGATTTGGAAGGACTGTAATCAAGATCGTCCAATAGGAAATCATCGTCAATCACGCCTTCACCAGCGGTTTTGAAGACAGACGAAGGTGAAGGATTCGTAGGTTCTTTTCTTAGACTGTGAAAATTATGACGATGACCTTTGGCACTTGATTCTGGACTTACACCCGGACTTCTTCTCGCTGTTGTAAAATTGAACTTGGTGCCACCCTTCTTGGAAAGAGCGTTCGACTTTGTGGCGGCGTTTGAATAAAATGCATCAGATGACAATATGTCATCGAAAAATGTATTTTCGTTCTTTTCTGGACTCATTCTGAAATCCGCACGCTTAGAAGCAGCAATATCCCGATTTTGTTTTACTTTGGTGTTCGAAACAGGATTGTGACCTATGGGTTGGTTTTTTGTCCCCAAATCGAGCCCCAAGTCCAAGGCAAGTTCGCTGATAGTGTCCGTACTAATTTCAGATTTTTTGCCTTGCTTTACGCCAGTGGGAGATACTCTATTGTAGGTGGAAAATCCACCCTTAAAAGGTGCTTTCTCTTTTGTTCCCAGAATTGTTTCTTCTATTAGCAGGAGCATTTTTAATCAGCCCGTTATCACCTTGTATAAGAACTTTCTTTGTCGCATTGTTGTCTTGTGACAAGGTTCGTTTCGGAGGTAAATTTCCTGCTTTATTTGAGTCAATATTATTTATCGAATATATATCTGGTGCAGGAAGGTTGCCAAACCTTTTTTCTTCGTACAATTTCACCATGGCTTCATTGTGGGTGACTTTTGCTCCCAGATGTTGTCCGACAGCAAAATATGGGTGATGTAGTGCCTAAAACAGATAAAATAGTACCTAAATATTGTAAGATTACAACAAGGTTTGATTGTAGTATGACGACCTGTGACAAGAATGCTAAAAAATAAGGCAGCAGACAAGAAGTCAAACAGAAATATGTAAATACTGGGTTAAAAACATCTTGTGGTTTGACACAGCCTGTATGTATTGGCATGAATTGCTTTGAGTTTGATGACAGTCGGTAATTACTATTGCGCAATATCACATTTATATTTATAGTGTCACTAGCTCTTTGGCACTCCAGTGGTCATTTGTAACTTCTCTCAGAGATTACTCTTTTATAGAGTGAGTGCGCGTGACTATGTATTGAAAAATTTTCACAAAAAATGAAGATTTATAGCTAATTGGACTTGTGTGTGGCTGAATTGGTGTTTTCAGAAATTGGAAGGGAGTTTGCTCAATAAAACAGCAAATACCACCCACTCTGTTAAATATAATAACAGTTGAGTTTTGACGGTTTGAAGGCCTGTTTTGTTCTCGAGATAATATAGAAGGCATTCTCTCATAAGTAAATTAGCGGCATGTCCCTTGTCATTTACTTCAAAGTGATTTCAAATTTTTTTTACCTGTACAGCCGTTGGACGCTTCTTCGGGTTCCAATGGAGCATTTCTTGTATTAATTGAAGGGCTTCTGAACTAGCATTTGGTATTAAAGTTTTGAGCGGCGTAGCTGTGCATTGTGGCCACGAAAGTTCATTCGACTTGCAAGCTGGTACCCTTCTGGCCAATCAGCCTGAATATATAGAAATGAAGTTTTGAATAACAGACTGGTTGAAACCAGATAAAACTGGTTGTGAGAAGCAAGAACAAAGAGCTTTTGTTGACTGTTTGTTAATACATACCTTAGAAGCAGGTCCAAGAACTTGGCACAATTTAAATATCTCGTCAAGTTCAGAAGATCCGGGAAACAATGGTCGTAACATGTATAATTCAGCCATGATACAACCTAATGCCCAGATGTCAATTGGTGAACTGTAATTTGTGGAACGAAGAAGAACTTCAGGTGCTCTGTACCTGTTTGATAAAAATTTGATTTTTCATAATTTTCAAATTATATAAAATAAATACTATATATTAAAATATTTTGGTCATGCCAAAAAATCTATTTCTAAACTGGGTGCGTAATGACGAACCATCAAGAATTTGATCTTTCCAAAAATAGTCGCTATTATGTACTAGTATTTTGTACAGAGTGGCAGTGTGAACTCAACTCAACATATTGAAAACGATCGAGAGCTACATATATAAATATACTGTAAACAGTGATCAACCTTTTACCGACTGCGTACCACTTTAGTGTTTCTTACTCTGGCCGCGACCCCGGCACCGACAAAGCCCCTTTTAATGGGAAACAATGGCACAATAAACACTTTAAGAGAGTATTTTATAATGTGGCGCTACATCCATTTTTGGGGTTGTGCAAACTTTCAACATATTCATTGTGTGCAATATTGCAAGAGAATTTGCGTCGTCTACCGTCAGAACTGAAAGGCTTTAATTATCACCACCACTGAATTATCGCAAACTGGGCGAATACACTTTGATCGGCAATATGGAAGATAAAGAGAAAGTGTTGCTGGCATAATTTAGCCAACTCAGTTGTACCACAGGTTGAGAACCACTGCTGTGAGAGATTAATACTGACAAACATTACAACTTAGAAATGCATGGGAAAACCATGTTTTCAGTAAAGTATATGACAAAAGATTTATCAACCTACCATCTAGTTGAAACATAGTCTGTGTAAGGAGGTTGAGATCTGATTTCTCTTGCAAGTCCAAAGTCAGCAATCTTAACAAGATCTTGTCCCATACATAATAAATTTTCTGGTTTCATATCACGATGAAAATATCCATGTTTGTGCATAAAAGCAAGACCTTGTAGAACTTGGAACACAATGTTCCGCACTGTTGTTTCTGGGAAGTGTTTGTCCCTGAAAAAAGAAAAACATTTATATTATTGCGAGCTGTTGAATTCCCCAATAAAAGTTTTTAGTTTAAGTGAAAAATCAAATATCTAACAACAGTGATTCCTAAACTGTATGTACTAGTGCAGAGATGAGCAAACAGCAATTTGTTTGTGCGCCTCTTCCTGCTTTTAAAAAAGTTTTTTTTACAACTACATACAAAATTTTTATTTATTTTTTTTATTTAATTTAAAACTATGAATTGTGAAAATAATATTCTTTTTTTCATTTCCAGTTAACAATGTCAATGTCAACCACTGTCAATTTCGACACTATCAAAGTGAATGGAAATAGTAATTGTTAATTTCTCAATGTGGCCCGTCACAAAAATAGCTTTCTGAATGCAGCCCTTGAAAAATGTGCTGCCCATCGTCGTACTTGTTCATTGAGATAGTTGTAAAATATTGATTAGTTTCCTAAAAAATCACTTCTTATCTGCTTGTGTTTCGAACTTGACATAGAATGATCAAATTTTAATCTAAAAGTCAATGTTGAGAGAGAAATAAAATCAGTCACATTTTGATTATCAATGTATCACAATTGTGATTCACAATAATTAAATGTGATTATATTATAAAACATTTCCACGTCATAATTTAATGACAAATTTTTAGTCAAAAACATCCTGGTGATATGTCTTACAGAAAGTAAATGCGTCTTGAGTATGGAAAGTTTGGGAACTGTTGTCTAAGCATAGAAATACACAGAACAAAAACTATTCCGTTTATCAGTAACCAAAATACATAACAATAAAGTTATTTTTATATTAAACAAAAACAAAATAGTAACATGGTGGCAATGATATGGGAATCTACTATATAAAAGTATGACATAGGAAGTCTATACAAAACAACAAAGCGAATCGGACAGTTGTTTTGTTTTGAAAATTGATGCGACCCGAATCGACTTATTCATCAGGTATAATTAGAGGGCAGGGTGAGTTTCTTGTTACACAAGATTAAACAAGTCTTTCATGTTTCCCGCCGAATGATTTATGAATCCGATACAGAGTGCTGTCCATACCTATACATGTAGTCTGATATTTTTTGCACTTTTGTCAGCTTTGCAAATACCTTCATTTCGATAAAACTTAATTTTTGAGTAAAACAGATCTATAGTGCATTGTGCAATAAATTAATTTTTATGCAATTTTATTTTATCTAAATTCCCAAATAAATCATAGATGAACGAAATGGTAAGATGTCAATATGACTGAGTAAAACTAATCAATTGTCAATTTTTGGTCATTTATATTCTATCTAAATTTTCCAATACACAATGCATAATTACACGAAATAGTGACTTTGGATTGGTGTCTGAAACAGAATCACCTACATTCAATGCTAACATATTCAAGAATATTATCAGGGATAACCAAAATTATACAAATATTTATTCAGATTAGATTTGTATATGAGATACCAAATACATTTTCAATTGTTTCTTTTTAATAAGAGAGAAATTCGTAGATCAATGTAATGCTGAATACGCATCTTGTCTATGTTTATGTACATACATACGATAGTTTGAACATTTTTTTTATGTTTTTAACTTTTTTTACAGTCTCCCGAGTTGAATGAAGTCAAGATGCCAATTGCTTGAAATGTCAAATTTTTCAAAGTTAATCATAAAATCAAAATGTGAATATCCGATTCATCATAGACATTACTGGAATAGCACGCGCCACCATTTTCATGTGCAAATATGCAAAATTTTACTTGAATATGAATAAATCATTTCAATAATGCTGAATGGGGGGTTAATTAAATTTTACATAAAATATTGACTCAATTGAGTAGTTTCCACACCTTTTACGTCATATGCTAATAAGATAATATCTTTTATTTGTAGAGCTATGATGTCTGGACTAGTTATCAATGGTATTTCTGAAAACAGCATTCTGCAATATGGACTATTGTCCAAAGAACAAATATTAGTATTGACATAATAATGGAAAGTGTGGAGTTGATAAACATATACCAAATTTATCATATTAATTCAGCTCAATAACAAAATATAATTTAATAACCTAGGTAATTTTTTAGTAATTGCAAAAAACTAACCATCTGTCACTTACGGAATGTATTTTAATTAAGCGTTATAATCATATCTTTACATATCTTAATAGAATTTCTAATAGAACTTCAGTTTAGAATTTTAAATTGTTCAAGTAAGTTGCAAATAAATTTTTTACCTCAGGTAGTAGCATACCCCAAAATTGATCAATTGTTAATGGGAAAATTTGACATAGTTTTTGAAAACATAGCTGATTTGACAGCACAAAAAGCTTTATTTGAATTAATAGAACATGTTTATTCATTTCTTTTTTGTGAATAATTTGAAATAACTTAAATGCATTGAATGCGTGACTAAATTTAAATGTTCGTGATTTTTTTGTGGCATTTGCCATAAAGCTGTATTTTAGTCAAAAAAATCTAAAACATTGATTTTAATACTATCAATTTCAAGTTATTTTAATTAACTTTACTGAAGTAATGCAGCAATTCACAAGTGATAAACAGAAAGTATCACACACTATTCAATTCCATCATCTATATTGGGACTTTGTGAATCTAACCATGAAAAGATTTGAACAGACGGATATAAATAAATTGCCTATAAATGCCAGACAGGATAAAAGGGAAAAGAAGACAAATATGTTTAGATAAGCTTGAGATTTATTCTTACCATAATTGTTAGCATAGTAAGACAAGAGTGCATAGAAACGTCGACTCGAAGTCAACAAATAAACTCTATTCGTGACATGAACGTGATTCGCAATGTTGTTTTAGTAGCGATGTGATAACTTATCCAATAAAAGAACAATAAAATGACTTTGTTTGCCCATTGTGGGTTTAGCCTATAAGTTCAAACCATGATCTAAAAGACAATAATAGGAATCTTGTACCAGCATGAGGTGGGCTGGATAACATCTTGTATTAGATTGCATGATAACATCATGTTAAACTAGTACTAACTCTCCCCCTCTGTTCGTAATCAAATATTAATTATCAGTTTTTAGCGAGTTTGTATCAGTATTATTGGTAACTTTCTACGCCATATTATGATCAACAGCAAAACAGCTATTTACATGAAAGGTCTTGCAACAATTATTATTTAGATTTAATAATAATAACTCCAAAATTTAAAACAATTTGAAATCAATAAATTGAATTCAAAAATGTATAGACTGGCTGGGTTGTCTGAATGGGTGAGGAAGGCGGGGCTCTCGAAATCGAAACTTGCTATTTTAGAAATGATGAATCTGCTAGACAATATAATTTTATGAATAAGCGCTGTTCTGTCATTCAACTATCACTCATTCAGTATTGAGTAAGTTGTAAATTTTAAAGTTAACAAGAAACCCATGAAATTGGCAAAATAAGTTGTTCAATAAAATAAAAATAATTATGAAATTGTGGTAATAAAGATTTTGTATACTGAATCAACGACATGATTTAGTTGTCATGGTAATTTGTTTCAGATAACAAATAACGAAACAAATAAGATGAGGAAGATAAAATGATTTGATTTTATCTAAAGACAAGTGAGAGAATAAAATAATATTAGCAGACGCAGTAAAGGAAGATTTTGAAATTGAAGCAAATTTATTCCAACATCCAACTTCAGTAAGATGAAACGCTTTCAAAAAGATGTTAGTGTGCAACAAGAATATAAAAGTCATCTTCATTCTTGCTACTACATCCCTTACATGGAAATGGCAGAGGAAGGATGGATAGTTAGTCTTGCGAAACTGGATATAAATTATAATCTCTGTGCGATCAATTCCCTATTAAACATGAGTACCTTCTGAACTAGCCATTTTTTTGCAAAATATTCATGGCGCATTAAATGTAATAATATCCTTATTACAATTTATTAAATATGCATGGGTGACACATAATTATTCGATGCGAAATGCCCTGTAACGAATGGAAGAGTGGACATGCAATATTAAAATGGAATGACATAAAAGTGAGAAAGAATATTGAAACAAACTGAATTTGTTTTTAGACTATGTAGCTCCTAACACAAAAAAGTGGACCTATGGATCAATTTTGGAAATTGTTGTTGTTCTTGCTGTTGTTGTTGTTGTAAACATTTTCGTTCTCCACAACTAATGGAACAATTGATTCCAAATTATCAGAACTTAGAGGTGTAAAAACCAACGAGAACTACTACCTTTATTTTACCGATATTTTCACCCAAAATGTTTCCGTTAATATATTTCATGGGCAAGCTTTCAGTTTCATATGATATATGGTAAAATTCTTTTAGCATGTGGCTGGAATTTTACTGTTATAGCGAGGTAGATAGCGGTATATTATATTATTTTGCAATCTTTAACTTCAAATACAATGTCATGGAGGCTTGAAATAGCTACAAAAAAATTTCTCACAGAAAAAAGGTTTATTAGTAGTCACGTCAAAATATGACTAGCTAATTTGTTATTCACATGCTATGTTTTGCCATGGTTACTATGGAACATCTATAAAAAATTCATGTGCCATAAAGTGCTGTAATACATATTGCAAGTAGGTCCTAATGGAAATATTGCACGTCCATTTATAATTGTTTATACATGATCTCATATACATAATGCTTAAAAACTGATACAAAATTTATTCTTTCGAGTATGGCCATCCTTGTCATCCTCAAGTGACTTTCTCATATAGGTAGGACTCTTAAATATTGGAGTGGATTTTTATATCTTTAAATTCCTTTGTCTTGGAGTTGGAGTACTGGCCAATCGAAGCAAGTTTCATTGTTATAATATCAGACGTCATTCCTGATAAATATACTATGTCACCCAATTACGTCAAAAGTGAAACTTACGAATTAAAGAGCATGTGAAGAGTGTCTTCAAAAAACATGTTGACTTGACCCCAGTATAAAATGTTTCAAGTTTGAGGAACAAGAACTAATCGAGAAGTAAAGAATACTACCTTTTTGTATCGAGTTACTTATCACCATTAAAATTTTTGAATTCAATATTCTTTCACTCTAAGAAATTTTGGGCGCAATACTTAATTCGAACTTCTTCTATAGATGATCCATGCAAGATATTCATTTTTAAATATAGTCGATAAATGTCAACTGTTTTATGCTTGATTTGTTAAATAACTTTAATATGATCACAGACACGCCCCTTTGTTTACACCCCTAAAATTATTATTAATAAAATATTATACCATGATAATAGCAAATCGCTACCAATCCTAATTAATCATTTTCAAGCCTCAACATGGCATATTAATTTTTTTTTCTATCAATTAATGCGTACCTATTCGATCCTTACAATGACAATGCTACAGCATGGTCCTTTGCAGCAGTCAGTCAATTTCAATTGAACAGAAATATCAGTTGTTAAGTAAGAACTATAGTTGGTGGGTGTTATCAGGGCATGCCCAATTATGGCCCTTCCCTGAAATACATTCGATTTGCAGAACCATTAGAAACCACTTGACAATATGAATGACATAAGAATGACCTGAGGACATCAGCGGCTGAACAGGATGAAGTAGGTCCTTGATCCATAATATGAAAATTCTTTTCTCACACCCGCATTGTTATTAATTTAATATTGATTCATGATCGTTCAAGCATGATAAGATAAAATTGGGACAAATGCCAAAATGAAAAATAAATATGGTATTGCTATTCAAAATGTTAAAGCAATGTCCTTTCCTAATCTTTAAACTTCATATTTTTACACTATGAATTGTACTCATAATATGATTCTAATTAAATGGACTAAAGATTAGAGATGTCTAGGACAATTTGAATATCGAAATCCATTTAAATTGAATATATTTCGTTTCATGAATTTTTCATATCAGGAATAATCAAGAATATTTTTGTTCGAAAAACTGTCATTCTCAGTAAAATAAAAATATCATCAACAAAATGGCTTTTAAACTGGAAAATTTGATCAAAATAAGCAGTTTGACTAGTTCACAACTATTGCTTTGTTGTTCTAAATTTCAAAACATACTTTTTATGCAGCGGCAAACTAAAAATGTAAAAAGATCGCTATATAGGTAAAGCAAAGCATAAATCATAATGGTAAATATCCTTTTAATAAAGGTCTGATGCAGATGATATAATTACACTAACCTGGGCACATGCTAGTCCCAATTTTAACCTCTTTAATGCCTATTTAAGTGCTTTTATCTTATTAAGAAAAACAAAAAAGAAAAATGAGTGACAGTTGTCATAAGTGGTAATTAAGAACGATGAGAGTGCTTGAGATTTTTGACAAAAACGATCAACCTGAAATACTTGTAAATGCTGCTGCTGGATATGCCCATAGATTTGAACAAAACAAGCATAAAATATGGTAAAAAAAATCCATATTTTAAGAGATTAGAAAAAAAACAGCCAATACTTTATTAAACATGAACTGTTTAAAATAAATATTTAGAAAAAAAATAGTTTAGAATATTTTTGGTGAACAGGGATGAGAAATATGTTTTGTGTCAAATTTGCAGATGCCCATGTACAAATTACATGCACACCTGTATAATGTAAAAAATACTGGAAATATACTATATATATTAGTTTCTTGTCTGGACCCTTTTTCAGAGAGACAGTATGAAACAGAAAACACCTCATCATAACATGCAACCATAGAAATCCCATTCATTTGACGACTCATAAATAATTCATTGATAAATTATCATACACATCTGCATATGTTATAAAACAATACAACACAATACCTGTAATCACCTCGCCTTGCCCATTGCCTGTCACTAACATGTGCTTTCTCTTCTCGTCTAAAATTAATAAGGATATATTCCATTCTGAATATTATTATCTGCATTAAGCTTATTAATTACCATCCAACTTTCGTCTTCAACTAATTTTTATTTCAAGAATCTCAAGCTAATAATTGAAGAACATGGTCTCACACTATTTCTAAACTGTTGCTAAAACTTGCTATTTAGTAGAAATACTTACCGTAATTACTTTCAACAAATCTAACCTGTGCTCTAAGCACATAACATAACCACACTCAAAATTGAAACAATATTTCGCCAATGTTATAAAACTAATATCTACAACGCTAGCTACAAGTTATATGCGATAAGATCGGATCCTATCCCACCTATAGAGTTATTATGAATTCCCTGTAGGTCCTACTTGTTACTTAATATATAGAAAAATAGTTTAATAATATTATTCATTTAGCCGAATTGTGCATAGAAATAAGGGATTTCAGTTTGGAATTGCAAATTCCAATTTTTGTTGAAGAAAAGCTAGATTCTTGGTAATTTATTTGATTACATTACATAAAGATTTACCATATGTCTGCTCGACCAACTACCTAACGAATCTATTTTATTTGTATGTAAAACACATGATCAAATGAATGATAACTATTTTAAATAATTGCAAAAATACTATTGCAATAAACATTTATAATTTATTTAATACCTATTATCTAAAGCAGACTGCTTCAGTTCATACAATTATAGCAGACCGAACTTGATTGAAAAAACAAAAAAATTTGACGATAAATAACTAGCGATATTACCTGTCCTTCATTAGTTGGTATAAGTTTTCTCTCATGTATTCAAATACGAAATATAGATTGTCGTTTTCTCGTACAACTTCCTTGAGTTTTATAACATTAACATGGCTGAGTTTTTTCAAAGCTTTTATTTCCCGTAGATCAACACACTCTTGCCAGCTGTAGAACTTCTTTTTCATTCTGTTACAAAAGTTAAAGATCATAATATATAACATTCCGGTCAAAACAAATAGCAAAACAGAGAAATTTACCAAATAGGATATGACAATCATTTTGAGCTGGCATAAAAAATAGCCACAAACAAGTATTTTAGATTTGATAAGGATGATTGAGAGCTATCATAAAAGAGCCCACATCCTGGAGTGTAATGATATGAACAATTCACAGTGATTTTAATTCACAACGAAGAACTACTATATACACTTTATTGTTCAATTCATTAGTTTTTGATATTGAGTTACATGCAGTTAGGATAATAAAAATGAATTCATACTAAATCATGCAAAAATTGGAGGTGTACAACAGGGCCGGGCAGGGTTTTTGAGCCAGGGGCCAAAAATTATGCCCACCTAGACTGGCGGGCCACGTGAGTGTGACGTAAAAAAATACATTTTGTGACCAATAATTACAGTGTTTCAAAAGTGGAAACCATTAAGCCTCGTACAAAGATTAAATTTAATCGCAATCTCAACAAATTTTGAGAAAAATCAATTGTGCTAATAATTATTAAGCATTGCTTGCAATAGATTTTAAAAATTAGCAAATTTCAAACAAACTCTCATATCGATTTATTATTGAATTCACAGTGTTATATAAAATACCTACTAATATAAAATGGACATAGCAACCACACATATTAGTTCTACATTTCACTACACAAACTTTTGCAGCAATACAAATTATAGTGTACAATGATAACACATGCACTTTGACTGTATTGGTTTGTAAAGAACTCGTGTTCAAAATTAAATACAACATAGATGTTAGAAAGGACATGGATAGACATAAAAAATTAGATATACCGTAAATAACACAAATTTTACACAAATGATATCTCTATGATATGATATTACTCTCCACAAAAACATATACATGAAATATAATTTTCATTGGACCAGAATTGATCGAGTATTAATTTGAGGAACCATTCAAATTTTGTTTTATTTTTGTCATCAATGTAATAAATTTACTTGTTGGGAAAATTTAAGAACTTGAATAATAACATGACCAATTTTTGGTGCACAATAAATTAGAAAAAATTAAATCAAATCAATACACATCAAAAAATTAGAAGTACAAAAATCAATCATTTTGAGTATCAAAATAATGATTTGAGAAAATTTCAACATCAAAATTACGGTAATATTAGTACACAATATGAGCAATTGAGCACATCTAGAATTATTCAATTTGAAAAAAGCAGAAGCAGCAACTGGTGTCGAGTGTTCACAATGCAAACAACAGCACCACTCACTTTTTAATAGCAACAAGCTCTCCTGAAGTCTTAGTACGAGCCATATGCACAGAACCGTAAGTTCCATCTCCGAGTTGACGAATCATTTCAAATCGATGAAGGCCTTTAGGCCCACCGTCGTCATTCATATCGTTGTTAGTAAGATTCGAACTTTTGGGAGAAACTAAATTTCCATTAGTATGATGATGAGTAGCAAGAGGAGCGAAAGAGGGCCGAACTGCCGAGCTCATCAATCAAAAAATTTATACGCTATAGAAAATTTATGCTAATGAGCAATGTTCGAATCTGGTTCGAAAAATAAATATTTGAAATTGAAAATTCTTCTGAACATTTTTAAAGATTTTGAAAATATAGGAAAAACATATTCAGTCATGCTGATAATAAAAAATAAATTAGTAAAAGTAAAAAGCATGTTATGATGCAGGGAATGCTAATGGGTAATAGATGCATTCCATCACCAGACTAACCAAAAATGAATGCTGGCAAATTCAGACCATATCTGATACTTTTGTTACAGGGGTTCTGAAAAGTCACTAAAAATTCCAAACCAATGAACTTGAACTTTGTAAATAATAGAAAATCATAATTGCACTATTAACATCTTTTCTAGCATTCTATAGCTATTTTTATAGGCTTATTTTACTATTTGAGAACATATTCCTGTTGGATAAACTTATTCAAATGGTAACGAAATAGAGCTACTTTCCTCTGTAGCCCAGTCTGTCACACTTGCATAAGAATCTAAAAAATCAAGTGGCCTACAGCAATCATAGACAAAATAATCAGTACTCCCGTAGTGTGTGTACCAGATTAGGGTTAGGCCATAATTTTATTCTGATTTTCCTTATTTTAGTCCTATTACGAGTTCGGGGACTGTCTGTGTTAGCCAAGTGAATATACCCCATTCCCAGTCCCTTCCTGTTTCAGTCCCTTCCGGCCTTCCCACAAATTGAAGTAAAGTAGGCGAACAAAATTAGTTACCTCCATATTGGTACACACACTTCTGGAGTGCCAAATAATCTAACCAGTAACCTTTGAAGCTGACGCCAGCTCAATACTAAAATGAAATGTACCTAAATGCAATATATCACAAGCTGTCAAATCATGTGAAAAGGGATTAACGAGATTATAAAATATAATCTCCTGTGTATGAGATGGATAATCTAGAAACTAGAGTATTGTGTTACACAACCATTTGTGGAAATAATTGATTAGTATGGGCTGGAGTATTATAATGATTTAGAGGTCATATTTCATTTTAGCTTGCAATATAAATAATAAAAATGGATGTATGAATACAATGTAATGGAAACATTAATATTATATAAAACTCTAGACTGGTGAAGGTGTTGATAAAACTATTATTATAATATGAAGTTTAGTTGTTCACTTCTGTAAACACCTCCAGCTTCAAAATTAAAGCCTATATTATGAAAAGAACAAAAACATTTATTACCGGTATACAGAAATGAAATGTTCGATATGTGAAGTCACCTTCAGCAGGGTACAATGGCTCGTGACTATCAGGCAAAATTGTTTAAAATTTAAAAACTTATATCTGCAATTCAATTGTGTTAATAAACAATATACAGTGACCCTCAGAGAAAGAATACCATATTCTACTCAGCATTTTCTGCTTCACAGTAATTCAGAATTGACTAAATCTTTTTAATAAACTTATATGAAATTGATCAACCAAAATCCCTGAAAGGGATTTTTAGCACAAACCTCATGGCAGATTAACAAATTTTTAAAATTATTATATAGAAACAAAAACAACGAGATGGACCAGTATTAAAATAATGAAATAGAAAATCCAATAAAAAAATTATGCTTTATCAACCAAACATTATCATTCATGCTCAAATAAATAGAAACCATGCAAGAAGAGAAATAATAATTTAATACCGAATACACCCATAGGTTTTTGATTTATAAATGTTTTGCAAATATTATGGGTATTTTGCGATGAGTATGAAGGAATTAAAATAATTACCATGGTTTTTTTCGGTACTAGAACAGATCAGTAGCCGAACACCAATCCTGAACGAATTAGGTTCGACTACTGAGGTATCACTGTAAACAAAAAGGCTTACATGGTCAAAACTATAGCAATATTAATTGCAAAAAGATTGAAAATCTGAATGTGACACGGACAAAAGATAAATTTACAATCTGGCTCATCTGACGCAAGGCAATATTTTTCATTTTTAGAAATAAAATCGCAAAAAAGTACACGCTGCATATTGCTGTATTATTATTAATTAAATGATTTCTTACTTTTTCACAGCAACCATTTCTCCAGTTTTGAGGAATTTTGCTAAAGTGACTGAGCCATATGTCCCATCGCCAAGATTTTTTATCTGAAGGTACTTATTCATAGTCTACGTCCAAATCTATATCCAGATGATATTGTACAGTACAGCAGTAGAACTGTAATAACAACTTAATAATCTCAATACTGCAATATCCACGGAGTCAAATCATCGTTCGATTGTCACTAACTGCATCACACTCGGCCATAGAAATTACAGTAACATGCATTTCGGCATTTCCAGCTTTCTTACTAGTTCAGGAAATGATTTGCGGATATAAAATTCTAGAAAAACGGATTAGAAAAATAATTTGAAAAAGGTTGAATTAGGTGTGAATGGACTGTATAGAATCTGGGTAAGGGTAAATAGAGGGGATCTGGCACTATAGAAGATGTTCTATTTCTGCAACTTCCGAAAATTGTGCGCAAGTACAAGTTTTTTTTGCTAAAAACTCTCAAATGCCACAGTGAAACTCTTATTCTTTCGATAAATCAACGTAATGAGTGACGTAATAGGGCCATCCAAAGTATACGGATGGTGCTATAAAGCGCAGACAATCATGTAAAATCAAGCAAGCTATTTCTCTCGTTTCTCGTCGTAACGATACCGATAAGCGATAGATCGCTGGCAATCGTTAGTGAGTTCATTATAGTCGACATGCCATTTCGGACGAACATAGCTAGACTAGACTTTAGAAAGCTCTATGACATCGCAGCGACTTAATTTTTGGGTGACGTACTGGTACTCAGGTGGGGGTCAGGAATATTATATACAGAAATCATTATGCTACACCCAATAGAAGTACTTGATGGTGTCTACCGTACAGTACTTCAGGAGACCCAAATATTTTGTTATTAGTTACCAATAGTCAGATGGCAGGATGGCTTTAAATGTTTCAAGGCAAACAAAACAACTCAACCATTGCTTTTTGAAATGTCAGCAAGTAGGCCTATGGTACAAAGGGTATGCAACTTAGCTATATGCATTCACTGACTCAGGCATTTGACGCAAATTATTTTTTAGAACTGTAGAAACACATCACTTTTCATGGTGATAAAATCTAGGAAAATTAAATTCCTGGACTTAATTATGTTGAACAGAAGTAGGTACCGGTACATAGGAGCTAGGACCGGTACCGTAGTTCATAATCGAGCATCGTCTTCTATTTCAGTATTTCATCCCGCATTGTTTATACACGTGTTTTCGCACACCAGCCTGCGATTGTCTGTTTTTAGTTAACGTTCACCTACTACAGTACTAACTATAGACTACCGTACCGTATATTTCAGTAGAGCGCTCGTTGCAATAAATAGTACAAAACAAAATCACTCTACTTCCCTAAATAACTCTCATAAATGATTACATAAATGCTTTTTTATCAAGAAGACAACACAGTAAAACATAAGGTATGCCAAATCCCGTCAAGAAATGGCGAAATTTCCACTGTTTGTTGGTATTTTGGAATCCGTATCCAACGAAAATATTTGACGCGCTCGGCGGTGCCCTCCAGTGTTTACGAGAGTTCGGAATGGATGCGTTAAAAACAAAAACTATAGATATGTACCAACTACTTACGGATGTACCGATGTATCGGTATCGGTATGGGCAATATCGACCAATTTTTCAGTATCGGTAGTGTATCGGCTACATTTACACCAATATTTCCGATATATTCGACTTCTCAATATGATCCAGAATGTTTTAAAAAATAGGTTAAAATACTAATCTTGAAATTATTTTTTGCTTGGATTGATTGTTTTGCTTGGATTGATGATCCACGCACGTCCCCACCCTCACTAGTAGAAACGGGAATCGGATTCTGACCTGTTTTTAGCCATTTTTCAGCCAAACTGGCTCAAACCATTTGAGTATTTTTGCTGCTAAATTTTTATATTAAAATTTTTATTATTACATGGTAATTATGAAAAAATATATCAATCTAATATTAGTAGATGTATGTGATATATTTTTTTTTATTCGAAATAATGTGCACTAATGATAAGGCTCAAAGACTATTGTTTTAAACCATCTGCACACTTTACATAGTATCGGTATCGGAATATCGGTCGTTTTCTAATATCGGCGTATCAGTATCGGCCTTTTTAGCTGGTATCGGATCGGTATCGGCGACAAAAGTGGTATCGGTACATCTCTAACAAAAACCAGAGAGCGATGCTCAAATATATGGTCACGAAAAACAAAACGAAGCAGTAGCTTACTTGAGGTTTTCTCAAAATTTTGGTGTTATGAACCCCGAGAAGTGGTTGACTATCAACTACAGAGTCCCAGCATGGATTTACTAATATAAACGAAAAAAAACATATTGTTATTTACCGATTAAAGTTAATCGAAATTAGGCTACTTGATTTAACGACTCGGATGATTTGTATTTGAAAAAAATATTCAAATTGTGGCAACAGGGCGGTAATTGAAATATGGCTTTATCCATTGGAAATTATAGATAATGCCATATTTGTATTTCCGCCTTGTTGCCTCATATATATCGAGACTATCGTTGTCAATTTTTTTAATTCCGTTATTGCTTCTTTGGAAAGTTACAAAATTAGCAAAGTCAGTATTTTAATAAGTAAGCGAATAGCTTGCGGAACCCTTAGGTTTCTTTCAGGTAGCCATGGGGCGTACATTGCTCTTTCAACTGTACGGTACGGTCAATAACTTCCGACTTTCGTGCAGCACGGGAGTAGCACGAGAGAGGTCGCAGAACGGTTACAATATTTTTTCAAAAATTTCAAAGTGAAATATGGATTAGGGCTCACGAAAAGTTTTGAAATAAACAAAAGAAATAACCTTCTAGCGAAAAATACAAAAGCGTCTAGAAAGACATAATGACAATTATATTATTTGATTTACAAGTAATTTTTAAAAACACAACTGAAAACTAACAAATAACACGCAAAACCGCGTCAGCGGTTCAGTGTTTGCAACCATGCGCAAATATATGTCTGATCGACAGAACTGTGAGCAACTCAAATTTAAATTTCTGTTGTAACGTCATCGAAGGCTCATTGCGGATTAGACATTGTTACAGAAATAAACAAGAAAACCAATGCTCGGGGAAACATTCATAACAAAACTATTACTATGTACATTTCGTTCCCAATTATGTTTTACGAACAACTTTACTTTGGCAGTAGGAACATTTCAAAATTTTCAGAAATAAATGATCCAATTAACTGATAATAAATATCTCAGTTCAATCTTGATCGGTTCTGACTAAGAAAGGAATTAGCATAAATACGATTTTCAGGCGCGAGATGAACCAAAATGGCCAAATGCCAAGTGTCTAAAAATCCAACTAATTTCAACAAGAGAGCGAAGCTCAAATATATGTACACAAAGACCAAATCGAAGCAGTAGTGTCTACCTCACTGTTTACGGTACCGGTACCGTAAAAAACCTCCCACCTTTGCGTAGCAAGATAGTAACGCGAGTGAGGAACCGCTACAATAATTTGTATTAATTTTATTTTCAAGAGATCATCACACTAATTTTGAAATTATAACGATAGTGCCCACAGAAAGTTTTTAAATAAATAAAAGTAATAGCTTTCTAGCGAAAAATGCAATCGTTAACCAGTGAAAATTTCATAACAATTGACCCAATGGTTAATTAAGAAGAAGAGCGATTTTTTACACGGTTTGGTTCGCATCTGTCGATTCGTATTACCATACAACATCCTTAACTGCAAATGTATAGATATAATTAATTTTCCAAATTTTTTATCATAAAAAATGTCAATAATAAAAAAGTAAAACAACAATTTTACCCGACACACATGAAGGTCTCTCGCGAAGTCAGGTTGAAAATCACTGCACCCATGCCATGAATAGACATTTCTAAAGATGTGCCGTTTTAAAATTACATCGTAATGCTGTATTTTACTTTGAAATATTCAAATTTTACAAACATACAAATCGGAAGTGAAGATGGTTAGTAAATAATCAGTACGCCTTTTACATAGGATTTACCTCGCGACCTCGCAACAAGCTTCAAATGTTTAGGTTCTGCTACAAAAACTTTTCTGTATGTTTATTTCAACCAATATACAATAAATTTACCGCATTTATTCTAAAAACTTTTGACAGTTACACGAATCAAAAGTTGCGGTTAAAATTGCAGACGATGTTTTCGTCGGGGCAATCAAAAATACAACGAGAACAAATAGCAAAATTTCCCATTTGTTTTTATATTGTAATTTTACCAAACTTTCTTATGAATTGGGCAAACTTTGCTTTGATGTGTCTACTAATGTGACCAGTTTTAATGAATCTGTAAGCAGCGCCCTACTATGGTTATTTGCCAGTTTCTGTCATGTAAATGAATACTCTTATTTTTGATGTTCCTAAATCCTACTTTTGTGTTATATTGATGTATTGTTTGCATAACAGAAAGAATGTCAATTTTGCCATTCCACTAATTAGATATCGCAAAAGTATAATTAGCTTCTACTCAACGACATATTATTGTTTGCACACAAACAATTTAACGGAAAAACGAAAACATTTGGGAGAAAACAACTTGTCATTGTTGCGATCAAGATTCTGGTCGTTTTCTTTTTATCAAACTAAGTCAAAAAAGTCACTACCCCATTTGACCTTTATACCTATAATGTTATTTTTGATCCAAAAGAGACAATCGGAGAGAACGTCTCCCCCAAAGTCACGAAATCATCCGCCTTTAAGTGCAAATAGCCCCGCTACAGGTGATCCGTGCAGTAACGCCCATTGAAACCCAACCTATAATCTTGTGGAAAGTTCCATGGGAGCATCGTACTATAAACCAACATCTCCCGAAATTTAGTTATACAATCTCAAATCTATATGAGAAAGTATGAACTATTGGCGAAAATGAGGAAGAAAAAATAGTTTTACATCCAGAAATAGCTTGGTTTAGTATGAATCACGCATATTTTTCATTTCCGAACGTATAATAAATATTTTTATTATTTTGTTTTATTTCTAACATGACAAACCTTTATGACGAAGAACTATAGCTTATAGATATTGTTTAATTTACGGAAGAAGCATATCACTGAAAATTAGTAAAATATTATTTTCACGCGACTTCTTTGGACATTGTATTCGGTCGTGTTTACAAAAACGCGAAACCCTTTTTCCCAAACATCTTTTATTGTTGATCATTTCTCCGCACGTAAAATAATCTTTTCAAGTCTACGTGTTTCCGGCGTCACGCCAAATCTGCGTAGCCCAAAATGGGCGGCACTTTTGCGGTGAGATATAAGTGTGCGATCTTTCGCCTGAATTTTGGCGAGCATCATGCTTATAATCGACGCTGAGTCAAAAGTCGTGCAATGCAATTAAATGACTTCATCGCGAAATATACGGTTAGTACTACACGCTTAAAATTTTTGCATGATGTTACTGAGCGCATTATGCATAAAAATATTTGGGTATTGCTTGTCTTAATTTACTACTGATGCTTCATAGACATAGAAAGTCGTATCATAGAAACGCGTATTATAATTGAATAGCATTTTCAGGCTCGCATTATTGAGTTTATTATACAGGGATAGAAATATTGAAATCGTAAAAAGAATCAAAATAAAACAGTACACGAAAGGCGCTAAGCCTCTGAGATTATGGAGTCAATATAAATATCCCATATCCCATATCGAGCTCATACTTTGACGCGATACCTGTAGCTCCGTCTTTATTTGGTCGAAAGTGGTCGTTATGATTTGGTACTTTTAGAATCTAGATACTTTGTAACTTGAATTTTTGCGGCGTGAATACTTTTTGATTTTTAATGTTTGGTATTCGATATTGAAAATGAACTCGAACATGACATGTTGGTTGCGACAAAATTATTCATTATAGTTAAAATTGTTCTTCCAGATCTTCCATGAATGTAAATGTCTCTTCTAATAATATTCAAAGCAATATCTGTCAGAGTTATTTATTTTATTTATTGTTTTATCGGAATATGGAGAGTTGTCGAAACTTATGGAAATAGTAATTATTGGTGGATGTTAGCTTTACTTCTTGGGATTTTATTCGAAACTTTGTTAACTTTTTATCGAAGAGGAGGAAGAGAGTGGAAATGGTGAGGATGAATAAAAACGTTCTTTTCGAAATAAATTAGTTCAATTTACTTTTTGTCGACTGAAATGCTAAATAATTTTAATTTGTTACAATAAAATGAAGAAAGTGTTGCATGCCATAAATAACCAAATAATTTTACAAAACAAATTTTCTCTCTGATACAACGATAAGACAATTTTTATATTTCGCATTTGGCTATGCACTTATAAATAATTATCATAGGCCATTAAGTCATACATTAAAATTCTACTTCTATACCAATGATATGTTTAAGTGAAAAATTACCAATAATATTTACATATTACAAGGTTTTCGCCAGCAATATTCTTCTACATGGCTGCAACTCTTCCTTGCATATGGTTGCTTGAACTACATCTAATGGGACTGAGGCATAAGGAACTTGACGCAATTGCGAATAAAACTCGCGTCGACAAAACACACAGTCTTTTGGGGGTGAGAAGTGGTATCATGTTGTTGTTGTTGTGTATATTATTTTTAACTTAAGATGATACCTTATCGGTTATCGCCGATAAACTCACAAGGAGCTCCCGAGTCATTATGCGGCGGCTTATTATGTTAGAAATTTTTATTTGTTTCTTTACATTTATTTTGTACGGTTAAGAGATTTATATGAGTTTTAAAAAATCAATTGAGAGGCGCGATTATCGTGTCTGAACAAATACTTTTCATCCAATTTCGGACGTTTTTTTTAATGTTAAATTTAACATATCATTATACTATTTTGTACGTCGTAAATTATTTGCAATACAAAAAAGGCCAATAGTTTTAGTTTATAGTATAACTGTTGTTAGAGTTGTCTAAAGTTCGATGTTAGTTGCACATGCAAATATTTCCGCTAAGAATCATCACCATCGTTCTTTAATCGTTTGTCATACATTGAATAACTTGCTTCGTATTTAATTAGATTGTCGCAAAAAATTGAAGGCTTACACACCGTGTAAAATACATTACCAATTCAGTAAGTCACTTTACAAAGTATCTTGAATATACTGTATGTATAGATAGATGAAATGGGCGTGTTTACATTATGCTTTTTATCGCGGAGGTGTGAAAACTATTATCTTTATTAACCACAATGGATAAAACATCAACTTTCTCAATCATAGGCATTTGTCATTCAATAAAACAAATTAAGACCCCGCCCCTCTGAAGTGCACTGAACCGCAACGATTCCTCTCTAACATCAATTCAACCGCGCGGTAACTTTTTCCAAATTAAGGACGTTTTAATGACGTTAATGCAAAATACATAAATGGGTAAATGATGAAATAACGCATGGTTTATCTTTGCCCAGTGTCCAAAATCGTCTGATATTGGTATGTGTACGTGTGTACATATTATCTTCCTATCTGTAATTCAAGAAATGACTCCTGAAGCAGCTTTGAAATGGGTTTTTTAAAATGACAATCACTGATAAATACCACAGAGGTCGTACACATTAACATTTTACGGTATCTTTAAAATTGAGTGCTGATTAATTTTGAGCAAACCGCTATTAAAAGTCTTCCATTGTATTTCAAAATAAGATCACTAGACCTTCCAATAATTAATCAGTGCGTAGGTATAATACTAGGCAACGTTTTGCGTCAAAAAACAATAGACGTAGTCAGTTATTCGAAGGTGGAATTACAATTGCGTCAGATACGTGATAGCTAAACATAACATTTAATCCCGCTGTTTATTATAGAACTTGAATCGAAAATTTCCTCAATATAAAAATGTCTAATAATAATTAAAATATAGTAACGTACATTTACATCCGTGCACATAGTGTGAAAATAATCTTTGATTGCGCCCTATATATTTTTTCCAAATTACACATTACATAATTATAGTTCATATTGATGGGCAAAGAAAAATCGTGATTATTGACAATAGGACGTAACTAAATATAATCTTTTCATATAAAAAATGGTCAGAGAATAACATTGAGAAAAGATTGTTTATTGAATGGTAAATAACTGTGTGGCTCCAGAGATTCAGTAGACTATGACGTCCGTGCATTCAACAATATTAATGAAATGGGATTCAATGAAATCTACAATTGCTCCATTTAAAAATTGTCAATGTAACTGCCACTGTCTTTCACGATTTATTATTGTCAGAATTAGGGCAAGGTTATACACCCACAATGAATCTGATCTAAATACCAACCGGACGAATGGAATTTATTAAACAGAACTTGAATCAACACGATTATAAGACAAAGTTAACTGGTCGAGAAGGCAGGCAAAGCCAATGACAGGCGTTGTCACGCAATACGTCACGAATCCCTTATTATTGCGTCATCATCACTTTCTGGAAGACAATGTAAACAAGTCTGTGAAATCATACAACAACAGTGTATAATTTATCGTTAATAAGATGTTCCTACATACCTGGCTATGCATTTGGTCATGTTGCTTTCTCTTCATGGATATTGAATTTGCATGGGCTCTCTGAACAATATCCCAACAAAACTTGATGTTCGCCTTTCCGTCAGTGCATGATTTAATCACTTCTACAAATATACAGCCGAAGTATATACCGAACAACTGGTATTTTTTTTTCATAATTTTGCGAACAACAACCGATTGTTACTATACAATACACTACATGGTTTTCATTTCAGTTAACAATCGAAATCGACTTTGATGAATTTGGTTGGGCATTGGCGTTAGAACAAACAATGTTTTGTATTCTTATACTGAGCAGATGGGTTCTTCCGCGCGGAGAAATAAGTCGAAATCAGTTGTCTCAACTTCTTCTTGTACATGTCGGAATGGCAGCAGATATTATGGAGCTATTCGAAGTGTTTGAAGAAGAAAAGGTAAAAATGCATTTTGTATTTTCATACAACTTCCTACATTTTCTTTTTTGTTTATATCTCAGTTAATGCCCATGACTTTCCGTTTTACCGTATCCTAACCTTCGTTTAAACTAAAGTATTATATAATAATAAAACTCTAGATTGTTGAATATCCGAACCTCATATATCCTACGTTGTCGCTGTGGAGTTGGAGTTTGTTGCAATATTGTTTCGTTATCACCAACACAAATGCAAGAAAAGACAGGTTTGGAGGAACAGAAGAAGACGAAAATGAAGCAGTTGACGGGTATGAGCTTTACATTGAAATGATTTCAAGTAACATCGTCAAAGTTGAAATTGGACAAATTCATGTTTAGCATGATAATATATATCAACAAAACAGCAATTTATATATTCATTATAATTTGATGAAATTGACACATTAAATATGCCTAATTGAGAGCTAGTAACACCCAACTTAGAATGATGGCTCTAAAAAATTCCTGAACTATTTTCATCAAATGACCACATACTATAATAACTATACTAAAACGAGATTTTTGTCCGACAGTTGTCACAACGAGCTGAATATGAAGTAATATACAAATATTAGAAAGTGTATAAAAAGACAAATTTTGTGTTGTGTTAATTTCGTTGCTAAATTTTGGGTGTGAATGTAAAATTCATTATTACAAATATTACGATATCTAGATTACATAATGTAAATTGTTGACAGGAAAGTAGCGCGCTGTACTTGTCATATCAGTGACTGGAATGCAGACGTTGTTGGAATATTCACAACAATCTTAATGCAGGATCTTCCGTTCTTCATTTTTCGAGTTTTTCTGCTTGGAGGTAAGATATTTTCTCAGATAGATTTTGTTACCATAAGAATGTTTATATATATCATGTAGGAACAAAACATTCAGTTGGCTTAGACGTTCGATTTGTAGTTATACAGTCTGTTATCCGAGGCTGTTGAATCAGGAAAAATATCCCACTTCGACTCTCGTATAAAAATAAATTTGGTGTTTTTAATCAAATTTGTTTTTTAGGCTGCCTTTAGACAACGCCACAAAGCTATTAAAATTTGTAGCCCGTAAAGTCCAAAAATGCGAATCCGCATTCGGGCATTAGACAATAAACATTTGGGCTTCGACTCAAATACTGGTGAAGAGTCGAAAACCGATTACAACTCGATAGCGATTTTGTCACAGCTATAAAAAGCTTAATAATAACAAACTTACAGCTTGCCGGTTGCAACTTACAAGCGATAAAAGTCAAACCTTGTGGCAAGTTGGTGATAATGTTGGGAGAATTATTTCCTTTTATCCGAGTTTAAAATCGAACAAAAATGTACTTTATTTCAGGTGTTGGGATCCTAAGCCACATGATGGTGTTTTTCACATGCAAGAATGCACTGGTGATTATGTTGCAGTTGTACAGACTTGTTTCTATTTATCTGGAGAAAAACCATTCTGATGAGCCGGAAGAAATTTCGAATGTGCCAACAGTGAGCGACCCCGAACAAGGGCGTTCGGATAAAAACCATGTTGGGCCAAAACCACAAAATTTAGAAATCAATACAAACAATAATGCTGTCCTACCAAGCGCAATACCATCCCCAGCATTAGAAAATGAAAACCTGCGCCATTCCAAAAATGCCTTTCAAGACTTTGAAGATTATGGTGCCTTAAATGATTGACATTTCAGAAAGTTGTTGCTGGAATTTGTACTCGCTGTGTACCAGATTAAACGTAACTGTATGCCACGGTGCGTCACCTTGTGAAAATTGACCAAATACAATTACTTGAACGATCATAATTCATCGTCCCGAGAGCTAACAGAGAAAATGTGACAAAGCAGCGGATGAGTACTTTACCGAAGGCACAGGATTATTTTTTGGTGGGAGATTCCGATTAAATGACTGAGAAACATATATATTACAAGTTCCCGTATGTAAAACGCACTTCCGTTACAATCTAAGACTAGAGTGAACTTTTTTTCAATGTTAAGAAAATTTTGTTATGTTCAATTTGAGCAGTGTAGCAGGGCAGACCAAACTTTAATACTCCTTTTTATTCAAAAATATATCTATGTCTGTATATGATTTTATTGTCTGCTTCAATCTCAATGCTATTCTATTTTAAATGTTTGTGCAAATAATACGCATAACTTTCCATAATAGATCAATGCTTAATTATACTGAAGATGAACGCAATATGAAGACACTTCATTTCAGATAACAGTAGACACAATTTGACGTCGTTGTGCATGAAACTGCTAAAACTTGTCTATTATTGTGGTCTTAGTGCTGGTATTTTGATTCCTTTACTTTTTTAATACTCGTGAACAGGATTTGGCTAAAATACCAATTGTATGCGATAGCTTATTTCTTATAGATATCACTGACAATAACTGGAAACACGAAAGATTAATAGTAACTTGTGTTATTGTGGTCTTCGTGCAGGTATTTTGATTCCTTTACTTTTTTAATACTCGTGAACAGGTTTTGGCTACAATACCAATCATATACGATAGCGTGTTTCTTATAGATACCACTGACAACAACCGAAAACACGACAGATTAATAGAAAAAGCTTCAAACTTTACACATTTCTTGGTTCAAATTGTTGAATCGGTCGAATAAATATAAAACTGGGCAAACATGATGTTCAGGTCGCTTACACTGGAAAAAATACATTATTGAAGACTAATATAATTAATATAGCCAATATTATAGAAATACTAATATAACTTTATTATATTACAATCAAATATTGTTTCCGTATGAAATAGAACTATCGCAATGTCGAACTCGACGATATATAACACCACTACAAACACGATAATACACAAACAGAACTTATCAACTAATTCCAATCGATATAATTTTAATAAAGTAAAAAAAAAACTTTTGCGCCATTTTAAATTGATATCATTACAAAACAAAAAATTGCACGCAGCCTATTTTAGAGGCAGTAAGCGAATGGACACAACCCCTTTTTGAAATATATAACCATAGTTTCTTGTACAAAGCTCAGCGCGATCAAGGCTTGGCTTTTGGGGGTACATCTTTTTGTAACAGAAAAGAATAACAAGTACAAACAAAAATTAAATATTTGTCTTTTTGTATCCAGTTGTGAATTCTATTTCAATAAAAGAGTACTTTTAACAAGAAAAAAATGGGTGATGTAGATTGTAGAAAACACATCTGGCTAGAAAATTGTAAATCCACTGTAAATTAAAATATGATTAATTAACATTTGAGCATTTAAAAAAATGGATTAAGAAGTATTGGAAATTACGAAATTCATCATTCTTCCACGCTGTCAAAAACCCACGATTGTCTAGTTGTGATTTTGACAGTGCAAATACTAGGATAAAAGTTAAAACATTCCGTAGTTAAACAAGCGTGCTGTCTAAAGCAGGGCTACACAACTGGCGGACCGAGGAACAAATCTGGACTTTTCGAGTATTCGATTTGAACCGCATCAGTGTGTCCAGAGTAGAGATGTAAGTTTCTGAATTTCGAATAGAATCGGTTCGAAGCAATTTCAGAAAAAACGGGTTGATTCCATTTAAAAAAAATTCCGAACGTCGGAGGTTGTCTAGAATTATTCTCACTCATGTTCCCCTAATTACCAACTAAATATAATCTTCAGAAGCAGTAATGTTCGAAAGTATCTGTGAAAGGTATTTATTTTATGCGAAAACACGTTAATATGAAATTTGGCAGTATGAGTTTAATATTTGGCTGACGTGATAGTGGTCCGCTAAAATATGCCTCTTTGTGGGAAGCAGGCATCAATTGGCTTACGCCGTGGTATTACCTAACAATGTTTGAGTTCGGTTGAGATTGCGTAAGTGGCCATGCAAGTGCTCAGGATATCCCTTTAGTTGTTTGTGTTTATAAATTCCTTCAAATAGTACGCACAAATATCAGACAGATGCTGATTTTCTAAGATTGAAGAAGCAAAAACTGTGACGTCGACCATTACAACTCAAGTGTAGCGAAGCAGTCGTGAGCTAACTATGGATGTTTTCCCAAGCATTGATTTCCGTGTTTTTTAGCGTAACTATGGCCAATCAGCAAAAAGCCTATAACGACGTAATAGAAATTTATGGAGTCGCTCAGACACATCTTTCGCTCAAACAGATAAGCATGGTTGTAAACATCGGCTCGTGTTTATGGTTTCGCGTGTTATTTGTCAGTTTTTAGTTGGGTTTCCAAAAAATAGTTGTAAATCAAGTAATCCAAATGTCATTATGTCTTTCAAAGACCTTTAGTTTAGTTGCAATAATCAAAAAATGCAAACGCTGCGATCATGGACCTTTTCCCGAGCATCGACTTCCTTGTTTACTTCGTGACATTGGCCAATCAGCAAGATGAGAAAAGTGACATAACAATGCTCTCTTTTCGCATCCGCTCGGACACTTTTCTCACTCAGACAGATTTTCAAGCGTGGTCGTAAACATTACTTCGTTTTCGCGTTTTGGAACGCTATTCGTTAGTTTTCAGCTGTGTTTCGGAAACTTAAATATAAATCAGATAATTTAATGATCACTCTGTCTTCCTAGGAGCTTTAATTTAATTGCAGTAATAAAAAATTAGTGTAGAAATAGCTGTGAGAGACTAGGGTAAAATTCTTAACCGGTACTTTCGGAAAACAGATTGTTGAATGCGATGAATCATAATGATGGTTTGAAACACATACACCATATTGCAGGCGCCAACTCGCAAAAGCACTCTTAAAATAGCCCCGAAAATTTTGCAATGGTAAAGTATAGGAAGATTTACACAACATGTTATGCATTGTCTCTGCTGCGATAGACTAGCCTAAAATTAGCTATCAGTACTTGTAGCGGCAGGTGGTTAAAGGTATTGAATAAAAGTAATAATTTTAAACATGTGAGCCAGTTTGTAAGCGCTAACTATCCAAAACACTCAATATAAGCGTTTAAAATTTTACAATGATAAAGCTAAAAGAGAATTTCAGGGGTCAAGGGTCGGGGAAATGTCCATATTCAACAACCAAACTTCATCCTCGCTTGCATGCGTCTTCTGTGTTTGCAAGTTGCGAGAGTGAGGGGGAGATTTATTGATTCGCCAACCTAGTGCAATAACAAAAAATATAATAATAATAAAATAAACGCAATGATTTTTTTTGGATATTGATCAGCGAAGCTAAGATTCATTTATTTTGACTGAAAAAGCTGTTAAGTTTTCTGATTGCAAATAATAAAATTTAAGATATTTTTTATCACCGGTATGGTACCGGTACCGGTACTGTATTATTATTAAAGTGACGATGACAACAGTCGCTTGTATTTTTTACTATTTTACAGTTTCTACTCTCATAGGCTACGGTACCAGCAGACCAGTGCCCTTAACAGTAAGGTAATACTGTAATAGTCTAATCGTAATAAATTCAGAAAGTTGCAGGTTAGGCGATGAATCGATGATAGAATAATATCAGAATATTGCAAGCTGAGTGTTTATTCAGTTATTCAATAATTTTGCTATGTGGGTCTTCATGCTTCGTTGCTTGCTTGCAATATTACCATGGGGTGAGTAACAGACGAATGAATATGTTGTAATTTTAGTCATCGAAGTACGGTAATCATCTCCCAAAATCTGTTATAATTAGATTATTCAGCTAAAGCTAATTTTTATTTCAGTTGTTTTGATTTTATTTTTTCACTCCTATCGCCATAATACTGTAAAATATTACCTAACATAAAATAATAAAAATATGCTATAATCACAGCATTTTCCATATCCAAGTCCTGAAATTGTGGTGTCTCGTTCGAAACATACTGGTACAGTAATAATCTGAATATTGTACAATACGCTAATTTTTTTTTCATTTTTCAGTTCTCCTAGTTCACACAGAAATAACAAATGAAACAGAACAGGAAAATATTGCTTTGATGGATAGCAAGGTAAAAGGGTTTGTATAAAAAGGGATTGTTGAGTCATTGCTGTTTTAAGATAAGCAATGACTAAAATAGTTTATTGGAGCATGTTTATCAAGTAATATCAATATTAACCAATTACTTATTGGACCGAATGCTTAATTCCATTTTTTTTAGAGCCACTGGTTTAAATATCAGATACATAAATTCAATTAAATAACATTAAATGTTGGCATAATTTTAGTTTTAGCATAAAATAGGTGAATCGCTTTGAAAAAACCGCATTGTTTCAAATGTATTGAATATGAAACTTTGTTTAAACACAATTGTTTTATAGTTGATATTTCCACCCAGATAATTTTATGAAACTATGAAAATTTTATAATTTTGGTAATGTAAAAAAATTATATTTTTCATTTAGAACTCAGATGATTCTTCAAGCAGTGATGAGTTGATTGGAACATGCTCTTATCTGGTATATAAACACCATTTTCTTCAAAATACTTGTCCATTAGATGAAAACTACATATTTAGCAGGTTTAAAAAACTTCGTAAACGCTGCCTTCACAATCTGAATTCTTCACGTCTTTCAATCGATCATGCCGTTGTGCTAAATTTTACAACTTTTATCAAAACTCTTGAGGAACGCCATGAAACTGCATGTTCAGTGGTTTTATTTTATGCAAAATGGTGTCCTTTCTCTATGAAAATTTCACCATCTTTTAATGCCCTTGGCAGAATTTTTACAAACTTGGATTTCTTTGCTGTTGATGTATCAGAAACAAATAGCTTCTTAACAAGGTAAGCTAATCATTTGTTTATCATTTAAATTGGTAACTCAAGACTCCTTATGCTGCTTCAGTTTCATTCTTGTTCAAAATGGCTCTTATGTAGTATGTGAATACAGGTAATCACAATTTCACAAGATCAAAAGTTCAACCCAAACAAGTTTAATTATCAAGAAATGTAACTAGCTGTGCATTTTTCATACTTCTTAATCTGGAAATTGTCTATCAAAGTTGATTCATATTTGCTGTTTAGGAATGACAGATTTTTTAGAATTAGGGTAATACGATTAGACTCTATATCATTTCACTGCACCTATCATTTAATCTTTCTCTCCAATTTCTTTCATTCTAAATAATAATGTGTTTTTTGTCTGCATACTTCGGGTTTTTATTCTTTGTGGTGAGGGTGAGGACATGACTGAGGACTTCGATCATGGTATTCATTTACTCTGGTGGCTAGTGCTTACCAACATTTTTTTTCAAAGATATATGGAATTATGTTTAGTTATTTCTTTGTCAGTGTTGACTTGGAGTGAATGATGTTTATATTTACTGACTTCCCTTCGATGAATCTATATGTGCTCACCAGAATGCGTTTATTTTCTATGCTTGTGTTTTCTCCTGCTTGTCATAGATTTCTTAGGTTGACACAAATTTTTTTTATTTTTTTTCAGATATGGTACAGTTGGTGTTCCCACTGTTATGATCACTGAAGGCACAAGGTTATTTGCAAGATACAATTCACCAAATATTACTGTACCAGCCATCGCAGAATTCATCACAAATCAAACTAACTTGGTAGTGCCTGTAGTCAATAATTCTTCTCTGGATGTGGTACTCCAAATTACCCCAGAAGACCACATTGGGCCGGTGCCATCTGAACCGTCCAATGACCCCAACTGGGCGTTGGTTGCATCAATAATTTTTCAAATTTTGTATTTATGTCAACATTTCTTAATTGCAAAATGGCATCAATATTTTCCTATATTTGAAAACATATTTAGATAACACTACATGAAAATTTGACAGTCTGGAGCATGAGCTACACTGTGCATGTGCAATTACTTACTGATGTACAACTTGTCTAGGTGTAAATAAAATTTGCCCTCTTATCGGTTCTGCTGAATTCGGTGTAATTATGTCCTCTCAGTTTGTTTCTATTGGATAGTAAATGGAGATATTGCTGCTTACTTTTTGTTCTTAGTTTAATTATGCATTTCTGAATGAGTTTGACCATGGTCAGACAAAACGTTACAGAATGAACCTTTTTGTTTTCTGCAATATATTTTTTGAGGTCATTCTATCGTTCACGATATTTTTTATAAGGAATTAAAAGAAGCTTTAAATATAGGACTCCTCATTGTAAGATGATTTATGATATACTGCTTGTGATTAAAGTCGATTACGTATCCCAGGAGAAGGAAAATTATGCATCACAAGTTTTAGCATGCCGTTACATAAATAGCCTGAAGTGGTGTTGTACAAATGCAACATCCTTGCACAGAAAAGCTCTCTATTATGTGATCGTCCGCGCAATAAGGTACAAATGGGTGGTATATGGATGAATTGTTAACGTTGACAGCGAGTGAAGCAATTGGCCGCTTTTGATGATCTTGTTATAGACACCTGGTATGGAGGCATGACATGAATACCGAATTATTAAGCCGATAAGACGGCTTAATCATATGGCGAACCACGGCCTCTCGTCCGGTTACCAGTCCGGGTCGGATATGGGATTAGTTAGACAGTTATTTGTTTTCGGAAGCATGTACTTGACGGTGGAGAAAGCCGTAACCGACCAGCGGTTACGTGAACCACCCTACGGCAGCGAGGAGTCCAGCAATCCTCTCGCACATGATCATCCCTGCATGAACTTCGATATGGCTTTAATTCTGTGATAAACTAGAGTCAGCCCCGTGTATGCTCTTATTGGACACGTAGTGGACATAACGATCGTTTCAATATTATGTTGTTGTTGTTCTTTGACACGTTTTTAAAAAGTCGCTTTTCTCTTCGAATACTGGACCAATTGCTTTGAAATTTTCAGTGGTTAAAGATAAAAATTTTCTCCAGAAGGCTATTACTTTTTTTTCGCTATGACGTCATCGAAATTATGTGACTCTACGTGTCCATATATTTGAGCATAGCTCTCTTGTATTAATTTAGCATCGTTACCCATGATACGATGATGAAATTGTATTAAGCCAATGCTATATTATAGGGATGGGACGAGTCCGGCATTACAGAGATTTGACGAATCCGAGTAATAGGTCAAGGATTCGAATCGAATCCTCCGAGTCCGTGACGTCACAATGTAAAAGTAGAAAAACACGTTTTTGACCATACTACAGCATCGCGCGCTCACAAGCATAGGTCATAGCTCATATTTTTTTCCCTAACGGTTCCGCAGATAGCTGTTGAATGAATTTAAAAATATAGTTTTGCTCTTTTTTTGGCGGCCATAATACAATCGTAAACGTGGGTCAATGTGCGCCTTGGCTGTGAACTGGATTTCCAGCCCACCATCTTGCGTCAATTCTGGGCGGCTATTTAGAAATTCTTACATGTCAATATGAAAAATAAAAAGCTTTTGACTACAATGTTTTCCCATAATTCCAGATATTTCTAGCCTTAAATTTACTAAGACGTGTGCGCAAATGGTAGAGAGATGCCGCTCGTCCTCAATACAATGCTTGCAATTTAGTAGTTTATGCAAACGTTCTAAAGCGCTCCACGCTTTCCATTGCTCCCTTTTTAGAGAAAGGATTACTCGTAATAAACTTGATTTAAAAGAGGTATTGATGAGATTCCCCCTTGGATTGATTCTGCGCATGTTTCATATTTATTTACGCGAATCTAAAACCCAAAAATATTGCGCTAACACATATTTTATTGTGTAGCACATGTATACCAAAAAGGATGAATAGTTTGAAGGCGACTGGCGCAACATCATTGTTATAAGCGATCAATAGTTTTTACCTTGCGGTATATTATCTGGATATCTGTCGTCGTTTTTATTAGAAGTGTTATTAATACACGAGTGATATTGTTACATATCTAACCTTGAATTTCAACTAGCTAAGGTATGTAGTGAGATTTTTAGGGGTAAAAGTACAAAAATAGGCGTAAATTAGTAAAAACAGAATTGATTATAGACTCGGTAAAAACGACGTGGACTCGAATCCGAGTCCGGATCCGAATCCCGGCCCAGGGATATTTATTTTTCTCGTTAATTTTTACATAGATCTCCTGACTAGAGTACTTGCTGTGTCAGTTCGTTATCAATAATTATCCCTAAATGAGGATATTAAAAGACACACTGTCTAAATTCAAAGTATTATTCCATCGGAAGATGTAAGCATACATAGTATCGGAGCATACATAACGTGGGTGAAGATCAACGTATGACTGAAAAAGTTAACTGATTTGACTCGGTTCGGTTCAATACCAAGTAGTCGCCATCTAAAACGAAAATCATGCCAAATACCCAGCAATGCATCGCTGTTCCGAAATAATTCGGTATTTCAACAACCTTTTTTACTTCACGACTGATGGATGTCTGAATAGCATGTTTTGGCTAGATGCATCCAATGTGCGTACCCAGCACATTGAGAGATTCAGTTAGTAAAAGCATTTCGCTATTAATCATTTAGCATCACTGTAAAGTTATTAGGGACGCGCAATATTGTAACAAGCTCTAAATAAGATGAATCGTCACGTGGTGCGCATAGGGTAATACTACGTTTTTGGACAAGAAATGTTCATATGGATCGTTTTGGTATTATGCTGTTGTTAGTCATTCTGTTCATTTCCCTTATTGTTGTGAAAACATCGATTTTCTCTCAACTACCGCACCCATTGCTTTGAAATTTTCAGTGGTTAAAGATTGTATCTTTCGCTAGAAGGATATTGCTTTTATTCGTTTTAAAAATATCTGTGGGCTCTATTGGATTATTTTTTGTGTGCGATGACGTCATCAAAATTGCGCACCTTGTGTCGGTTCCGCGTTCAGGTAAAGTCGTGAATACTGCGGTGCCGGTCTACTGTGACAGATTTCATGCCCGTACTCCCTCGTTTTGACCTAGTGTCCATATATTTGAGCAATCTACTCTTGTTGGGACATATAGCTAAATCACTTGCACACATAATTAATTACATTTGATATATTTTTTGACGTGTTATTTTCTTTTTGTATGTAGGTGGATAGCTTCACTAATATGAAGCAATATCCGTGTGGGTGACTTCCGGAATACTCTTTCTCATGAGCATTCATGATGTATGTATGTCAAGTCAATATGTTTATAAATTAAAATTGAATATTTGCATTACGTGTGGCATAAACAAAATTTTAAAAAACATTTTAATTGAATTTAGATTAAATATCCAACATACAGATTGTAGTATTTATTGCTACGCTATAAATAGTGTCGTGGATACAATAGCTTGTAGAAGGGATATCACCCAAGTTGAACGTCCAAGATATATTAACGCTAATGTTTTAGTCACGGGCATGGCCCATAAATCTACATTGCGATAAATTTCAATATATCCAGTCGGAACTGGTCTTATCGACGTCACCACGCCACGAAAAACAAGTAGGTGGGTTGGCGAAGCGTCACAGTATTTTTCAAAAGCATATGATGTCATAGTTTCGGAACCTAAGAGCAGAATAGATTCAATCGCGTCGTTCAGTGATTTAGCTAGTTCTGGGAAAAAACCGCCGCAAGAGCATTTTGCTGTATAAAAAGTATTTGTGATAAAAACAGTTAGGTTTTTGAATTATCTTTTTATTTAAAAACGATTCCTTATTAAACACATACCCTAACTCTATAAGCCTAACTGTTTTTATCTCAAATACTTGTTTTGCAGCAAAATGCTCTTGAGGCGATTTTTCATGCGGCGTTTCAACGGCGAAATTTCCGGACACGATTTCAGCTGACCCCGGGGATTTACCTAGGCTAAAGATCGGAGACGAGGATGAAGGGTTAGAAATATTTTGGTGCAAAAAGATGCCTATCTAAACAAAATTTTGATAGAACATAAAATTATAATTTCAAAACTATATAGGACTTATGTTATCGTTGTACACGGAGTGTGGGGGATGGTATCGACTGGGCGCTGAACCAACTCGCTCGCCTCATACACTGAAATGGTTATGTAAAGCAGGAAATCCACCACTAGAAGGCTTTTGCGACCGCCAACGGAGGTTCCATCGCAAAATGTAAATTTTCCATCCGACAAGAGCGTATACTTTACTTCTAGTCGGAGCAATTGTTTAATAAGTTATATATCAGTCTTCAATTTGCACATATAGTCAAAGAAATACATGTAACCGGTGTCATCGCATGGATTTTTAGGGAGAATTGAACCATTGAAACAACAATTAATACTCGCCCACCTGCACCGTTCGCCCAGAATCGACGCCCGTTACCCCGATTCGATCTCATCTATTTTGGACAATCGAAGACTTCGACAGTCGATTACAAAAAGAAAACGTTGATTAACAGAGTGAAAAAAAATCCCAGTGTTCTGAAATTTTGTAGATACATGCTCAATTATTCCAAAATTATGTGTATCGACAGAACACGCGTACAGCAAGTATCAGTTTTGCGTACCCAAGCCGACCTTTATGCCAGTCATTCCTGACAACCATTCCTCGTCGAGGCCACATAATAGGCATTCTTAGCAACACAATCGCTTGGGCCATTGTTCGGGTGTTTTTCTTTTTACATTGTGACAAACGAGTGGCACAAAGGTACACATTAACCCGGGCCAGCGAAACGGTATGCGCTTTGTTGGAGAGGGAAATTTATTTTTATAGTTTAACCCTTTAGTTGGCATATTTACCAAAGTTATGGAAATTTGGCAAAAAAGAAAGTTATGAAATATGGCATAAAGTCATAAATCGTGCGCAATGAAGCGAGGATTTTTGTCTACCGCTTTATGACAAAAATTTCCCGGCTTGAAGGACAGACATTGCTTAATTGCGCCTCGGCAGCTGCCATCTTTTGTTTAGCTAGATCAAGTTTCAACGTGTTATATGTGTAATGTCGCAATGGTCATTCATAGAAAAGACATTCTTTGTACCTCTTGTCCTTGGCTAAGGTTTTTATTTCTTGGAGGACGGTCGACTGATAGAGGTCTGTTCAGACAGGGTAAGGTCTTTAGTCATCGACGAATGCCATGAAGTGCGCGGGAGTAGAATTTTGGCGGCAACATATTCGAGAAGTGATTAGGCAAAGTTTTTCGAATGACACAATGAAAATAGTTATATAGCTTCATACAGACACAGGCTTAAAATAATCAGTATGGTGTTAAACTAGCTGTGCAAGACCAGCCAACTGTCAAAATTGATTCTCTCAGGTAGGCATCTTTTTATGCAATATTCTTGTCCAATGAATCAAATATTTCACAACACTTATTTGCTACTAAGCCCAAATCACTGTTTTGATATTACTGTTTATGAATTATGACCAACAATTTTTCATTACATCATGATACTTTTAAAAATTATTGTACATAAATAAATTTATAGTTTGTAATTTTATTCTTTTCAATGAGTTGCATTGAACCTGCTTGCAAAAACTCAACTGCTAAAAATACTGGAGCTTAAATATTAATTCTGGTATAAAATTGCTATGAGCAAAGTTGCCAAAATTCTGTGATTTATACCAAGCAAGTTTATTTTTGATAAAGGTTTCGAGAAATAATGTAGACAAATCAAAAACCCTAAATCAGAATCATTTTGGTATTTAGCAGACTCAAAAAATTGATTGTAGTGGAAGTCAAAACCAATCAACCCACTTATGGTGGGTGTTTTTTTATTCCTTCATTAACAGGTATTGAATATTGTATAGAACCAGATAGGATCTGTAAATAGGCAAAACAGTTAGCGATTTTCCATACCAACCAAACATTTCCAAAAGTTGAGGTAAGAACCAGCCAGGATTAATTGTACGAGTTTATTTCAGTAATTGAAATTTTCAATTCCAACTATTCTCAACTCCTTTAAGCTTAATATGAAATTCTGAATCATCCAAAAATTTAAAGTTAATAAATTCATGAAGCTTTTTTATTTCCACCAACAAATTGACAAAGCTATTTGGAGAGAAGTCTTTGGAAGCCACTGGTCACCAACCCCACAGTAAAAACCTAGATCTAAAGATACAACATACCTATATATTTGCTATTTTCAGAATCACCACTTCAATACAGAATGAAGGGAATTTTAATCCGAGCGTGGTGTAAACAAAGACACCATACCTCTATTTTGGGACAGCAGCACAAAAAACTATCATGTGAAATAAAGTGATTTATGATGGTTATTTTGCGCTGCTCTACCAACTTAGAGAACAGCTCCTAACTGGGAAAAGCTGACACCACACCAAATCTCCCACAGGGCTCATAACCTTGTATGGCTCGTTATCGATTCTAAAAAGAAGTTGTAACCCGGGATCCTCTGACCGATATAATTCTCCTGCTCCCAGAGTTACTCCCATGCTTCAATTTGATATAGCAGCAAAGACAGTATTGGATAAAATCGAACAGCGCCAGTTCTGACTATGTTGCTTAATTAAGTTTGGTCTCTTTCAACTCAACTCTCATTCTGAATTACTCGCATTGACTATTAATACAGGCTGGGTGGGAGACTATCTCAACCACAGAGTTAAAAGCTAGGCACTTCTAGGTCAATGGGGGCATCAATGTTATCTTTAGAATAGCGACCTAAGTGACAAAATTATACCATAATGATCTGCAGTTCAGTAATATCTTACTTTACATTTACCTTTCACTTTAATTTTGAAATATTCGCTCTTTATCAGAATTGGTTTGGATTTTTCAGAAAAAAAATTTTTTTTGGGAGTGTTGAAACATTCCTTATTCTATTAAGCTCTATTGACAATGTTTCAAATTTCAAAATTGTCAACCAAAACCACTTGTGTGAAAATTCTTGCTCTAAAACAGTGCTTCCCAACCAGTGAGTCGCGAAGTATTTCCAAATGTTACATACAATTTTCGATTAGATCGAGTTAGATTGTGGCATTATCATTATGTAACGACAACCAGAATTATGGGTATCCAACATGCAAGATCAAGTTTCGCATTAACAGTAAATTGCATGGGGATACATTGTTCCTTTTCTCATATATTAACATCTCGTTGTGGGTCTCACAGAAAAAAATGGCAATAAAGTGGGTCGCGAACTGAAAAATGGTTGGAAAGCACCGCTCTAAAACACAATGAAAAGCCCTGAGGTCATGTGCCACACGTATCCACACTGCAACTGCCAATACAACACTTCAACCTCAAACCTTTCTCTGCACCTGAACCTTTCAAATGTTTAGTTGAAACAATTTTTTCTTGTCCATAAATTTATTTCGTTATTATGTTTCCATTTCTTGAATGGATTCCTCGGTGTGCTTGCCTTTGTCGGCTCCGACCATTCTCGATTTGGCTTTTCTGTCGAGAATACGTTTACGGTCTTTGTCCAGTTTCAGTTTGACAATCACAACCTGAAATTCGAAGTTTTGTTGTCAGAGTTGGTTGTTAATTAATTGTGAACAGGCCTATGGTTCCACCGGATCATAGCAGCATTCAATTCACTTGTTAACAATAGCAAGAAGATCGCAATGTAAGACTTTCCGCATGTTGGATTTTTAACACTTGTCGAAATATTGAATATGAATTTATAATATTTGGACTAGTAATTACAATCAACCCAGAAATTTCCAAAACAAATGGGAAATTTATATACCCGTACTTCCGAATTTCTTGTAGTCGACATATCTTATTCTTGATTTTAGGAAAATTTGAAATATATGAATTTAAAGATTTGTTATTTTGAGCATATGAAGTCTGGCGGTTCACTAGTATAAACCTCATTTCACATCCTACACTGTAAATATGTTAACAAGCTGGAGGAGCAAGAACAGCCCATTTAACAATGAAAAGGTACAAATATAGCAGCTGAACTAACTTCTACGCCCTATTGATTTGCATCATGAAGATGCACAAAACTGCATCACATTTTGAGCCTCCCTAAATGTTAAATTATGTGAAAGAAACATATACGATCTGGAATACTGCTAGCAACTAGCAGCAATTCCGTAATGGTAAATACTTAGGCACCAATTATGAAGAAACGCAACATCCACAAATTTTGGATAAACTACATATTTTTAAACTAAAAAAAATATTGCTAGTGCTTCTGGTAACATTCTGTAAATGTTGAACTTATTTCGTAGAATCTAAGCTCAATGAGATTAATAAATATATCGTTAAATCAAAATGTTTCATCTTATATCCGTTTTAAGGTTAATTTACATGCATTATTATGAAATTACATCAAATATCGCTGTGGAAAAAGCATGTAAGCCGTCTTACATTGAAAAATGAGTTTTATGAAGAGAGTAATATAAAATCTATTCTGTTGCACAAGATATTCTCACTGATGTCATATCAACTGAAATCCATAAATCAACATAATTTTTTGAACATTTGTATGCTATTATGATAAACAAGATTTTATTCACCTTGCTTGGATGAATTCCCACGTGCACTGTTGCGCCATTGGCCTTTTCACGCTGAATTCTTTCGATATGGACAATATATTTCTTACGGTAAACCTGGATGACCTTGCCAACCTGTTGTCCCTTGTAATGGCCTCGCACGATCTAAAAATTATTAGATATTATATGGAGCAGGCATTCCAAAGCGAAAATTTAAACGGGCAAAAAGGTTTGTATGACACTATGACATGATTGTTGACTATTTATAAGACTCTGGGTCTAAACATAGTATGGAGCATATTCAAATCAGATGTATTCCAAAATAAAATGTGTGTAAATATGTCAGTGAGACATAAAGTCTCCGGCTTCTATATGCAGCCAAGGGAAAGATTTTACTGCTGCCGATAAACAAATGGAAATTAACCCCGATGAGGCAAAACGATAGATGATAATTTGATTTTATGAGTCCTATATTACATGTTTTAGAATCAATACAAATAGGAATATTTCCAATTGGTCATAAGCGATGAAATGCTATTGGATGCTATTGGGAGGAAATGATGACAAGAAATCCACAGAATCAGCATTACCACTCACTATTTTCATCACATTTTACTGCTACAGTAGACATTCATGTTCGCAGATATAAAGTATATTTCAATAGTATAAAAAACTGTTGCTACAATCTAATTATGTCCAACGTTAAATGAATTTTTATTCTGAAATTCCTCAGGTCAACTTTAGATAATGGTTACATACATGAACTCTATAAAATATAATTTGACATAAATCATGAGTTCACTGAAAAACTAAATTAATTTAATAATGCAAACAAAATTTAACTTCCAAAAAACAAAGTGCTTGAAAGCTTATTTTATTGTGAACTGTGTTTTGAGCAATATCTTTAATGTTCAGCTAATATAGAGATTGAAAGATCGAAGATGTCAGTATTAAACAAAAATGGATAGGCTTAATTTGTGCCAGGGTTGCTTATGGCTTAGCTTCAGACTCAATAATTGAATCAAACCCGGTTTTTAGATTTCGGTAAAACTGCAATACAGAAATTTAAGGTCTAGCGAAGTCAACACTGTAACTGCCTGCTTAACTGTAGTAGGTTTGATTTTACTTAAAGGAGTCTGTCAAGAACTTCATTCCCCGTCACAGACTTTTTTTGAAAAAAAACATAATGCAGTACGGTAATGTTTCATACAATCATAGCCTATCACGGTTTCGTTTGGAATTTTTCAATCAGTTAAACAGTTAGGGCGTTCATTTTACATCATATTTTAGGTTGGCTTTATTTGGGCAGTTAACAGTACAGCTTTTATTTCGCCAGACAAAGGATTTGTAATATTTAGTACTAATACTTTAAAAATAAACAACCAAGAAATTGATGCTAATTTACCTGGACTTCATCGTCCTTTCTGAGTGGCATACTCCTCACATTATATTTTGTGCGGAGGTCCTTGGACAAAGGAGAACTCATGTACTTTCTCCTGATATGAGAAGGGGCATTGAAGTAATCCTTCCTATTTTTCCTCCTCGAGGAAGACTTCAGTTTGTTGAACTTCATCTGAAAAATTTGGAACATATCTTTTACCAGACAGATTTATAACCTAACTTACAACCGTTTTATAATAACTAAAACAATTTAACGCAAGGACGTAAATTATTTACAACAGAAGGTCGTTTTGAAAGAACTTTATACGAAAACGCGACTTAGAACTCTAGATCAAAATAGATATTTAACTGATTTGTCTTATAGCCCAACCTTCGCCTCGAACCGTTCTAAAAGAGGAGCAATATACCAGGTGTAATGCATGAATGATTTCGGTAAGAAGGTGGCGCTGTTGCCTTGCAATCCAAAATGGGATGCCAGTCAGAATTCAGAATACGAATTGAATGTTTACGTATGAGTGCATATTTTTTCCCTTATTTCCTCTAAATATTGAACAATAAGTAAGTAGAACACTGAATTGTCCATATCTTTTGACATTTAGCTAGTGTTGTAGTGACATTCAATGCTTAGAACCATAAACAATAGACACGTGTAAGCATTCTATAAACTACGTTTCAAAACTTTTTATCGGTTTTGTTTGATTTCCAGTTATTTTTTACTTCTCATTTGTGTACTTTTATTGAAGACCAAAATAAAACTATGCTCATGGCTGATAAAATTGGTGTACACGCTAGACCATCATAATTTTATTGGCCTCTCTCAACTTGTGTGGGGCATGACATGTCAAAAATCTGGCCTTTTCGTACGGTGAATCGCGATCAAGGATTATATTTATCCTTTTTTTATTTCCTCCAATATTTAAGTTACCCAGAAATGAATGACTATTTACAACATCCGGGATTGAACGCATAGGAATATAGCACAATTCTAAACAAAAAGGGCACGGGGTAAAAATAATGCGATGTTATTGGACACGTAGTGAATCTATAAATCGTTTTGGTATTATGTTGTTGTTTTCGGTATTGTGTTGTTCTTCAACATAGAATTTTATCGTTATCGTTTTTCTCTTTGATTACTGGACCAATTGCTTTAAAATTCTCAATGGTTAAAGATTGAATTTTTCGCTAGAAGGCTATTAATTTTATTTATATTAAATATTTCTGTGAGTTCTATGTGATTCGTTTTTTGTGTGCTTCGTCCGTCTAGATTTGTTCGCGAAGTCGAGTTGTCGGTGTGGTGTAGCCGAGTTGTTTGACTTCCGATACAGCTACTGGTAAGTTACCGCATATGATTTTTAGAGAACTGATAACAAAATAATTAGTTTTGCTCTTCGTGTCCACATATTTGAGCCTAGCTCTCTTGTTTTATAAATACTTGTTCAAATACCTGATAGGTTAGGATTTAATAAAATCATATAATATATTTGTAGTCATAATGCAATCTTCAAGCCGAGAGAATTAATCGTATACGATTGATCAGGTTATTAATACAAATCAGGGATGTAGCCTACGTAGCATTACTTTCCGTCCTAGATCTAATGCTTGTTTGCACTACTTGCTGGAGTTGTCAGTTGTGACATTTTGGTTAAAAGGCCACGTCCACGTATTATTTTTCAAAATTACTGAACGTGTCATTTCATATATATACATGTCATTTGCCAAATCAATCTTTCATTATTGATTGCAATAATACTAATTATATATATACAAAAAAATCGAAACAAAATAGAAGTCACTTTATCTGAAGATGAAGGTGATGGGGAATCTTATTAAACAGTGATGAAGATGGTCGTCGACTATTCTACAATATGAAATATCAAGCAGATAGAGACTGACCGTCAATGGCGAATAGATTAGGCGATACTAGGGCCTTCTAGAAAACGTACGAAATGTAGCCTAAGTCTTGGACTTGGATAGACATTTAGTATTTTGGCGATGTGAGATTTTGCTTGACACTACGGTAAGGAATAGGTATGCTCGTCAAGGGGTGACCGTACATTTGAACCAATGTGTATATCCGCGGGTTCAATCTATATGCGCGTGCTAAAATCCCTGAGTTAGGGTTAGTATAGGTTCAAATATCCGTAAACAAAAAATTAAATTTGAGGCAGATATTATGAATCTTCCACCCGTGTATCTACATCGTCGAAAGATTCATAATCTGCATCAAATTTAGATTTGGAAAATGCTTCAAAATCAATATGAAAGTGTAACATCATTATTAGGGATAGTGAAATATGGAAACATTGGATAGTGTTTCTACTTGCTTAACTCGAAGAAGGGGAAACCGACAAGACGTCAGAGTCATGTAGCAGGGCAACTTCCTGATACGATTAGGAAGCTTAGTTCGGGTATGAAATGGCTCCCAGATAATAGACTTGGATAGTGGAGTAAATTATAGTTATCCGATAGTCACGCCTATGCTACAGGGCAAGCAGTCGGGCGACCTCTCGATTAAAGTTATATCCGAAGCATTCGAATTGGTAAACTCAGAGATATTGATACCCTAAAAGCTTAGCACAGTGCGCCCATTGCTGCCGATCAGAGAACGAGGAATGATTGTTAATTTTGTTATTTTGAATCAAAATTCAAACGCCGTGATTTGACTGTGATTACGTGTTTTACTTTTCTGACTACAGCACGAAGATGTCCTTTAGCTGACATCACGCGTATCCTGTGTCAATTTCACTGAAGTACGAAATCAAGCCGTAGAAAGTGTTCATCATCCTCTCTCACTTTTTATTCTTTGAAAGGCATTTGTAGTATTTTGTAGATATCAACTTAAATATTACATAGCATATCATTTACATGCTTATCTCGGGGGAGAGGAACTGAGAAGACGTCAGAGTTATACAGCGGTTACTACGATCAGTCCGGGTTTGAAATAGCTTCCAGATAATATCAGGTGTATGAGAGTGTAGTAAATTAACGGCAAAAAGAAGCGGGACACTTGAAAAAAGATATGTATATCCGAAGCATTCGAATCGGTAAACTAATGGGTCAAATAACGGTTTGGTGCAGCAAACGCCAACTCCCGGTCTAGGAACCAAGAACGGTTGTTCGCTTCCTGGTAGTTCAAATAGGAAATTTCTTTGGATCTGATTACGTTCTTGGTTTTCTCTGACTACAGCACAAAGATGTCCTTCAGCTGTCATCACATGCATCCTGTGGCAAAAGACAGCATGTGGTAAAAGAGCGATTGTGTGCTGTGAATTTGATTTAGTGTTTTTAGACTGTTTCAGCTGTACAAAATCGTCAGGACCCAAAATTTTACATCTTTATTTTTTCAGTGGTGTATTCATTTTTCTAAAATTTTTCTTAAAAAATTTAATTGAAGCATGTACAATTGAATATGGTTATAATAGATACAGAGGGTTTATCGTTTTACAAAAAATGTATTGATCGGTATCAGTATAAATCCGCGAAATTCATAAATCAAGTAATACGCGTCAAAGATGGCAATATTCATACTCAGATATCTTTAGTGGACAATAGCGTCCGTATGTGTGGACACGCAAGTTTAACAACACTTCGAGGAGCCTAATGAGGGTTGTGGGTATGGCCCTAGCCCTAGTCTAAAACTACTGAACTGAAATCGAAACGCTAACGCCTCATGCGCTAAAGATAATTATAGAAAAACGTTTTTGCAGTCAGACAAAAGTCACGCCACAATCAGCTCATCAAATCTAGCATTTCCATTGGCCGAACAGATTTAAAATCGTGCTACTTTCATTTTGTAGGCTATGACAAAATTCAAAAACATTACTGAGATTTCAAAGGATGTTTGACACGAATTACACTCAGTAAAGTATCGACTGCCAATATATTGTTCTTGGCTGAACATTGTATATACCGTATAAAATTGGAAGACTCTACTTTTTTCTTATAAGAATCTTTTAAAATATCCCAATACGCAGTAGTAATTGATATATAAACATATGTGATTTATATTAGAAAAGTAGAATACAAATGATAGACTGGAATTGGAAGCATTGTCAGGAATCTTAAGAGTATTTACTAATGTGTAGACGAAGTAATAGCAAAATCATGAACCTTATCTAACTTTTATTAGTTTGCCATATTACATTGTTGTAGTAGGCGGGCGTGGTTTGGGTGGAGATTTATATCGGAATTGCTTACCCCATTTAGGAAATAAAATATTGTCACAAAATTACAACTTTGCGTTTTATAAGTAGTGAACAACAATCATAAGTGTTTGATTTCACCTTGTAACCAGAAATTAAATAGAAAGAAATGATTATTGGAAACTTGTGAGTGATATGCTCTGCGGGTGTTGTAATTCCACCACCAGAATGCGTACCCAATGAATAATAAAAAATGGTAAGGACATTGAAATTACTATACTCTTGGGGAAAAAAATTTAAATTACATAGATAATTAATGGAAGTATCTTGAGGTCAAGATTAGTATTGAGGTGATTTGACAATGTTTTATATGCTTCAATATATTTTTGAACAAAACAATAAAACATCATCAATAATTATTCGGATATACCTCATCATATTAAGATAGATATTGAAGACACTCTATACAACGTTTCAATCAACATGGCATATTGTTATGTCATAATCTTAACAACATAATAGAATTAATTATCGCCGCTGCACGTCTTCCTGTCAGCTAATTTATGTCGGATTTATGTTTAAGGGGGCGTGTAAGGTGTGTGTAGGTGGTGCGTTTAGCATGAAGACTAATTCTAGGCAGACAAATGTGACGGTATGCAGAAACATAAAACGTAGTTTTTTTTATGAAGCACAGAGGGGTTTAAAACTTAAGGGATCGTACTAGGTTGTTTCAAAATATATAAAAGAAATTGCCCTCAAGATTATAAACGCCTGGCATTAATATTTATTGATATAATCAATTTTTTCTATATCGCATGTTTGTTTATTTTGCTACGGAAATCAGTTTTCCGGAATGAAAATGCTCATGCTTAAGGTTTATGTTCTGGCTATTCATAATATAGTTCAATAGAAAAACCTGGATTTTGAGTTGGCAACGTATACTTACTCAAAATAGTGTCGATTGATTAGATGTAATAGGCTCTGTGAGACAACATTATACATCTGGAGATTCGTTGCGAGTTGACTCGAGATTTTCCTGGTTGAAAGGCGGCAGTTAATTCTTAGTGGGGACGCATTTCATGGATATGAACAGAGATGAAGTCAGCGATGACGTAGTTCATCCACAGACGCTTGACACAATTTATGTCGTCTGCGACGTGAAACGTATTCATGAGTAAAGTTTTTACGCGTGCCTTTGCTTGGAATTTGAGTCACGATTTTCCTGAGCAAAATAGTACTTTTCTATTGGCAGCCGTCAATGAAACTTTGTAAATTATGTTTCGATTAAATCAGTGGAATTTATTGAATAGTAAAATTCCCCGAAAACATTCTTTTATATTGGACTTCCGAATTAAACAATATAGGCTAATTGTTCTTGGAATGACCACGAGACGGTATATTTCAGAGTTCATATTTCGTGATTTCATTTGATAAATGTTATCGTGTAGGGCAGGCATTCTATACCAATGGGAATCGAAACAAAATATATGTTTAGCGTATCGTAATATCGTTTACATCACTAATTGATAATAGTTTTGATTTACTACGTCAACGAGCGCGACACGCTTAGTCCAGAATTGAGGATATTCATGACATGCGGGCGAACTTAGTGGTTTACTATGCTGAGTTGGATTGCGATAGATTTAAGTTGATAATAAATATTTCTTACTATGCTAAACGCACACTTTTGGTTTTTATGACAGGTACTAGTCTACAAAATTGAAACATTAAGCCTTCACTATGTCAAATTTATTCTTTCAAATACGAGATTTTGTTCATTGCACCCTTGCTGTTCTATTCATTGGTAAGTACAAATAAATACATCGTTTTGTGGTTGAAGAGCATACCTAATGTATTCATGAACGGCTTGTTGATCTAGATCCGTGGTTCTCAGACGGAGGGGCGTGTTCCAAAAAGAGGGATCATTTTTTAAGGGGACGTGGAATTACTTAAAAATAAAAATATTTGTTAGATGTTATCTTGTCAGCTTATTTGGGATATTTAAATTTCGTTATTGTTTACATTTTTGTTTTTATCATGTAAACGTATTTTCAACGTGTTTTTTTGATAAAGCATGATTTCGCCTTACTATCTGTTATTTGTAGCTTGCTATAACTACTTATTTATTAGGTGCGGGACGCGAGACTTGACATTTTAACACTCAAACATCTTGAACTATTTCAGCTGTATTTCCTTCAATCCATGGGTTCTGCAACGTCACAAATTTGAATCTTACCAATCAAACCGGATTTATCAGATCACCACCTCCGGTAGAAAGTCAAAGTCAAGATTGTACATGGAATTTTTCTCCCAGTGGAAGTGCCATTGTTTTATTGATCAAGGATATGAATTTTATACTCAACTATCGTCAACAGTATTGGTGGTATTCAGCACAACTAACTCTTGAAGGTTCGTTCAATAATTTTGTGGTGTTTTGTTCAATTATTCTATTTACTTTTTGTGACATTTTGATTAAGTTTTTATAGACATATTCTGCATAATCCAGTGTCTTATAGCCATACTTTAAACACCTGTATTTATATATAATTGTTTTTAAACTGTGTAGGTGTAATATATTGTTATATACTACAGGTCACAACATCAATGACTTTAAAAAGGGAGCTTGTTTCATATTCCTTCCTGATGATGACGTCACTTGTGACACACTTGAAATTACAACCAGCGATTGCGATTCTAAGCTGTTGTTTTCTGGCAACACAACTTTTCCTCCAACACTGTCCTATAAAACTTTACATTTGTATTACAAGAAAGAACATGCGTTTGAAATGAAGTACACCTACGTTCCTTGCAAGAAAAATATGAAACCTGTTAGCAATAGTACGTATTTATTGGTAGATAATTATCACTGAATACATGAATTATCCTAAGATAACAATACAAGTTTAGAATCAAGTGCAGAAAAGCTTGGTCAGATAGTTGCTCTTCCAAATTTTTTAAGATATATATATATATAAATGAGATTTAATGAACTAAAATGAGATTTACAAAGCTGAGCGACATACTGATGTGACAATATATAATCGTGACTAAGCTCTCCTAACATTTTCTAATTTCAGAAAATTTGTGAGAAAATGCCTAATTTCACTGCGTTCAAAAATTTTAAAAGGTATATTATTTATTTACTTCAGTTATTCTTTTTAAAGCAAAAGTTGACCGAGGGGCCATTATGAGCTTCCAAGATAGTAAAAAGGAAATCCACAAGAGGGAGGAAGAGACAAAAATTGACCCGGTCGTAATAGCTCTGGGAATTTTATGCGGCGTGTTAGCAGTAGCTGTCTTCTTTCTCGCGTGGAGGTATTTGATTAATTTAGTTAGTTAATCGATCAACAAATCATTATTAATAAATCCTAATAAAATCGAAACGTTGAATTTTCCCTTTAATATAATATATCAGACATGTGACTCTGGAGACAATTATCCATAATAGGTAAAATTGTTATTTGTCGAACGTGTCGTTTTCCAAACACTGTTATGCGCAATAAAATATGAGGTCAAAGTATAATTCCTAACAATTTTTTTGGCATTAAAGCATGCTCTCCTATGGTCGTCTACAATTTAGAATTGACTCCATACTTTGAGCAGAAACAATGTGAAAAGTTATATTTTCAAAATCCAATCTCTAATTTTTTACTGTTGCGGTGATGCAGTATCAATTCTGAAGACAGAATATTGTTAAATGAGATGAAATATTCGAAATTATTACTCGATTGTCACATTTACTAGCTATATATATCCCATTTTTTCATATATTTTTCATTTACATAGGCTATGTACCACAAAGAAAGAAAAGAAGAAGTCTCATGCCAGGGAAAATGATCGTGCTCAAATACTCTTATGATAAAATGGAAGAATTGTACATTTTCAGAGAGCAATATTAGAATTTTTTAATAGATCTTCTGTCCTTTATACTTAAACGTTTTAATATGTGAAACGAGATGTTATTGTCGACGAAGAAAAGCAAGCAAATTCTGTAATGAATGAGACTCTGGCAACTATTTCACATCATGATTTTTCAGTCAGGGAATGATTCCATTTCAAATATAGCTTTAGTCGACATTAATATTTTAAATTATTGCGCTATCACCAGTCTAATGGCTACAGTTAGTAGGTATTTTTTGTTTAAGTGTATATTATTTTCTTCTACTCATATTATGTTTTTGACACATTTGAAATATTATGTGACTTTAATAAAAACAGAACAACAATTGGATCTTGATTACGTATATTAGAAGCAACAATAATGTGGAAATCCAATATCTTAAACTTCCATTCACTATTGTGTGTTGTCTTCTCTGCTCCAGAATTTATTTTTTGGTTTATTGAGGCTGATTTAATTTTTTTATTTCCCAATGCTTATTTATGTAACATAGCGTTACTTTGAAATTTCCTTCCGGACATATTAATCAGCTATATTTTCTTAATTTCATGATTATATTTAGAGAACTAGCACGAATATTTTCAATTGATTTTGAAAATAAAAGAATGGATTCAAATTTTCAATTTTGTGTGAAAAACACGATCACTATATTTTCACTCTCTCATGGATTGTGATAGATAGCATGAATCAAACATACGAAGTTTCAAAACAAAGCGCGAGTGTAGTGGTACCAGTGGCATCTATATATCAGCGAAGATCAGCTTGATAGCAACAAGCAAGTCATATAAATAATTGTGTGTTATGAAATCGAAAACATATTAATGCTTCATTTATCGTGAGCTTGGTAAATTGTTGTCTATAGAAAATGTATTCGCACAAGTCAAATCACAAGATAAAAGCTATTCAAATTGAGAATGCAACGCACATATTACATAATATATATATTGAACAAACATGACAGGTACTGACAGCGCCGGATTAACCAATAAACAATATAAGCACGTGCTTAGGGCACCAAGCAAGGAGGGGCATCACAGAAATTTTAGAGCAGAATTTTATATAGTTTATCGGTATTTATTAAAATATTACGAGTTCAACAGACGACTCAAACTTCAAAATGTTCGCTTATTTTTTGTCTTCAAGTATCATATTAACCTTCTTTACTAAAAGAAACACTGAACTTAATTTATTGAACACGAAATGAGCTATGAGTCGTTTTCCTCAAAATGTTGTGGTTTTTGCTTTCTAGTATTTACCTTGTTGCCGCATTTTTATTTTGAAAATTTTTTTATTTTCTTCAACAATTGGACCAATGAACTATTTACACTATGTGGCGGTTCCACGATCGCATTTCAACGATATATTGGTCAGCAAAGTCGGGAGTTTCTTGATAAGGTAGACCAGGGTGGTCCAAACTCTGTCATGCTGATACATTCCGTGCGGCTCACAGAACAATTTTAGCATATATTTGTATCTAATGGAGTAACGTTTTTGAGTTTTTTTTAGATGGGGTTGGTATCCCGAAATTCCAACCCCTTTTCTAACGCTTTGTGCCTTTATTTTAGTAAAAACACTCGCGTCGGCCATGTGACAGTAGTGACGAAACGCAGAGCCGACTTAACGCCGCGTAATCCAGTTTTTTTTAGCTAGGTCCCGGAAACCAACGTAGTCTGACTTGGTGTGTATTTGACGATGTCTTATTTTATTTTGAAAAAAGAATTTTCTTCGACCTTACATATCAAAACACTTCTATAAAGAAAAGTTGAGGGAGATATGGCAATGAGTCGAGGAAAGAGGTTGAAGGGGATAGGAAGTTTGGGGGAAATAGGACAGTGGATAGGACGGTTGAAGGAGATAGGGCGGTGGGTCGAGGATAGGAAGGTTGAGGGAGAAAGGGCAGCACCTCACTTGCTCTGAAGACTAAACCCGAGGTCGGCAAACTTTCGTCGTTTGCGTGCAAAAAGTACTCCGTTGATCACTTAAAACTGTCCTCGACCCACTGCCCTATCTCCATGACACACCGCCCGACCTCCTTCAACTTTCCTATCCTCGACCCTCTGCTCTTTCTCCCCAACTTTCACATTCTGGAACCACCGCTTTATCTCCTTCAACCTAGCTATCGACAAAAGTTTGCCGACCTCTATCCACTGCACTATCTGCCTCAAATTTCCCACCCTCGACCCACTTTCCGATCTCCATCAAGTTACTTATCTTCGACCTACGACGCTACACCACTCAGACCCTAACCTAACGGCGCTACAATCACGACTAGATCGTCAAAACGAACTCTACTATCTTGCGACCAACCTCCATGTGTTATACTGGTCGAGTATGCCAATGAGATGATTCAATCGTACGTCGACAAAACAAGATTAACGGCATTCGTAAATGTAGGCTGGAATCTCAATTGGTAATCAATAACCATAATGAGTGGCTTAAAAATGTGCTACTAATTAAGCTACTGGTGGCCTCGGGTTTGAGGTGACCGTTTTTAAAATTTCAAAAGGTCATTCGATATCGACATGCCTGAGTTCATTTTCAGAAACTCATTCAATGTCGCTTGTATTTCCGTTCAAGACAAAACGATGAGGAAATAATAAAATATTTGCACGCTTAGTCATTTTCAACGAATGTTCTGCCATATTCTGTTGTATATACAAATTTCTTTTACGTGACTGAGAAGGCTGAAAAGTCAAAAACAGTCAAAAATATAAGTCGCTCAGTGAGTGTAATCCCTTCCAAACTATTTTAGAGCCATGACATGTTTTGTCGTAGCTAGCGTTACCAACTGCCCTTTAATTCAGCGTATAGTCCCAAAATTGAGCTCATCTTATCTGCAACTTAATGAAGTTGCAAAGGACGCAGTTAGTACGTTATCTTTGGCATCGCTTTTACTATAAAATGTTGAAAAAAAATACTTCATACCGACCAGAGCACTATTGCTTATTTCGGATCAGCATCATATCTGTCACAAGACTCACGACATGGCCAATTATTGAGGGCATAAAACGGCCTGCTAAAATTTAGAAAACTGTTATTCCCAACAAAAAACCATCCGTAGCCCAATTAGTAAAACATTTTTAAACTGCCAAATAAGGTTATTGTTTAATATTTGAGATTCCAGCCTACATATACGAATGCTGTCAATCATGTTTTGTCGAATACGATTGAATCATCTCATTGGCATACACGACCAGTATAACCCATGGAAGTTGGTCACAAGATAGTAAAGTTCAGTGTGGCGATCGGGTCGTGAATAAAGCGCCGTTAGATCAGGTACCGATTAGTATAGCACCGTAGGTCAAAGTAAGTTGTGGCAGATAGGGCAGTGGGTCTGAGGTTAGCTAGGTTGAGGGAGATAGGACAGTAAGTCGAAAAGAGAGCACCATGAGCAAACATGATTGACGGCATTCGTAAATGTAGGCTGGAATCTCAATTGGTAATCAATAACCATAATGAGTGGCTTAAAAATGTGCTACTACATAAGCTATTGATGGCGTCGGGTTTGAGGTGATTGTTTTAATTTTGAAATGCCATTCGATATCGACATACCTGAGTTCGTTTTCCGAAACTCATTCAATGTCGCTTTTATTTCCGTTCAAGGCAAAACGATGAGGGAATAATAAACATTTGCACTCGTACTCATTTTCAACGAATGTTCTGCCATATTCTGTTGTATATACAAATTTCTTTTACGTGACTGAGAAGGCTGAAAATCAAAAACAGTCAAAAATATGAGTTGCTCAGTGAGTGTAATCCCTTCCAAACTATTTTAGAGCCATGAAATGTTTTGTCGTAGCTAGCGTTGCCAACTTCCCTTTAATTCAGCGCATAGTCCCAAAATTGAGCTTATCTTATTTGCAACTTAATGAAGTTGCCAAGGACGCAGTTATTACGTAATCTTTGGCATCGCTTTTACTATAAAATGTTGAAGAAAAATACTTTATACGGAGCACAAATTTAGAAAACCGTTATTCCCAACAAAAAAAACCATCTGTAGCCCAATTAGTAAAGCATTTTTAAACTGCCAATTAAGGTTATTGTTTAATATTTGAGATTCCAGCCTACATATACGAATGCTGTCAATCATGTTTTGTCGAAGTACGATTGAATCATCTCATTGGCATACACGACCAGTATAACCCATGGAAGTTGGTCACATGATAGTAAAGTTCAGTGTGGCGATCGGGTCGTGAATAAAGCGCCGCGTAGTTAGTACGTTATCTTTGGCATCGCTTTTACTATAAAATGTTGAAGAAAAATACTACCAGAGCACTATTGCTTATTTCGGATCAGCATCATATTTGTCACGAGACTGACGACATGGCCAATTATTAAGGGCATAAAACGGCCTGTTAAAATTTAGAAATCTGTTATTCCCAAAAAAAACCATCAGTAGCCCAATTAGTAAAACATTTTTAAACTGCCAATTAAGGTTATTGTTTAATATTTGAGATTCCAGCCTACATATACGAATGCTGTCAATCATGTTTTGTCGAAGTACGATTGAATCATCTCATTGGCATACACGACCAGTATAACCCATGGAAGTTGGTCGCAAGATAGTAAAGTTCAGTGTGGCGATCGGGTCGTGAATAAAGCGCCGTTAGGTCAGGTATCGAATAGTATGGCACCGTAGGTCAAAGATAGGTAAGTTGTGGCAGATAAGGCAGTGGGTCCGAGGATAGGTAGGTTGAGAGGAGATAGGACAGTAGGTCGAAAAGAGAGAGGTTGAGGGAGATAAAGCGGTGGTTCGAGGATGTGAAAGTTGGGGAGATAGAGCAGTGGGTCGAGGATAGGTAGGTGGCGTAGTGGGCCGAGGATAGGATGTTTGAGGGAGCTAGGGCAGTGGGTTGAGGATAGGAAAGTTGAAGGAGGTCGGGCAGTAGGTCGAGTAGTAGGTAGTATAGATAGGTAAGTAAGTAGATGGAGGTAGGTAGGGCAGTGGGTCGAGGACGGTTTTAAGTGTTCTTTCTTTAACGGAGTAATTTTGGCCCGCAAACGACAAAAGTTTGCCGACCTCTGGTTTAGACGTCAGAGCCAGTGAAGTTAAACAGTCATCCCATCACAAATCCGCCACCCACTGCCCTTTCCTATTCTCGATCCTCTGCCCTGTCTCCCTCGCCCAACTGCTCCACCTCCCTCAACCGTCCTATCCTCGACAGACTGTCCTATTTCCCATCCCCTTCAACCTCTTTATCCTCGACTCATTGCCATATCTCCTTCAACTTTTCTTTCCTTCATCCACTGCACTATCTGCCTCAAACTTCCCACCCTCGACCCACTGTCGGACCTCCATCAACTTACTTACTTCGACCCACGACGCTACACCACTCAGCCCCTAACCTAACGGCGCTACAATCACGACTAGATCGTCAAAAAGAACTCTACTATCTTGCGACCAACCTCCATGTGTTATACTGGTCGAGTATGCCAATGAGATGATTCAATCGTACGTCGACAAAACATGATTGACGGCATTCGTAAATGTAGGCTGGAATCTCAATTGGTAATCAATAACCATAATGAGTGGCTTAAAAATGTGCTACTAATTTAGCTACTGGTGGCCTCGGGTTTGAGGTGACTGTTTTTAAAATTTCGAAAGGTCATTC